CTCGAAAATGAGACTATGACAATCTCCATTTTTCTTTCAGGTCCTCTTGTAGAGCATAGGCGTCTTCCTTCTCCTCCTTGCTCAATCGACTGTCTTTATCGTAATGCTGAAGAATCATCATATCAATGCGAGGACACGATTTGCTGAAACATTCTTGGTCGTGAAAAGCTTTGCATATTTCATCGAAGTATTCTTTCTGAGCTGAAAGGTCGAGGTGTTGGAATTCTTCATACGAGAGGACTTGCGAGATGTCGTCTTCGGGAATTCCTCCGATCGAGCTGACCGGAGATGCACGATCACAGAAACGCTTTGTTATGGCCTCGGTAGACCACTCGGGTGACCTCTTACGTTTGAATGTCAACGAAGATGTCATTATGACTCAGTGCGCTTTCTTCAAGTACAACAGAGATGAAGATCGTGTGACTTTTCAGGCAGAGTGAAGGCCTGTAGTGTAGAGTCTGGAACGAAGCAGGAGAAAGATGAATTGCAGTACTCTGGTGGGCATAGGACATTTTATATTTCCTTTTTACCGTGGGAATATGTGCGAGTCCTAATCTCCTGGCATCCTTATGTCGGTTCCTGGGAGTTTGGTCACGGGATTGTGGCCTCGGAGATCAACGGCTGGATGGGAGAGACTAGCTTCAACGCCCTGTCGTTCTAATCTCTCTACTTCGCATTGCCTGCCATTCTTTTCGGTGATCAGGCCACACCAAGTCTGTGCCGACCGGGCAAGGCGATCGAGCGACAGATTGAACGTCAAGTGGAAATGAGGTTCAATTCAGTCTGTAAAATTATGGCGTATGTTTGGCCATACCATTTGGGACTCTTTATTTCGCTTAATTCAGTTTGAAAACATTGTTCTGTGCAAGATGTGGAAGCTCAGAACTATCACACTAGCTATGGTTTTTCCCAATGAACGCATTTACTCTTCATAGAACGGAGCAACAATTTCCAGAAGTCAAGCAGGAACTCCCGGAAAATGCGACGCTCCTCGATGCCACGACAGCGTTCCCAGGACCGACTAGTTGGCCGTGAGAGCCTCGAGTAGTGGTATATCTTTGTACACCTTTAATCATGCTTAGCTGCGTGAATGTTACTTAAAGCTCCTTATGTACCTAGCCAGCTCAGAGTTCCCGCAATTCCTAATCCTAAATCGCTCTACACCATAATTGCATTACTTTCATCGCTCTGCACTTACAGTATTCGCGTTATTCGTCGTTTCAACATCATTCTCCAAGCAGGACCTTTCTTGATTTCTTTCTTCGAACTGAAATTGAGCACTGAAGTTATGGTCCGCTTAATGATGGTATCCAGAGTGAGACTTGGTTCGAACTTTCAAAATGGGCTGAAATCAATGGTCTTGATTGCGCGGCAAGCGACCGTCAACTAGTACCTGCACGAAGTCTTTTGAGAGCCACGTACGGACAAAAAACAACTTTCAGGTCTGTACCAACGTCACAAGCCTTGGTTGCGTAATTGTCGTTAGGCTGGTAGTAGGTGGAATCACATCGGTACACATTCGCGGGACAGTTGATCGTCGCGCACTCAGCATAGCTAGGCTCAATGCGGACCCCATACTCTGTATTAGATGGGTCATTGATCTTGGAGAGGTCATAGTAGATCTTATTCAGAGGACGGCAGTCCGTGCTGCTTTCGTTTCCAAAACATGCACTGTACTCGATCTGCGTGATCTGGGGGCTTCTCCACCGCGTGGAGACTTTGAGAGAGCTGCCGACACCATCAACTGTAAGGCGGAATGGGTGGGAAAGGCTCTCTGTCGGTTTCAGCTCCGTGTCCAGATATGTGACACCTGCCACTCCTTCGACGTATAGAGGAAAGCGGCAATTGTTGTACAAGACAATATTGCCACGCTGCTCGGCCAAGCAAGCCAACGGCACGCACCAGATGAGAACCCCCAATGTCCGCCGTACGGCTCTTTCCAGATGCATTGTGTATAGGAGACTCGATCGAGAACGGCCGTGGTCGGTCATGATATATATAGATGTCGTTAGAGCCCAACGTTTGATCTCCTTTGTGCTTGACATGATGGCAAGTCCGAGGTATGAGCAAGTCTATCATGCAGAATACAGCACTTTTCTTTACGACATGTCATTCACAAATAGACCAGAGTCAAATTTATGAGGTTGTTTATCGAGTCAGAACGGGCAAGGTCAGAGGCCCTTCAACGGTTTGACTACCATGTAGTCATTCTATTTGCGCACGACAATGGACGGCTTTCGCGTCGAATCAAAAGACGGAGGATATTATGACTACAAAAGAAAGCTGCGACCTACCTCTCTCTACCTCACAGCAGTGGTTTCGTCATGGAAGCTTTCACGCAGCCGTCGGGTGATATAAGTGAGCACGGAGAAGAGATGCGGTCCGGCCCGCCAACTATGGGCGAGCCGGAGACTGGCCCACACAGCTTTCCAGCTATTGAAATCTCGCAGGCCTCGACAGTAAGAGCTTCTGTTGACTTAAAGATAATTCCGCTAATCACCTTAGCAGTCTGATGTGCGCGACGCGGAGTCAGAAGAGGAAAAGCGAATCCTGGCAGTCGAGCCGTTCCGGCCAGTCATTGAGACCTTGACGCGACTGGAGCAGGATGATCCCAAAGCTGCAGCTCAGGGTGCTCGTCTGGTGAGTCTTTTACGGCGTTTGTGGGAGTCATGTGTCTCCAAGCATATCGATAGCCAGCGTCTTGAAGCGGGGAACCAACAGCTGCGAGCCAGGAATTCGCAGTTACACTTCGAGGGTGACCACCTCAAGCTCACCCATGAGGACCAGACGTCCCATTTCTATGCTGTTGAGCAAGATCTCCTGAAAGTGAGGCAGGATCTCCTTGGTGTCCTAAAGCAGTGGAACAGCACATCCGTTGGGGAACCCACCGTCTTGCCCCAGGACGGACAAGAGGGGAATAACGAATAGAAGGCTATCACAGCAATACGGGGAAGGAAGAAGATAACTCTAGTCACCCCGCAGCAATGGAGATGATGTCAGCTATGGAATATGGAGCAGGCCTTAGCATTTGTCGATCGTATGTTGCCCTTGAAATCTGACAGATATCGCAATCGTAGAATGGCAAGGAATAAACCCAATAATCCATGACAGTGCACCCTGATTTATAATGACCATCGAAGATTCCAAAAGACACCCAAGCTGCGCTCCAAAGGATACACGTCAACGGGATAGCGTGTACTCTTATCTGCTGGGCCTCTCTCAAGTGCCATAAGCGCCGCAATGCGATTACCAAGACCTTGCTTCAAACGTTGATTGCATGTTGTCGTGTTGTCGTATCTGAATCACGACCACCTATTTTCATGCACTCGCTGGGGACACTGAAGGCGCACCCGTAGCCCTATAATCACTCGCTCCGCCCAGAAGCAGCAAGAAAAGCGAGGAGACCAAAATGAGTGAAACCTGGAGCTGTTTGAGTTAGAGCACGTCTTTCGCGTTGTAGCCCAGTTCCGTATGACTTACCTCCAGCGATAATAACCAGCGATCCAAAACGGTTCCGATGATGGCGACGAGCAAGAGAAGAACAGACAAAACTGAAAGTATATATGCAATAAAGTTTACTTGGGCTCGAGTCCGATATCCATGCATGGTACGCTCTCGTAGCCACCAGTAGAAACAAGACATGGCCAGGTAATCAGAACAGACTAGAAAGATGACTACGAACCACGCTGAGGGATACCGGAAAGCACCGACTATAGTAGCAGCGACCTTGGCTAGACAAGAGGCAGCTACGAAAAGTTGAAAGCAGATCACGAGATGAGAGACGTTGTCCAATCCGGTCAGCTGGAGGTGGATTCGGTAATACTGAGGCATAGGAGTTAGCGCTGGCCTAGAAGCACGGCATTGTTGCGCATTACCCATGGTACTGGTATGAGTACAGAAACGACTCCCCTCAAGATAGCAACGCTACGGTCACTCTTCTTGCTGCAGGCCAAGCCCAAACTCACAACGGAACAGCTTAATAGTATGATACATTGCGTCAGGTCGACAATTTGTAGTCGGTATTCAGGAAGTCGAATATGCAAAAATGCAACCCGTACGCCATTCACGACGGACAAAAGCGTAGTCAAAACTGGATACCGAAAAAATTCAGATTTCATAGTGGCTTGAGGGTGGACAAAAAGGAGAACACGGTCATTTAACGAAGAACGCGCTCGGTCTTCATTTATTGATGTAGTTGAGACTACGCTTATCAGAGGGCCTTTTCTGCGCTAGGAACACAATAGACGGCCCTGGGAGCACATTAGATGGCCCTGGGGTCTTTTTGAGTCCTGGGAAGCCTCATTAACACTCCCAGCGGCAAGCCTAAGTGGCCCCGGGAACAGGGGAGCTCTTCACCAGGAGCGAGGAACGCTCTATCACGTGCCACAAAGCGATCCAGGCTCCAGATTGTTTCCTTTCTGGGACCGGCAGGCTTGTCCCCAGGAGCACAGGAACCGTCCTCCAGGAATACAGGAGCCGCCTCCCAGGAACACTGCCATGCGTTCCCCGAAGCACTTGAGCTCCTGGAACCCAGCCTAAAAGATCCCAGGCACAGATCCGTTTGCTCCGGGAATCCTTCGGTTTGCTCCTGAAGCCAGCAGGCTTACAAAGAAAGACGTGTAACCCCGCCTCGGCTTATCGGGCACACTTCTTCCTTGACGGCATATAAACGTTGTGAGTAACCTAAGTAACCTGAGTAAAGACCATCCTATTTCATACCACTTGGACCTTTACGCTTGCAATCTCAGAATACAATTTGCGAATCAGATATGCCTCCGCAGAGAACAAAGACAGTCCGCTTTTCAACCACTGTCCCCTCACCAAACGCTCGTCCGGTCCCGCCCACCAACAACGACTCAGCACTTCCGTGGGGAACGAAAAATTCTCACCTTACGCAACAAGGCATGCAACATGCAAACGCAAGGAGGGAGATGATAATCACCAAAATCCAAGCGGAATATAATGCGCTGCTTTGTTCAAATTACACGATGGGCGCTATGCTACGAAAAGAGAAAGAAGAAAAGGCAGAACTCGAAGCTCAGATGCAATACCAGAATCAATGCCTTCAAGCAGAACTCGAAGCCCAGAAGCAACACCAGAATCAATGCCTTCAAGCAGAACTCGAAGCCCAGAAGCAACACCAGAATCAATACCTTCAAGCAGAACTCGAAGCCCAGAAGTAACACCAGAATCAATGCCTTCGAGCAGCACAGCAGTGGGCCTGGGGGCTTGAACAACTGGTCAACAAATTGGAGATTGAACTAGCATCTCGAAACGCGAAAACACCTTCAACAGATTGAATAGGGCATCAGTGAGAGATCTTTACCTCTACTGCAGTGTATGCGGGAATGAAAAGTTGCATTGCCCGCTTACAACGGTGGGACTGAAGCGAATCATCCAACGGTGGAAGCCGGGCATATTTGAGGTTGGTCAACGTTCGGCCGGCATACTACGCTGAGCTCGTTTAGGATCTTTGCTTTACTTTGTTCATGTACTTCTTGAGCCCACAATACGCACAATGAGCTTTACCTATCTGCACCTTAAAGGGTCCAAGCCTGGAACAAACGCAGGCGATGGGGCTCGCAATTCCATCATCTGTAGCACTCGTATGACCACGCACGGTAGCCCTGAGATCCTCCACACTACATATAATTCGATCGCTAGACTCGCGCCCGTGCCATGAATGGCGGCTCAGGATGCACAAAACTGCATTGAAACTGGTTCGCTGGATCTCAGACCTTTCAGTCCCCGAGCTGTACAGCATTGGCGCCGCTTGCGTCCTCGTGGCCTGGCTGATCTACTGGCTCGGAAGAGATGTGTGGCTCTGGGTATGGAGACGCCGCCATGGGGCATCCTGGCGTGCCTTGACTGCAAAATTGCCCGGCTCTTGGCGGCGTATGCTGTTTGTTTACTTACCCAAAGGCTTGCGATGGCTCGACATATCAACATATCCGCAGGCGCTGACAGTAGCGTTCTTGCTCGCGGCCAATATCTTTGGTATAAGCTTTCGAACACGTTCCTGGACAGAAGTGCAGAAAAAGGCCGGGGCTCTGGCAGTCATTCACTTCCTTCCCTTGTGCACCGGGATGACCTTTGGCCTTCCAGCAGACCTGCTGCGCATTGATCGCCAGACTTTCGCGTGGCTTCATCGGTGGTTCGGCCGCTTGTGCGTTCTCCAATCCCTACTACACAGCTCGATGCTCGTTTCTATCGCCCGAACATCGACGCTTGCCACTAGCCGGTACATAGTCCCACTTGTCGTACGTGAGCGACATGGTTGCGACCATACCCTCTGCTGGACCAAGTGATAGTGGCTGATTTTGCACAGGCGGCATGTTCTCTCGCCCTCATCATACTGATGACCCTCAGCACGATCCGGCTGCGCCACCCGCAATGTGCGATAAAATGCCACTACGTACTGGCAGTCGCTGCCATTAGCACCCTTGGCTATCACCTCGTGGAACGACACTCGGTGTATCGCTGGTATTTGCTCGGCGCGGTGTGCTTGTGGCATTTTGCCAGCGTCACGGTCTGCGTGCTGACCGTGCTGGCCCATAGACCTTGGCGAAAGACCACATACGAGGTGGCCATGAGCGCGCCAAACCATCTCTTGTGGCTTGACATCGCGATGCCCATTGAATGGACGATCCGACCCGGTCAGCATGTTCAAGTGTGGCTACCCCGTGCCGGCTCACGCGCTCGCCTCCAGCTTCTTCTCTTCTATGTGGCTGTCTGGGAAGAAGACGAGACTGAGAATCGGCGGCGAATCCACATGGTGGGCCAGCCTCGATCCGGCCTCACCACTAAGCTCCACCAAGCAGCGTCGCACCGAGCGGCCCTGGTCAGAAGCATGACGGAACAAGCCGACCTCGATCAGCAAGCGCTCACTCCACAGAGCCTGGATCCGACCTTGCGGCAACCGGCCGTCGTGCTTGGACCGTACGGGAACGCTTACGACTTCTCCCGATTCGGCACCGTTCTCTTCGTAGTGGAGAGCGTTGGCTTTTTTCGAGCACTCTCATATATCGGAATGCTTGTAGAGGCGAGCCGCAAGCGTCAAACCATGGTGCGGAAATTAGAGATTATATGGCAGGCGGGGGTGTTCGGTACGTATACGGCCGTGGCCTTGCCTCGCCTGGCTTCCTCGGATATTGATGTTCGGACCCGAGCAGCACGCTGACGTTCCTCTCGCAGACTATCCGCAGTGGCTGGGGCGCTGGTTCCGACGGATGTTTCAGCTTGATAAAGAAGGATTTGATGTGAGTGCCTCGGCGAAGAGACTTGATTGAGCGAGCGCGCATTTGACGACATCTAGATTCTACAGTTCAGCATCTACTGCTCGCAAGCCACATCGGACCCCAACTCCCAGCGCTCGTTCAAAACGGGCGAGCGCGTCTGCTATTACGAGGGGTCCGCCGATGTGGAGAAGAAGGTCACGCAATATGTTCAGAACCAATGCGGGGAGATGGCCGTAGCGGGTTCGTTTCCATTTGCCTCTTCCCTCGTCCCCCTTCTCCCCTGCGACCGCGGTACGATTAATAAGTCTAACGAATCCACACACAGTATGCGCGGGGCCTCTGATCCACGACACAGTCCAGCATGTCATTCAGCCTCATGCTGGCCATCACCTCCGCTTGGTCACCCTTGACCTCGGGCCTTGTCATACGTGGGCACAGAACAACCACCGGCCGGAGAGCAGTGCTAGTGTCGAGGAACAACCATCGATATCGACAAAACTGGGGAAAAGAAGACCAGAGGCGCGGTTGGCAGATTCGCGGGCTTTGCAGACCCGGCGGTTGTCTGTGAATGGTTCTCCGGAGGAGCTTGAGGCATATCGCCCGGGTTACCAACTAACCAGCCACGACAAATGGTTGGAGCAGAAACTGACTGAGGGACGGAGACTGGGTTAGAGAGACTGCCGTCCATATACTCTATATTTTGAGTTAGAGATGAACAAGTGTAGAATATATCTGTTGTTGGATAACAATAGCAGCTAGCCATCGCATGGTAGTTTCTTCTGCCCATTGCCATTTCATTCTCTATCTGCTGATTTTTATCCTGCAACGCCAGCCTGTCCGTTGCCTCATCCGCCGGAAGTTCGTGTATGACCGGCAGACCACCATAGGAAGCCTGGCATCTTGTCTTTGCCGCCGCACAATTGGTCCGACGCCGCGAGCAAATGCCAACCCTCGGAAACGCTTCCGGGTCTATGGAATGTTTGTTATGGTAGAAGGCTGACCGAAGACCATGACACCGTTCGCATCGGAGCTCGAATGTACATGGCTTAGCTTGCAGTACACGAAAGCCAGTTGCGCCTACCGCTTGATGCTGTGGGTGTCCTGTGCCCTGCCGTAACTGGTTGTCGTTATGACTAGATGCGACAGAGCGACGCGATCTTTTCGTTCTGCTTGTTGCTCGTGAGAAAATGCTAGAAAGTGCTACCGTCACAGATGCGCGCGCATCAGGAAAGCTAGTCATACCTCGCATTTACCCACAGCCTGGTTCCATGAATCCAATGCATGTTCGTGTCGACAGATATCTGAAGTGCTCTAGATGACGCAATGAGCTAAGTGCAATGATCATAATGACAGGCTCCGGGTCACTTCCAATGCCTTATGTAGATACCCGAGGGCCATACCCGCGAGAAATCGCGCCTACTCCGATGTTATGCACGTAGCGACATTGCGACCAAGAATCCAAACTAGACGCACATCAAGGCAAAATAATCAGACCCTGTTTAAACGTGAGATCACCGCAAATAGTCCCCAATCTCAGAGTAGTCATATCCCCGGGGTTTGTGATTATGATTTGCGACCATTTTGCCAAGGCGTGAGCGGAAAGATGATGTGTTGAATAACCGTGGGAATGAGAGGTGACCGCGAAAGGCTGGAATCTACTCACAAGACGTGATTGAACGTTCAAAACAAAATGGACTTGATCTAGTATATGGATCAAAATGAGTAAACTGGTCGCTGACCCTCATCTTAAAGTGGAGATCTGTGGACCCAACGTTGATGGTTGACGCGGGGTCAAACGCCGGTTCCTCTGAGGTCCCAATATTATTATCAACCTTCCGGCTTCATACTTGCCATATAGAGCAAAGCGCAAGCCTTGGTACGGTGTCACTCGGGCTGAGAATGTTCGCTCTCGGGGTGTTGATTGCTTTGGGCGTGGGGTCTGGCTCATTGGCCGCCGCGTCACCCGCCCTCACCGTCCGGTCCTCCACCGGCGCATGTTGTTCAACGTTGTTGTCCCCCTATCCGACGCCAGCGCTAATGGCCTCTAAGAGCTTTCTGCACCATTGCAGCTCCTTGCCTGGGACGTACCGGACTGCCAAGGAATGCCCGCCTAAGACCAATTTCAATGACACGATTGTTGCGTGAAATCTACCAGGCTATCTCATTGCCCACAGTTTCCGGCTGAACCGTACATTAGAAGGGCAGGAACAGTTGGACATCTCCGTGACCGACAATTATTCCGCGTGGTATTCAGATAAAAGCCAATTGTCATACAGCAGCTCATCATGCACCGATTTCTGGCAGAGCTATTATGCTAAGAATGGGACTACGGCATGTCACAATACACCACCGTTTACGTGTCACCGGTTGTGGGACAACCCGGGCTTACCGACGTCTTGAAGGATCCGTTGGGACTTTACTGCTCTACGGAGTGGCCTCGTCGAAAGAAGCCTATGGTACTTGCAGCTTTTAAATCAGAAGCAGCAGCCTCTATAGCAAACAGGGCGATTGGCGTAAGAGAAGCTAGACAATTAAACCAAGGGTGTTTGCATGCTACCTATAAGAGGCAATATAATCAATGGATCGCCCCAGCCACAGCATAGCTGTGGCCCTCACTCTTGCCGTACGCCAGGTAAAACAGACCCGGTCCACGACCATCCTCGCTGACCTAGAAGCGTGTCGAGTAGCCAGCATGATGGTGATGATGATGATGATGATGATGATGCGGGCTTTGTTAAAGATAGGCAAATCAAATTCCGTTCAATTAAGATCAAGAGATTTGCTCCCGGAATGCATGGCTTTTTCACCCTCCCGTCAGGAGTCATACTGCAAAGTTCCCTGCTATATTCCGTACAAAACAGACCGGATCGAGCGCTGACACGGGCGTGGCTGAGCGAACGCACGAAAACGCGTTCTCCCGGATAAGGCCCGACATTGCCTCTTTCCGCGGCCACATGTACATTTGAAAATGCGAATCACCCCAAGCCCCTTGGCTGTCCTGCCGCGAGATAATATCACATACCTGCCCACGAATTCGAGGCAGATTTCCCAGGGTCGACTCAACGCGAGGTAGGAAAAAGGGGTATTCCTCTGCCACTTCGCTAGTCCCCGTCATCAGCCTGCATAGCCGAAACTCTACCCACTGTATCGGCTCGAAAAGCAGAAATGCAGACATCCAGAGGAAGATGTCGTCGGCGCAAGTGTGAAAAGACAACGGGTCTGGCCCAGTCCAGGGAAAGCAGCGCTGGGAATCATAACTGGGATAAAACATGCATTCGACGACGAATGGCGTGAGGACTTCTTTGTTTGGACAGACGGGTGTGTTGAGCGGTTCCATCGAGAAGGGATTGTCATAATCAGCCGCGAGGCGAGGAGTCGTTGGTATGTCGATAAAATCCGCCCACAGCTGCTCCAGATCCAGATCCAGATCCAGAGGGGGGCTGAAAGCGACGAATGTGAGCACCTAAAGCCAATGTTGGGAAACAGCTAGACTGACCGATTTGTGAGTTATCCATTTCTTCTGCATACGAGTGCTGTCACACCTATTCAAGGCTATGCGGGCGGCTGGTGTTGGTTGTGATATATATAATTCGAGAATTGAGATTTCATGTGCAGTCTCTCTTAGCCTGTTACGAAGATAGCTGAGCGAATTTTTAGAGATCGTCTCCATCATGGATAAGACAAGTTAATTAACTACCGTGTAGACTTGGAATACCGCAGGAAGAATCGCGCAAAGTCGCCACGGTGTTTGGTCCACGCGTCCAGGGTGATGCCGGGCGGAGAGAACTGCCCCACACAAACCCATGACACCGATTAAGTCTTAACTGGCTCTGCCTACTCGTCCAAATTGTTGCGCAGACCTGCAACCACTCCAGTGCTTCCTTGGCAATTTGTGCAATCAACTGCTGTGAATCAACACAAACTCGCCCGAGCTCTCCGGTGAGGCAACATCATGGCAACTCACTCATCTGATATGAGCGTCTATCACTGCTCTGCAGGATTTGGAAAACCCTCCATTGGATCGAATCAAAGGCCTGGCGTCGATCCCACAGCAGCAGGGCTTGATTAGTGCAGGCTTCATGAAGGCGGGCGTTCTCGCGTGCCAGCCAGTCATTCGAGCTCCGCAGAATCCGGCGCTCCTCTTCTAAGCGTATCTTGGAAGCCGACTTGATGACATAGCACTCCCAGACACACAAGTAGAGATCAAGAAGCTCTATTGCCGTTGATGCAAGTGGAGGGTTCTTGCGCAACATGAGTTTGAGCTCACTCGCAAGGTAGCAGGTTGTCGCCGCAACATTTATCTAAGAACATCATCAGAGCCGACTGGATGTTGTTTTCAAGAATCACTCACCTTTTCGCCGCACGCTGCTTTGGGGTCATAGGTGTTTATCTCTTGATTGGTGCCTTCTAGTCCTCCTGACTCCTCATTCGCCTTCGACGACTGGCGTCTTCTCTTGATGGGCCGTGTCGAAGGCGAGTGGGAACCGAGCGTATTCATCGAATGGATCAAGGGTTTTCAGATTGGGATTGTTAGAAGGTGAGGCTTCCCATGACCAACAAATTTCCGTCTTGATGTAGCTTCTTATACAGCGCGCTGGGGGCTGCGCTTTACCACTCCCGAAAGGTCTTTCTGTTATTCCCTCAGGAAATCACATCGAACCGATCAATTCTTGCTTTCTCGTAGGATAGCATGGCCGCAATTTTGTGTTTCTTTTACCCAACAAAAACGAAACTGTGTTCAATTCAGAAACACAACACCTCCTTTAACTGCCGCAACAACACAAACTGTCCGCTGAACCCAATCCTATTAACAAACCCCTACTCAAACCTATTTGACCGGCAACTTTGATGTGGAAAATCTTCCCATCAAAGTCCTAGAAGACTCAGAGTAGATGGGCAGCTTCACCTATCTATTTGATGGCTTACTGGAACAGAGTGTTTCTAAAGAGAACAACGGAAGCTTGCTATTAAGTCTGCAACACCTGAATATTTTCAATAGAGTGATGACTCGATCTTTTTTGTTGAACCAAGCGCAAGAATTGGCGCGGACGGCATTTACAGCCGCATAGGGTCCGTAGTTCATTCTGGTGGCAGTCACCATTGACTTTTTTCAGAAAGGAGCGCGGAATGATTGCTCTCCAAATGAACTTGGACTTTCTTCATGCTTGTGTTATCGTCCGATTTACAGTACAGTACATACCCTCAAATCTAGAAGTTGTCAGTAGTGGTTCTGGATCGTGTTTCGTCTCCAGTAAATAACTGGATATTGTGATAAGCCAGGAACCATGAAACGCCGCGGCTTTTGCAGCAAGATTCACCGCTTCCGCCCATTTGCTGTTAAATGCTATAGTCCAAATCATGAGGCTGAAATTAAGAACGTATGATATGAGATTGGTACTTAATCCAAAATAAACGACTTTTAAAAGACTGAACTAGTTTTCCCACTTCGAATGCATGCCTATTTGCAACTGGGAGACCTATATCCACCGCGTGTGCAGGAATCAAAAAATGACCATGTAAATCCAGCTCTCGACATTTCCCGAAGCGGCCCACGGCCATGCCACGGTCAAGCGCGGGGAAGCTGCACCAATCATCACGAATCGTTCGCGTCAATCGCATTTGACCTGACGCATCACTCGCCACCTCCCCGGAAGTTCGGGCTCAGTAACAGACCTTTCATCATTATTTTCCCCACCATCTAGTAGCACTAGAGTAACGTCTCCCCCCTTTTCTCTTTCGAGTATCAAGCCTACTTGGATTTTCCTCCCCGTGTGTATGCGTGTGTTTACACAGCTAAATCCCAAATCTCCCGTCTCCCATTTCCCACGCTGCTGACTGTTGTGACTCACTTTCCACCTGAGAGCGGTGGCGAACCTATCCGTAAATCAACCCCTTCTTCGAGCCCCTGACACTCTGCATCATCCTGCATCTTTCGGCCGTTATCATGTCCAGTGATCGTTCCTCCGACCCCATCTTCATTCCTGCCTCCAATGCCCGTCCCCGGCGTGGCTCCATCGGCGAACTCGTCACGAAGCAGACTAATTCGACGGACAGTCAGGCTGCTAAGCAGAAGGTCAACCAGCAGCGCCGACTATCCATAAACTTCCTTGGAATGTCTGAATTTTACACCGAGACCTCTCAACTTGACATCCTGGGCTTCCACCATGGCAGTCTATGTAACTCTGGGGAATCCAGCGCCCCAAACGAGGACGTGATAGTAGAAAAGACGGTAGGGTCGCCATCGGACGCCATCTTCACCTCCCCTTTGGCCCGACGGGCGTCGATAGGAGCGTTGGCGCTCCGTGATGCTAGCGCTGGAAGCATTGGCAATCGTACATATCTCCCCCGGTCTATCACCCATCAGAAGGACCCATCATGTTTTATTGGTGGTCAGCGCTGCTTACCTCAATACCCGGTCTCCTGGTGCAATTACCTCATCGTCTCCCAGTGACGATGTAGCTAACACTATGCTTCGATTAGCAAATGATTTCAATTGGAATGAGGCCCTCAGCTGGCGTGCCAAGTGCGCTACTGCCCTTGATGACCCCGTTTCTCCTCAGTTTCACATCGCGCCATGTTACTACGGCCATCAGCGTTCCGCTTCAGTTACCTCAATGAAGCGGCCCGTGAGAGAAATTTCGAAGCAATCACAGCCCGATTTCTTTGAAGAAAGAATCTTGCATGGCGACTTCATGGAATAAACGCTATGCTCGCTTCGAGAAGCTCCAGCAAGATGCATTTAACCTTATCGTGGCTTGATACTGCAAGTACCAGACATCTTTTTTCCTGACACCTTCCTACCTCTCGGTAGGGGTCGGCACGAATACATATTCGTAACATTTTGAGATATTCGCATTCGCATTCGTAGTTCACAAACCTCTACGAATATTCGTATTCGCACGGCCAATATTCGTACGAATATTCGTACGAATATTACCCCGTCGCCAAGACCAACTTCCACCCAATAAGACAAATCGTATCACGTGCAGTTTGTTTATCCAAGTTGCGTCCGAATCTGGTTGATTTCAGGCCCGCGTTTTCGATGCCGGTACTGGACCTCGGAATGTCTGATACTGAATTGCAAGCTCCAAACAGTGATGGCTCCGGCAGCTCATCTATCGAATTGCCACCACGACCCCAACGGGCTCAGAGAATCGACTACCACTTCTTGAATGGCGGAAGTGTCGACGACGATATTGAAGATCATATCAGAAAGAAACCCCGACTGGATCCGCCACCCGGTCGCTTAGAATCGATTGGTCCAGAAGACTCCGCAAGCCAGCTGCATCTCAATCTACCTATCCCTTCGCAATCTGCTCCACTAGGGGGCTCTAGAAGCCTTACAGACGCCATACGGCCATACAAATCCCGCAGTAAATCCCGCATTAAGCCACTGAATCAATGGCTTTGGAACCAATTTCGAGTCAGACCTCTTTCGGGCAAACAATGGCGACCCAGGCGAAGCCAACAGCTGCTCGAGGATCGAGAGATTCAATGCATTCACTGTGGCTGGAAAACCACAGATTCGGCGAGGGCAACATCGACAACCAACATGAAGACGCACCTGGCCAAACACAACATTTTTGAAAAGTCCGATCCAGAGGACCCGGGCGAGGGTTCTAGCGTGACGAAAAAGCACTCAATTGCTTCAATGTTTCAGTTCCGAGCTGAGCGTGATGTCAGCGCCCTGCTGGAACAGAACATACTTCGATGGATCGTGACAGATGATGTGGCATTCACGGCAATTGAGTCCCCGGCATTCCAACAGATATTCAAGGACTTGCCGGAAGCCCCTCTTCCCTTCTCTTCTCGAACGGTTGTCCGCCGTATTGACTCGGATTTTGATCGGAGTCGGATCCAGTTGATCGACGAACTAGCTCGGACATGCTCCACAATTGCGCTTTCCTTGGATGTCTGGACAAGCAAAAACCATAAAGCCATTTTGGGAGTTATCGGCCACTGGATGTCCACCGACTTTAAATATCAAGAACGAGTCTTGGAGTTCAGCGAGCTTGCTGGGTCCCACAGTGGAGAAAACATGGCGGAGACTCTGCAGAAGATGCTAGTCGAGCTTCGAATTGAGGAGAAGTTGCTCACAATCACAGCTGATAATGCGTCGAATAATGAAACGCTGGCGTCTGAGCTGTATTTTAACCTATTGGAAAAGTACAACTCGGAGGGTTACAATGTGCCCGATAAAGGACGTCTCCGATTTCAAGGTATTGATAGCTACATCCGGTGTCTTGCACATGTCCTCAACCTCATTGTCCGCGACATCCTCTCGGGGATGAAATCTGGAGATCACAAGTCTGCTATGGAAGCCTGTGACCTCCTGCAGGGAAATAAGAAAATCGGACGGCAGTCTGCGTTGGCCCGGATTCGGATCATGGCTCTCTGGATATTAAAGACACCTCAACGACGACAGCAGTGGAAAGTGTCTTGCCAAGCAAATGGCTTGAACGACAAGTTCATCGAGTATGATGTGGAAACCCGCTGGAACTCCACCTACCGTATGGTCCAGGGAGCCTTACGAGCCAAATCACAGATCCGGAAGTGGATAGAGCATCAGAACCAGTTCCCGCCCTTTTCAGCTGATGACTGGTTGCAGCTGCAACAGCTCGAAATGATCCTTTCCAAGTTCGATGAGTTCACTCAGCTGGTTTCCCGGCGACAATCCCAGATCAGCCTAGCTATTCCCATCTACTACGAACTGAATGACATGCTCGAAGATGCAGCTTGTGCTCAAGGCGACTTTTCGGGGCTTAGTTCTGACATTACCTCCGCCATCTCCGCGGGGATGAAGAAATACAAGAAGTATTATGAACTGATGGACGCCCAAGATGCTTATTATATCGCTCTTGTCCTTGATCCACGCTTCAAAACGGTCTTATTGGATAAGGAGCTCGGGCAGGTAACAGCGCCAAAAGTTATTCGATCCATCAAGGATACTTTGCATGAGCAATACCCATCCAAACCGTCACAGGAGCAGCCAATGTCAAAAATTAACCAGGGCAACAAGCGACAAAGCCTAGAGGCTCGTGTCCTGCAGAAACTGCAACCGCAAGTGATCCAACGTTCCGATATCGACCGCTACTTTGAGGAAGGTGTGGTGACGGTTGATGAATCTGTAACAAAAAACGAAGATTGGTTATTTTCCTGGTGGAGGATGCACAAGGACGAATACCCGCGGATGGCTGCTGCAGCCAGAGATTATCTTGCCATCCCGGCAGCTGAAGTCGCAGTAGAGAGATTGTTTAGCCGTGGTAGGGATCTGGTAGGGCTACGTCGGCATTCTCTGAAAGGTGAGACGATGCGGAAGGTGATGCTGTTGAGAGATATATATAGTTCGGAGAGCACCCAGTGAAAACTCCTCGAGCGTCTTGCTGGTATTCCCAACAAGCTGCTGCTCTGATTTAACGAATCTAGTAACATTAATTCCCTACGGATCATTATTCGCAAGGCGCAGGACATCAACTGAATTCTCGTCATCTCGTCACTTGGGCGATCACTGCTTCCTAGTTATAAATTAAATATAGCCACGTGATCAAAACTACGAATATTCGCGGCGAATAAAAAAATTACTCGCATTCGCATTCGTCGTGTAAAATTTCAGCGAATACGAATGCGAATAACGAATATTCGTAACGAATACGAATATATTCGTTATTCGTGCCGACCCCTACCTCTCGGCATCTGCAAATTGTCATTTCCGTTTTTGTACAGTGATATTCGAAATCAGATTTACCTCGATATTCTCTCTTGTGATCTCGCGGCGCCCCGCTTTTCCATATCGGGTTAAGTTCCCTACAAACAATGTAGCCTTGATGAGTCATGATAAATTACTGTAACGGGAGTGTCTCACGCATGCTTTCCCCCCGTCCAGACCGCCTTGCTTAAAAGAGAGAACTGACTATACAGCCAAACATACAACTCCTGGGTAGCTTGGGCAAAAAACCCTAAGATTGACCACGATTCGAAATGGCTTTCATGTTTTACATGGAGAAACAACCTTGAAACCCAACGCTCAGGCGATGTTTGAAAATCTATTCTCACTTGATCCAGCTTGTAAATCGCACCTGGGCGTTACGCCATGGCCACCCATCTAAAATATTAGTAATCGACCGCTGAAGGTCTGTCCAGCCCAGCTGCTTCAACAAGTAAAAGGATTCTGCCATTTCGTTCCGTCTTCTCGGACACATAAAAGCGCCACTCCTCCCACCTTTAAGACCATAGATTCTATTATTTCCTCGCATCATCCCCAACCTGCCCTAGCGTATAGCGAACAGCATGACAACTCACCACATCCAAGCGCGCTAATATTGCTGGATGTAACCCGCTTTGTCCCACCACGATCTGGAGTAATAGGCCGCCAGGAACTCGGTGATACTCGAGCGCCTCCCATCTTTCAACCTTGAGCCAAGACCAAATCACCTACATTCGTCATTTACTACGAAATATCATATACAAGCCTCAATATGGAATATACAGAGAAGAGGAAGGCTTCTTTCTACGACCTCCCGCTGGAGATCTTGGAATCGATCGCAATGAATCTTTACCTTTCTGATTACTTACATTTCCGTGCTCTTTGTTGTACGACATGGTCTTTGTTCGGCTGTTCGGCTCTTATACCCATTTTGAAAATTATCCAGACCCTTGAAAACGATACTTCGGAAGTGCGGTGCGAGGATTGCCATTACATATCGCGAGGCCATATCTTATCCCAAGCTTATCGAAAGAATGGTCTCGTCCCAAAGATGGATGATCTAGTGCAGCTGAAAGCTTCTTTGAAGCATCCTTCTGGCGATATGGTTGAGCGCGCAGCTCGTTCCCGCAACTACAAAATGCTCTTGACTCTCATGATTAGTCACGGTGCTTCTTTTCGAGAGGTTCAAGGGGGTATCGATAGGCTCTGTTGCGAAGCATTCGAGCAGGGCGACTTTGAAAAGTTTCGCTGGCTGTTCTCGAAAGGAGCGTCTTTAGATGTTTTAGCTGGAGTGGTATTCGATTTTTCTGGTTGTCATAGGCCAAGGTCACGTCAAGCTTGTCGCTATCATCTAAAGGGGCTGGAGAGAGCCCTTAGAGAAGGAGCAACCCCTAGTGGCCCCCATGAGGCAATGACAGCAGAGCTAAGATTGCGTCGACGTAAAGGACTCAGTGACGGTTGGAGGAGACAGATCACCTAGATATACAGCTTGTGGATGTTCGTAAGACAAGGCTTCGCACAGAGACCGCCCTTGCTACCGCCTACTAAGTTAGGTGTATTTCCTTTATTAATTTACATGCTAACTTATTTGCTGTTATTGAGACTTGAGTAGGATAAACATCCCCTTTTCCTGCCAGGGGTTGCAAACTTTTGCAACGACACTGTACAGTGCAAAGCCAAGAAACTGGAGGTATTTAGACCGATGAGCAAGAAGCACATGCGAGACACGTAATTACGGTAATTTAGCATGACTCATCAGGGCTACATAGATTAAAGGAACTTAACCCAATATGGAAAAGCGGGGCGCTGTGAGATCACAAGAGAGAATATCGAGGTAAATCTGATTTCGAATATCACTGTACGAGAGGAGGACAAATATCAGTTGACATTTTCGAAATTTGGAAGCCAAATGGCGCAATTCCTTGTATCGGGTTTTCCTCGTTGGTTTTTAAGTCTAGCGTAAAGCTCTCTTTGAGAGCATCTTGGCCCTTTGATCGGATTATTCCAAACCGATGAACTCCAAAATTTATGTGATATCATGGATTTCGATCCCGGACCTAAAGCTCAACAAGAGAATTAAATTATAAGAATACAGAGAATTACATGCATTTATCGCATCTTGTCTCTCCGAGTAAGTGTTCGTGGACCTTGTGGGTCGTGGGTGTTTGGTCACCCCCAAAGGCCAAAACGTTGAGGTAGTGAGGCACATTTTAACCTAGTATACTGCTTGGTGGGTTTCAAGGTGGTGAACGAGAAGAAAGTAAAGCAGTGAAGAAAATTTAGAACATGGCTCTTTGATCATATTCTATCGATTGTTTCTAAATCCACCTCGGTGCCGGGTTCCAGAACCTTGAAGCTTTCCACTTGCTTTTCCAGTCTCGCTCAGCCTGGGCTTCTTGAACCCGGGAGTTTTCCAAAGCAATGCGTAGTCTATCAATTGCCAACTTCAAATTTTCGTTGCCTCGTTCGGGCTCAAAGTGGCTCTGCAGCGATAGATCTTGCGTTTTCTCGGCGGCGGATGCTTCGATTGCAATGATCACGAGCTGGCGAAAATTCTCAAAGCAAGAGCGATAAAATCGGTTTTCCTCTTCTTGTTGATCACGCTGAGAAATCTTCTCGTCTTTGAGCTCCGCAAGAGACAGCTTTTTATTATATTTTGAGACGCTCAAGCGCGCTCGAGTTGTCTCCAGTGCCATAGTAGAGCCACGAGCTAAAGCAATCTGATGATCTAGTGGATTTATTTCTGGCAGCTCGCGTTTCGGAGGATGGGGTGCCGGGGTGTGACTCCATGATAAGAAACTTTTCGGCGTTTCCGGCGTCCGACTATAAATGCTAGAGACGTCATCCAATATACTCTTGTTGTCACAGTCGAAAGATATTGAAGTGCTAGACAGCATGTTTTAAATTCGCGTTTCGTCTTTGAGAGTAGATTAATGTAGTCTTATAACCCTGAGAGGGCGATTGTGCTTTAAAATTCCTCCCAGGGAAGCTAAAAACTGTTTTATTCCAAAATAATTTACTTTTCCTGCGCTATCGATAGTGTCGTAGAGCTTGTTCACAAAGATATGCAGTTATCTTTACAAAATCTGGAATTGCCAACGGAGAATGCTGCTTGAGATCAATTAATTGCGTGTTGAAAGTATTGTGCCAGTATCGTTTGAGCCAACCCAACAGAAAGGCGACTTCAGGTTTCTCACATAACTTGTTCTTAATAAAAAACGTTTCAAAATTGCTGAGGCTAAGAACGTTTGCTCGATCTAAGTTGAACTAATCAAATGGCTTCGTCATATCTAGTCATAGTGAAATAGAAGTCTACGAGATTAGAAAAGCGTCTCTTTTCTGATGATTAGCAGCCCTTTTCGCGGCACTAAGATCAAAGCAGCAAAGATTATTAACCGCGGTCACAGTCACATAGATGCCAATTTTACCTTAATAATAAAATAGGGCATTCCCATATAGATCTCTCAAAAAGAAATGTGTGCATCTCGCTATTGCCGGACTGGCTCTATATAACTGCACTAAATCAAAGACACTGCCTTTGGACTCGTTGCCTCTGGACTCATTGCCTGAGCTGGCCGAAGATAGCCAAATTTGAAACCCAAATAAACGACAACAAAAATGGCAAAGAAGATCGCCAAGGAAAATATCTTGTTCGATTTCGATGATATACAGCATACATTTTATCCTGAAAAAGCATACAATCCGCCTGAAGAGAATCCTGACATAAGCAAAAACTTGCGTTGCATTAAAGACCCAAGAAAACCCCCAGAAAACAGGGCAAGGAAGGCCATCAAGGGACTCCCAAAGTGTCTGGGACTACCCCAGATTTGCAAATTTCCAAATAAATCGACGAATACGATAGTAAGACATGAATCTCCTTGGGACACATATCGGCGCATTGGTGTTTGTGAAATTTCGGGAGAGGTCATTGTTGCCGCCGATCGTTCTCGTTCATCCCGCTTAAGAACATTCCGTGAATATGGTAAGGCGGATGCGGACAAACTAATTCATCATCTTCGAAACTTTGACCACCTGAACATCCTTACTGCCCAAGAATGCTACCTAGATCAATTCTCAATGTATGTACTGGTTGAACATCTCCCGCTGACTTTAAACGATCTTGTTTGCTGTCGCGCCATCTATCCCAACGAAGCAGAGTTGGCCTCAATTATGTCGCAGGTAGGCTTTTATTTAATGAGACATTTTTCCATTAGCTAAATATGAGTCAACAGCTCCTCAATGGTCTTTGCTTTCTTATGTCTGTCGGCTTGACTCACCGTTCGCTTTCCTGTCACGAAATTCTTCTCGGCTTGAATGGAATCGTCAAAGTTGGTCTGTAGTCAAGGATTATCCGCAAAGGTTTTTGTTAATGTTTGCCGCAGGCCGCCCGGAACTATGTGTAGAATGTGACCCTCGTCAGTCAGATCTCACTTACACCAGATCATTGCCATCTATAGTGATGTCTCTCATGCAGAAATACGAAAAGAATAAAGGGACGATTGGGGTTGATGACTTGGATCGCTGGCCGGTCGGCTCCGACGCATTTGAGTTTTTATCTGCTACATCGTCAATTGGCTCACTGGAAGACTTGAAAGAGGTGCAGTCGGCCCGAATTACACTTCTCAAAGTTTTTTTGCTCAAACTGAATGATGAATAGCATCCTTTCATTGCTGGGAAATCCCGGTCTGCAAGCGATGTTGTGAATCTTGTACAAACCGTTTTGTTCAACCTGAATCTGCATCCATTGGAGGCCTTGCAGCAATGAAAATGGGAGATTTACCCGGAGCTTTTGGTCACTTATCTATCTTGCACTGACGGTTACTTGATTAATCCCCACCGTGAACCACTTAAACCACAATCGTCTTTGCTGAGCTTGCTGCCCGCACGAACATGACAGCACGAGCAACCCGTCTGTTTTCCTAGCCACTTACAGTATTCCCTCACCTGAAGGCAACACAACTGCATCTCTTAATTGCACGCCACTATACCTGTGGTAATTCTAGAGCTAATACATGCTAAAAACCCCGACTTCAGGAAGGGGTGTATTTATTAGATAAAAACCAACGCCCTTCGGGGCTCCTTGGTGAATCATAATAACTTAACGAATCGCATGGCCTTGCGCCGGCGATGGTTCATTCAAATTTCTGCCCTCCTGTACTCTAATGAAACGTTTTCTGCCACGTAGTGTCTGTCAGCAAAGCATGTCACATGTACGATAACAAGCGCCCAGCCAGATGATCGTAAGATGAGTGACAAACTGGCCAAGTCTAGAAGCAGGTGATCCCTTGAGTCAAATGTGCACAGCCGTCATGTCCTTCAACACTTCAGTGAAATCTTGATGGGGTTCTGAGCCACTGCGATACGCCGGAGAGCCACCCTCTTTTCCTGTTTATCACTCTCCGTCACACCGTTTATGGCCCACCGTTTATGCCCACCGTTTATCGCCCACCGTTTATCGCTCACCGTTTACCGTTTATCGCCCACCGTTTATCGCCCACCGTTTATCGCTCACCGCCGTTTATCGCCCACCGTTTATCGCTCACCGTTATCGCCCACCGTTTATGCCCACTGTTTATCACCGAACCTTTTATTTGACGGCGCGATTTTGTACCTGCTCGCGTTCTATCAACTCTTACGTGGTGAAACAACCGGCTTACCTTCACGGCGGTGCTTCGACCTTCACTGATGATCACTTTCGATGACGAGTCAACCGTTTTGCAGAGAGACCTTGGCCAATAACCAGTTCAAAGAAATCTCCGCACTGACGTACGAGCCCAGAGGAATGGGTCCTGCTCCACAGCGGAGAGCATCGAGTTCATTCACCTCACCAGGAAGACAAGAGAAAGGTGCACGACTCCGAGGAGCTGTCGCGAATTTTGCCTGAGTTGATCGGCTTAGCGCTTAGGCTGTTGTGATGGACAAATTACAGGGTGAATTGGTTAGTAAAGGCGAGGAAATCCAAAACAATGCATTTCTTTGTTCAATCCTGCGTACAGCTCGATGACCGCTGTTGAAGCTCCTTTTATAGCGAGCGCTCGTATGGTCATGCATCGGCTCCTCTGTCACGTTGAAACCCAATCCATCCGACAGAACAGATGCAGCATCTGCATAACTGTAATGGTTATTTACCATTTCTTGAGGTCAACATGCTGCTGCTATGAGATATATCTATCGCCTTTGGTAAAACTGACTCCAAAGATATAACGTTTATCCAAGCCAATTTCTACGACCCCAATGTATCTACTACTTGGTTGTGGCTTAATCTCCACCAGTCGTGAATTCAAGGCTTGATCTGTCCTTCAACATGCACTACGAGAAAATGGCAGCGAAATATGAGCTATTACAGGCCATTGATGATATTCTTAGCTCCGCATTAACTCCACATCAACAAATCTAGGGGTCTATTTGATTAAAGAAAGAACCGGCTTGCGCTCAAGACATAGAGACAATTCGAGCTAACAAGTGTAACCGAAAACCGCTATGTTGTAAAAAGATATCTCAATAACTGTGAGTTGTTGCAACCACTGGAAAGTTGATTATGGGGGCGGTGGCTCAAGGAAAGATTTAGTAGGACCAGCCCTCTCATAGTTTGGACAAGCATCAAATGCATGCGATTAGAAGCTCTGATAAGCACGACCCAGAAGCCTTTGAAGTATTTAAATTGGTGCTTATTAGCTTTCAGACAAACCTTTAATCAACTTCGTAATGAGAATCAAGTGGTCACAAACGTCGTTTTTTTTGTTGCAGAGCTGGCTCCATGAAATGAACACGTCTTTTTGTTCCCCGAGAGCAATAACAAAACCTTTTCGGAGGCCAGCAACGCTCCAAGTAATCTGATCGGCCGAAATGAGCGAAAGCCTGTTGGGCTTGAAGGAATCCGTACATTGATTTCGGAAACCCCCCAATTTTATGGTAAAATTGGTCATTGGCAATTCCAAGGCTAATTTCCTCTTCAAGGCTGTTTACAGAAAATGATATTGCTTTGCGATAATACCCACATATGTGACAGCCGTCGTTATCTTGTAAAGAGCCAAGCCGATAGCCACGACTTGTCTGGAAATGCCCATTCGGAATTTCGATTAAAACACGATTCAGTATATCGCTGGCCCTTGGTCTGGAACAGAAGATTGATCCTTGGCATAAGAATGACCTGTGAGTCTGGGTTGGAGTTTCATCTAGCTCAAAGAAAAAAAAGCCAGTCACCAGAACTGCTCTCACTAAATCATCAGGTATGGAGAAATTCAGTTTGGACATGTCGTCTAGCTTTCCCAAATCGTCTAATTGGGGTAGAACTTCAGACATGACATGATTGACCCGAAAAATATCGGACTTGATATGATTTGGAACATAATTCAATGCCTCACGAAAACCCTGTTCTCCGTCCATGCATGGAGAGGATAAGGTTGCGCGAATCATGCGAGGAAGTGCGCTGTCGCGCCAGGAGCTTCGAGAAGTTTGACCCGGTTCGGGAATGTGTACAGAACAGCCAGTGCCAACTGATATAAGCATGTCATGCTTACCGGATGATGGCCAGATGATCTCTGACTCCTTCAAGGCAATTGCCAGAGGATTGTTGGCCCGCACACCACCGTCCTGAAAAACCCCGAAACCTGGAAGAGGTTTGGTTTGAAAGAAGCTTCTTCATTAGCTTTATATATAGGAACTTTGGGGACAACTTACAATGGAGCAGCAACACTGCATTGTGCCCTTTAGAGAAGAAATAAGAGTTAGCTTTAACTGTCCTTGCGCACCTTCAACGCGCAACCGTAAAATACACTACTAGACCCAATACTCACACTTCCCATAAAAATGGATTTTGGTCCTCGTTTTGTGGAATCAAGAACTGATAAGCTGCGTTTGGGCCGCGATGACCTATGCCGCGGTAATTTGCGAAGACACAGGCTTTGCCATCCGAAGAGCGACTTGTTATGATGGCTACTCGACAACCAGCGGAATTGGTGGTCGCAACATCAAAGATTCGACGCTGGTGGCCCAGTATCGTCTTGAGGTTATGTTCCAAGATAGTCGAATTGTACTGACAGTCTCTCAACACTGAAACCACGCAATAAAATAGTTCGAAGCAGCGAAGCATTGCAGGCTTTCCTCTCCATGTTGAAGATTGAAAAATCTTCTGAGCAAAGGCGGGAAACTTAGTGCAACCATCTTCCGCGGATGTTTCGTTGAAAACCATATCCATCTCTGAAAGTGCGCCTTCTCCCAGAGAGATATATTATTAGGGGCCGACTCAACTAATTTAGAAAGATTGTGGGGAAAAAATGCAAAATATGCACTCACCGACACTTGTTCCGGTACATAGGTCGGGAATATCTCTTATCTGTATGGGCCCAAGTCGTCTTTCTAGAGCTCGTAAAAGGCCTAACTGAACGATACCACGAACTCCCCCACCATCTAAACTAAGAATGACAGGTCCTTTTGTGGGTGGTAGTTGTCGAATTGTGAGCTGAAAGCATGTTCCGCAGATAGGGCAGAGGGTGAGGTCCGTATGGTACTCAGCGCTGGAACTTGCCGTGCCGAATAATACAACGCAAGCATCGCATATCGAATGTCCACAAGGCATCATGTGCTCGGGGGGTCGACAAATGCAAGAAAGACATGTTGTTATTGAGCGCAAACCGCCCCACTGACGATAAAAATGCGCCATCGACTCGCGCCGTACCTCCAAGGACGGCTTTTTTGGTTTCAAGAAAGCGAAGGCCTTGACAAAATGAGCTAGGACATTTTCCCAGCTGAGCTCAGAACAGGTATTAATTAATGCTTGCTCGATTAGACCCCGATAAAGCGTATGGAAAACTACCTCTGGATCGAACACTGTCCTCATTAGGTTCCAGAACGACAGAATAAAACAAAAATGAAAACTCCTTACAGTGCATCTTGGGAGGGTAAGCGTTCATGAGAAGGGCTGAAGCAAGAAACATGCAGATATCATGCTCTTGAAAACATGGTTCGACCATGTTTTTTAAAAAGTCCATGTAGCAAGTTACCATCCCTGAAGTTTCCGGATAATTTGCTCGCGCCGCAAGAAGGCAATCCAGACCTGAAGAAGTTGTTGGCAACTCAACTAGTAGTTGGAGACTTCGGTACCAGAGCTCTCTCAGATGCACTGCGGAGAAAGAAAGGTGCGTTCTTTTTTGTTCGCTCAGCACTTTTTGGGTTTCATTTAAAATCAACTTTCGTAAGGGTTCGAATGCTACCGACGGAGTCATCTGTTCCCGTTCGCTGAGGTCCAAGATAGTCCAATTCAGCGGTAAGATATTTGTATTAGCCATTTTCGTAGCTGTTTTGTTAAGGCTTTTGATCGAGAGGTTTGCATTGGCTGTAAGCACAATGACCACACGCATGGTGTCTGGAACCATTTGTCCGCCCACTGCTATTCTTTCTCTTGGATCTTGAAGGAGGACTTTCAGGTTTTCGATCTCAGCAGCTGAATCCACAAATGCACAGAAAACTTGAGTCCATGGAAATATGAGCTTCCTGATCACTTTGTGTTGAAGATCTTCAAATCTAGGGGACAATTTGTTATTGATAGACCACCGTCGAGACTTGTTAAATGATCGTTTGAGAATTTCTGTATCCCCAAGCCCTGTACGGCTACTCAGGTTACTTTCAGCAAATATTATAGGGTTTTCGGTACGGGCAGTTGTTGTGCTAAGATGAAGCCGGACTAGTCCGGCTGGTCCTTTGCGCGTCACATTGTTCCGAGGAAACAGTGCGCGGAGGGCTTTAATGCGATTACCATTGCCAGCAAAATAGATGAAAGAGGGGAATTGGGACTCCGGGTGGTTCATATCCTGAACTACCTCTTCCAATCTGCCGGTGTCTACCAAAGACCATCCGGTGGCGTCCGAGACGAGATCAAGCCAAGCCGCCATTGAGAATCACGTCAATGGGGGTATTTAGATAATAAGTGAGCCATTTATATAGCTCATAGTTGCGCAAGTCAAATTTTTCCTATATATGTAATGCCCCATCATTTTACTGGTGCCCTCACTCCCTTGTCTTTTAGGTTTCTGGAATGTTGCAATGGTGAGCGTAAGCAATATGCTCGATATTCAGAAAAGAAAATAAACTGCAATTATGTAATTCGAACGCTCAGCCTCACTTCCGTGCGGTCTAGTTTGAAGTTAATTATATTTTTAGAAGGACTCGGAGGTAAAACCAGTGCTTTGCTGCATGGGGCTTTTTTCTGAGACAATCTTTACAAAGCTACCGTCGAGCTCTAAACGGTGAACATAATTGTGTCGGCTTTGCTTATTCCGGGAGGTCACTGAAGGTTAAGGTAAACGGTTATACAGGCTACTTGTATCATTGAACTGGGATAAGCTTAAAGCTAGCTGGTCCTAGTGGTTTATATTGGAAGGCTGCTATTAAACCCAACCTATCCCAGCCTAGCCCAGCCTACGTGGCTCAAAATCCCAATTGCGTTGAAATTATCTATATATGTTTGTTCCCATGCCTGGGCGGGTAAATCGGAAGCTTGACGTTCTTGAGAAAATGCTTGAGCATTTTCAATCAAATTCATTCAAAAATGATAAATCCATACATCAAGTGGGCACCTCCAACAGCCATTCAAATGACTCACGATATGTGGAAATGCTTAAGGAGGAAGCCCAAATGGATCTCAGGTACAATATTACAGCTAGCACAGCTAACTGGGCTCTTCTTGCGGGTTACCTGGTTGTACCTGGAACTTTCACCTCATTGCAAGATTCAAACAAAGTCCAAGATGCGTTGCAAGCAAACAAGACGGGGCGAGCTATCTTGAAGACAATCCAAAACCCCCCACTACTCGTCATCGCCTGCTTATTCTTCGCTGGCGGAACAACAGCGTTGTTTTGTTTGTTTCGATCCCGAAAAATCAGGAACAATTATCCTTGGTTGATCAACAAGATTTTCATGTAAGTCTGTCTATAGTAAAGTTTTCGACCGTGCTTATATGTGATTCAGACCTGCCTCCTTGAATGCGGCTGCTGGATTGCTCACCCCATTTGTCAATATCTACACATCCCGCTCGGGCAACTGGTCGTTGATGGCCATTGTCACAACTATCGTGACAGGTCTCAGTTTGCTTGTATTCTCTTCTTTGCTGTGTTTCTACAAGATGTTCAAATTGAACAAAATAATTCGACAGGACGAGGCTGGATCAGAGAATTAGATATTTGTCTTCTATCATTCTTAAATCATTCATTTGCAAAAGTGAGGATATGATAGTCTATGTGCAATAGTGGATTTTGTCATTATCTATAGGCAGATGGTAACCGCACACCCCTTCCATTTTTTGGCACACACTCCAACCCACTTCTTTCCTAATTAAGGAAACTTCATGCCTTAATGCCCTCGCTTAAAAATAACTACTATATCTTACTTCAGCGAGGTGAAGTCGGAATATGAAGGAAAACTCCACGGGAATTGGCTGCAGAAAAGGTAAAGTTGGGCCGAAGAAGATGCAGAAACGCAGAAAACGATGCGTAAAAACCAGGAGTTGGCGGGTCGATTTGTAGAGGATTTAGCTGTGCTTTGATTAGGGCTTTCATACCTTTGCCCGTGGGAAACTTACCGGGCGTTATGATGATGATGATGATGATGATGTCATTTGCCCGATGTAGCTCGCTCTACTATGTGTTGCTTTGCGGGAGTGTTGTCAGGCCTGCCGACAGTTGGATTCTAAACTACAACCCACTAGGCTGGGTACGAATTCGCATTTTAGTCTAGTTAGGAAATCAACTCAGACAAAGTGGTCGCCAGCCCACTGGGCGACTCGATGGGTCGCCTCAAACGTAAGAAGAAGCAAACTAGAAAAGTGTCGGATTGAGTGGTTCCCGGAATAACTGGTCATTCAATGGAAAATGGCAAAAGGTCTGCATTATTTACTACCCCTTCGTACACAATTTATGGACGAACATGAATAGCCGTAATAAGAATGAAAGTCCTTCTCTCCGGTCATTTTTACCGACAGAAAGCCAAAATGAACGTCTTTTACCCCTGGTCCCACCCGCGACCAAGGATCCCGCCTCGCCGTGTGCACACATCATTCCCACGCGCTCTTCTCTCCAACCGTCCTGTCTGTCGGCTGCCGCTCGCACGCTCGCTTGGATCAAGGGACCTGATACTGTACCCCTAATGGGCGCCATCCTTCTTCCGTCACATATCCTCAGGGTTCATTCTTTTTCATCCCCTTCCTCTACGCCTAAAGCCGTTGAGTCGACTTGCTGAAACTGGCCTAGAGGACCGGTCTTGACCATGAATTCGGCCACAGTTGTGCGAGCCTCTAGCTGTGTCAAGAGCTCGTCTCGACGGAGAGCGATTTCCTGGTCGGAGGGAGCGCTCCTAATCCCGTCGTGCTCATCCTGGTGCAGCGGGCACTCGAGCAGGGCGTGAATCACGGTTTGTTTGCCGAGATCGCAGTCACAGCGAGCTGACTCTTGTCGGTTGATACAGAGGTAGGCATTGAGCCCGCTTCTCTCGATCCGGAGCTGCATCAGAATCGACGCTGTTGCCTTACGCAGACCGGACCAGTATTCAAGCGTCTTTTTTGTCGGCACTTCGATCAAGCGTCTTGTCGGTCAACTAATTCTCTCCTTTGCCCTCGTCCATTCCCACTCGATCTTTGCCTCGTTGCGAATTTGTCGTATTGTTGCGGCCGCGGGACGCATATGTCTATTGTGAGGGTTCTTCGGTCCGTCCGGTTCCCGGGCGGCTTCTTTTGCGTGTTGATCCACGATCTTATTGCCGATCACCCCTTTGGTGCGCAGGGATCCATCGGAGCTTTGTGCGAATGCATTTGTCCCCAAGCCGTTGGATCAGGTCGAGGCAGCCTGCCAGATAGACTTGTCCCGACGGCATTCTTGGCCGACTGAGGGCTCTCAGCGCTGCTTGGCTGCCAGCAAAAATCACGACTCCGTTTTTCGCTTGCTCAGTCCATGGCAATGTGCTTTCCAGGACCATTGTGAGTGCCATCTCAATGGCTCGGAGTTCTGCTGCTGCATACACGGTGGACGTGCCATCGTCCCCCATCTAACTGTGGGCAAGTTGATCCTCGAGATCGACGATCGCCGCTGCCCCGATCCTTCCCTCAATCCCGCTTCCGTCGGTGTAGAGAATTTATGGCCTTTCTCTTGAGTCCTTCATTAGGATCTGATTATGGCGTTCTACAGCAATCTCTCTGTCCTTGATGCTCACGTCAGGCGGCGCTTGCCATGGTGCCTGGACGAATGCCTTTCGACTCTCTCGGTGCCTCACCAAAGTCCCCGAGGGAGCCGTAAGTCATCCGCCCATCTTCCAAGCGTGCGCCTCCATCGGTGTCCGTCCCGCACAGTCTCTCTCGTCATTTGGCTCACATCGTAGCATCGTTGATGGAACAGCAAATACTATATAAAATGACACTCTTCCGATCGAACATCCTCGTACAGCTTTTTCAGATCACCATCTTTAAAAGTTTGAATATTTTTCAAAACGGGTATAAGAGTGGTATGGCTGAATAAGAACCTCGTTCGATGATTAATATCGCAGAACCGCAAGTAACGGCGAAGGGTATAATTCACTGCGATTAAATCCAAGATGTCCGATGGTAAAGCATCAAAAGAAACCATCCTAATCCTCGTATGACTGATGTTATATATGGTATGTCGCAACAAATGAGCAAGGCCGGCAAATTTGATCACGATTGAGGGTGGTGAGTTGCCGTTCAGGGAACCAAGGTAAAAAAGAACGATGTCTTGAGGGCGGAAAACGTTATACACGTATATAATACATCCAATGACATGGTGTGTTGGAGCACCTGAATAGTCCTGCACTTCATCTCTCTGTTTGACCGTGTCTCTGACACGGGGCGCCCCCCTTTTTATTCAACATGGTGGTATGTTAATGGCCCTCAGATGTTTGGTTTGTTTGCAGGGATTGGATCCTTAGGATCCGACTGTTGACCAATCTGGTCAGCCTGCCGTTCCCGGTGCTATCACTTGCAGAGGATGTCTTTGGCAATCTCGCAGAGCGTGGAATACAGTATTGCAAACCCAAATGGGATCCTAAAAAGGTCGATCATCTTTTGATGGCCTTTGTGGATGTCCTTGATTTTGACCGAATTCTTGCACCTTGTTCCGTTTCCTGTGGTCACAACAAATGATGCGTTGACCAAGTAGCCCAATTTTCATTTCAGAAGCCAGTAATGGGTTCCAGTGGTAGAAAGAAGGTATTGAAGCTATGTGCGTGGGGAGAGGGTGGGGAGAATGAAGTATGTCGGGTGAATTTGTTCAGGCATATCATGACCGGACTCTGCAGCGCGTCTTCCTTAGCTTTATAGACCCTCCTGCAGTAGTCTTACAGACCGACCCTAAATTCAACTGATGGTAGGTCGCATTTGAGCCATATCTTCAATCATAGATCAGATGGTATTATGATCTGGCTCCTGTAGATCATGCCAAATGAAGATTCCTGCTGAATAATCTAGTTCAACAAAGTAGATCCAGAGCATAGCTCGGGACCTGGGATGTGCATTTCAGTGATTCCTGTGACCACAATGGGACCATCTTGGGTTAGATGCACGACTCTGTCCAGACATTGGACCATTCTAGCACATATTTGTCGGTTTCGTAGACAGCTGGGGCAATGTACATTGGAACGTTGCTGACAAAGAAAAGCTACATCTCGTGATAATTGATGGCACTCATCTCCTGGGAACTGCTCACGTGGTCCTAGAGGCTCGTGGGGCGCTCCCGGGACTGAAACCGCTCTCGGGATCCTTCGTAGTGATCCTGGCACTTCACATGTCGGTTCCAGGCGCTACGTTGTTACCTTCCAGGGTACGTGGGCTGCATTGTCAATAATGGGTGACTTGTAGCACCGGTGAGCACAACTAGTCGGTCTTGAAGAACTTCTTATAAAGCCCTGCTTCTCATCATATAATGAACCTATGCAGTGCCAGCAGATATTTTCTACTACCTCATTTCAGCTGTTCCCAAAATGGTCGGTCAACTATCCTGTTCTCTAACTATGAACCATTACACAAGCTAAAGTACACAACAGTCTTGTCTTCAAGATCTGCCCACCGAATTGTGGCTGGAGATCGCAGCAAATTTGGGCGGCCAAGCGCTATTTGCCTTCGCCCAATCTTGCCAAGACCTATACTACACCCTGCAGCCGACCGTTTTGAAGTTCAATATTAAATACCAAAACAGCCTTCTACTGCATTTGGCGGCGAAAACCAACAACATTCCTCTTGCAAAAGCTTTGCTTCACTACGACGCCAGCGTCAATGCCTTTTTCCAGAGAAAGACACCAATCATGAGGGCATTGGAACACTCTTCTACCGATGTGCTTAAACTTTTGTTGCAAGCGCCCGGGGTAGACATCAACATCCAGAACCGAGCTCAGGAGAGCGCTTTATGGTATGCCATTAAGTATGGCACATGTCGGGCTCTCCTGGAGATGGCAGTTGCCTGTCCGAGCCTCGAGGTGAACCTGAAACACAGGCGAGGTCGAACGGCGCTCCACCGAGCGGTATGGGCAGGCAGGATTGGACTCGTGCAGGTGTTGCTTTCTCAGGACAGCGATCCCAATGCCAAAGATGACCACGGCCACTCTTCATGGGACTGGGCGTGCGAAAACAAGAGGCCTTCCATGAAGAGCATGTTCTCGAAGACGCCGGGCTCTGGATACCCATTCGATATCGACCTGATGTATCATGATGAGCTACCCCTTCATCAAGCTGTGGCCCACGGTTCAATGGATGCTATACGGCTGCTACTGAAACAAAAACACGTGAGACTAGAAGCTCACGATCGGGACGGCAACACGCCGCTCCATCTCGCGGTTCGTAGTGGAAGCCGAGAAGTGATTGATTTGCTGCTATGCCACCCAGGTGTTAGCGTTAATTGCAAAGACAAGAATGGAAACACGCCGCTCTGGTTGTCTACATACCTGTCATGTGACGCGGTCACCGAAAGACTTTTGGAGGAGCGGCGCGTTAAAGTCAATTTCATTGGGGGACACGGTGACTTCCAGGCACCCTCGACTTCTCTGCACCACGCCGTGCTAAAGTCAAACACAGCGGCACTGCAGCGTCTCCTGGCTGTGCCGGGGATCGAGCCCGGTTTTTGCGCTGCAGGCCAGTCGCCCTTTGCTCTCGCGTGCGCGCACGGACGCGTCGACGCGATGAAGGTGCTGCTGAACACGGGCCGCATAGATATCAACGCGGGCGGACTAGGAGATCCACCGATTTGTCAGGCAGTGGAAAGGGGCCAGCTAGAAGCTGTGCGTCTCTTGGTGCAGCAGGGCGAGCGTCTGCAGATCAACCGGGAGATCATGATGGCTCACGACACTGCGCTCTGCATAGCTGCACGGGATGGAAATTCGGAGATAGCCCGGGCTCTGCTACGCCATGACCAGATCGATCCGAATCTCGAGAACCAGTGGCCCCAAGCACCCCTGGCCTTGGCAGCACAGGGGGGGGCACCTGCTAGTCCTGGACGCGCTACTAGCGGACCCGAGACTGGCACTGTGCAGTGTAACCAGGGCGCTGGACTTTGCATCCAGCGACTCTGTTCGGAGCGTGATTCAGAGCAAGATTGATGATTTCGGCACACGCGTATCAGGGCCAGCTCAGTCATCACAGCAAAGGATCAGTGCTTTTCCTTAATGGCAAATATTAGTGAAGGCTGGATCGGGGTATCGGCCAAGTTTAGTCACTGCTAACCACAGCACCAGAAGACCGAGGAAGAACGACAGACATGTCGCAGTGGCAAATCATATATTCATCACAAATATCGCTGATTCCAAGGACAACCTTAAAATCAAACGTACTCTTGATAGTTGCGTTTTTCTTTGTGTCTATGTTTATGGTGAATCAGCGGATGAAGCATCAGCGGTCAGCTCAACCTGGTTTGTTGAAAATCAGTTTCACCTATTTGTTCTCTCGGTTTCCAATAAGAGCTCTATTTCGAGGCCCGCTAGTTCAATTATGCTCAGTATACCGCCAATTTTTGCTCTTGGCATCTTGACTCGGCGCTTCTTTTGAGGCTAGACTAAATGAAGTGTTTGAGGGTGCGGTGTCTGGCCAAGACTTTTAAAGAATCAAAGTGAACAAAGCTGGTGAATTTGAGTTCACTCCATGCTGTATATGCCTGAGACTTAATTAAATAATCACCGAATCAACACCCCGTACACTGCACCAAATACGTTATGTTGCAGAAGGCTGGTATTGGGCTTTATACGCTGAATTGTTGTGCTCGTATCCAGGTACTGCATTTACAGTCCTTTTCCTATCTTTTGCAGTTAAAATTACGGGAAACTTGAATTTGTTGTATGCCGATGACCCATTCGCCTAGTTCAGAGGCCAGAGATCAGACTCGCATCAACCCTCGCGCAATATGCAATAATAGTCGGTCCTAGAAAATCGTATCTGGCTTCATTATCATCGACGTCTGATCTTTTGTCATTGCCTGCAATCACTGTAAGTCAAATAAGCCTCTTGAAATAAAAGGAGAGGTGCGTACCTCGCTCGTTTTGGTAAGGTCACGACTAAGAAGTTCCCCGAGAATTTGGATTAGAGATATTCTGCAAGCACTGCGCTAAGAAATCCCAAAGCTGTCTTCGGCGATCTGGTGTAAATAAAACCGGATTTCTCGCAGGCTGCAACACCTGCTCATAATCTGCTGGAGTTTTGTGGTTGGTAGACTGCGAGTGCTTGACCTTGTCATATCAGTCCGGAATCTCGAAAATTGCTTTCGGAGAATATCCTACCACGTGACCCTGAGATGGCGTGGGAATGGTCGGGTGAGAATAATAGGTATAGACCCGACCATTAGGCATTTCCATTACTACCCAGCTTTTGATCGAATACAAGCGCCAGAAGTCATTGTGGCGGCGTAAAAGATTATTGCGGCGTTTGCGAAGTTGCTCTTGTTTCACACGACTCTCGTTAGGTGCCATTTCAACTTCTTTCTGGGATGTAAGGGACGCAAGAATAGCATACTATTATGAGAAAAATGAGGATCAATCCGCCTATTTATCTCCGATACAGTGATAATCGAAGTTTAAGCTCTTCTTTACTTGTGCGACCTCTGAATGAAACATGTTTAAACGCACTTTGACACACAAAGTTTACTTTGAGACTAATCACAGGTTTTAGATTTTTCATTGGTTATAATGTTCAGTGTATTCATCTTACCTAAACTATCATATGCTTGCGGACCGTTTAACTGCCTTGCTGCTTTGATATAGCTAAATAAGATGTGTTCATTCAATCTACAAATGAAAGGTACAAGCTAACCACGACAATTATTTCCTCATCCATTCTTGGCCCATGCTGGTGAGATAGAATTGAGACGATTAACCTAAGGCAAAAAAGACAAGCGAATGCATCATCTAACATGATAACGATCAATTTTTCCGAATGTTCGACTTTGTTTTTAAGGAAGCTGTTCAGAGAACACCATTTCATGATGCAATGGCTTTATCAATTATTTGTGTACAGTATCTGTTGTATGTTTTAGTTTAAGCGAAAATAACCGTTGACTTGGTTAACCGGTTACCGCTAATTGATGAATATGCAGGTCTTCAGTAACTTTGTCGGCACTTCCGCTATGTTGGTACTCCAAAACACGAGATGGCGAGAATATCTTGAGTGTTTAAACTTTCCAATAAAAGCTTTCTGTGCCTGAAGCCATAGACCCTGCCCTTGAAAAAAATTTTACTGAGGTCGCGCCTTAGTATTTTGATACAATCTCTGAATATGTTAGTGTCGACTCCGTGAATGAATACTTATATTGATATTCTCGTATTTCTTTGCTGTTATTCTCTGATGAATAGATCGTGCTGGTCTTTGGATAGGCTGATTTCAATATATCATTCCCTTATTTATAAATAGTCCAGTCCTTTGACCATTCACGACCCAGCGTCATTCTCTGCCGGCTACTACACAATGTTGGTTTTAGCTCCTAGATTTGCAAGCTCTGCAAGCTTTTCTCGTGCTACATCGGCGTCGATGTATGTAACCTGCTTTTCGAGAGTGGCTTTGGTTATGTTGACATCTTGTTAGAAACCTTGGACCAGAGATACAGTCTTATACATTATCCTCACAAATAAGCTCTCATAACCATACAACCAGCACAAGAGGGTTTGTGTTGACTTTGAACGAATTTACGGCAAGCGAAGACTGGAAAACATTTGAACCCAGCCTAACGTCGCAGGTATCTTTGGGATTGCCGCTTCAATCCCTAGCGTCCGAATTTGCTACCCTAAGTACGGTCGAAGAACTTAAATTCTCTGGGAAAGATAACAAAGCAGAGCTGCAACTCACATGCGAGAATATTGCAGGATGCAATTTAATGCCTACCAAGGTCGTAGCTTCGAGTTCAAGCCTATCACGACCTATATCCCATTTGACGAGTTTATCTGAAGATGATATCCAACGCGAATTCACTGATCACGTCATCACGTTCAACACCTACACAAGGGCTGTCGAAACAGAAAGAATTCGCCAATCATCTGTAACGGGCACAAAAATAATTGAGCCTCTTACAAATCATGTTTCATTTTGGTCCGAATTACATCAGATGGATATGAATTGCTCTATATTCCCTCCACTTTCTGTTTCTGAACCGCAGACATCCTCGACGGGACCAGCATCAGCATTCACTCGGAGCCAGAAAATAACTTTAACAGAGGAATTTAAGGGGCCCGTGACACCCTATCCTCTCGCTACTGAGTCTGATCGGCCCTCTTCAGACAGATCTCTGATACAAGACCTGAATCATGATATAAGTGGGAGCAGGCTTACACGCAGTGACTTTATTAACCAAACAAAAAACATAACGAGGGCTGCTGTTGATTTATCTGTGAGCTTAGTGTCGTCACTAACTACTCAATCAATAAATGCGATTCCACAGAGCCATTTCACCACGACAGGATCTGATAAAACACCACAAACCACGACAGATCCTCCTGGACTACCACAAAAAGAGTGGACAATGCAAAGCACTCAGGCATCCAAGGTCATGTCAGCCACGAGTTGGCATTTAATATTAGGGACCGTTTCTGGTGCGAGCCTAGCCTTTGCTTGCATATTCTGCCTGCAGCGCCTCTGTTATGCAAGAGTTCGTAAAGACAAGAAAACTATCAAGCTTGGTCATATTCCACATGATAAGGTCTACGATGGGGAGTTGACTCAGCAACAAATTCCCCAAAATATTGAGATTTCCAGGTTCTCAGAAGATTCCTAGCTGTTAAGATTCTATTATTAATATTATCTACTGGATGGTCTCAAGAAATAAGTTATAGCTTAGCAAATTTAGATATAGATCACGGTTATATCCTGGCCGGGCTAGGCCCAGTTCGCCTCTACACATATCACGGTTAAACGATCATCGAGCAGGCAACCTTTGGATGTTAAGATTTTGCTCAGAGACCGTGAGATTTTTCTTATAGATCTTGCACTCTTGATAGCTTTCATCAGTATTGAGCCGAAGAAAATATCCATTCATGGCCCATTATCTGGTCCACAGAGAATATTGCAATCGTAGACCCGTCGTTGTTTTAAAAAAGCAGCAAAGACATGAAGTTTCCCCCAGTCGCTGTCTCTTCCCAGTTTTTAAGACCTCATCATTTATTCTTTGGCCAAGGACCCATGGTGTACGCAAAAAAAGCGGGTTTGAAGTCGCGTTGAACAGTATTCTCGCCAACCTACCAGATGGTTTTTAAACGGTTACATCAATAATGCTGATGTAGTTATACATATTAACAGTGTTTTGAAGTTTCTGTCGAGCAAACTAATCAACAGGCCCATTTTCAAACTGAGGGTCATGAAATGAAAAACGTTGATGGTACTCCGTTTTTGAAGCCACCTTATGAGAACGTGCAACGTATGTTTTGCCAACGCGAATTTCTCGTCTTCTCTTGCAAGAAGAACACATGAAATGTTACTTAGAGAAGATTGTACATTTAAGGACAGCAGTTCTCCGAGTATTTTCGGCGGATTCTCTTCCACGGCCAGCTTTCGACTCGATCGAGACCACTCGCAAATGAAATGCGACACTGAAATTCCGCTATATTCCAAAAACGAACACGAGCCCCAAGTATGCTTTTTGATAAACATTCCAGCAGTTTAGTCTATTAATATTTGGCTTCACTTAGATGCTGAAAGCACACCAAAATGAAGGTAATGAGCTCAAGGAACATGCTACTGATCCAGCTCCCGCCACCACGGATGATTTGTGGCCTTTTAAAAATCTGCTTAACATAAATTCTTTTGCAGAGCCGAAGGGAAATATCAAGCATTCAGATGATATCAGAAGTTCCGACCCAAAACGACAGGAAATATGCCCATCGTCTCCCAGCAGCGTGTTGGATCAATCCACATACCTGAAAAAAGAGCAAGAAATGGAATTACCAAAATACAAAGAGATGACAATATATGATCCAAGTATTCAAGCCAACATGATGCTGAATTACTGTCCGGCATCGGACCTTCCCAAGCGTCGTATAGGTCGACAGAGAGTGGCAAAATTAGGAAAGCTAGCATGTCACGGTGCTTGGAAAATAGCAAAATTATCTTTCAAAAACCATAGAAAGGCTTTAGACTTTTTTCTCGACAAGCAGGAAGACTCGTCCCATTCAATGAATGGAGAGCAAATATTTCGCGAATTAGCCAAGAGACACCCGAAGTACAGCCAAATCATCGACACATTTCCTTTGCTATTCCAGCTCCTTCCGTCTAATCTCAAGGAAAGCTGGCCTGGAGCACAAAATGAGGAAATGTTCAAAATCGGGGTTCAAGTGATTAGGTATTGGCTTACGGTGGACCCATGACACGGGCGCCAATGAAGGGCTTCTACAGTAAACTCCCGTTTTCGGCACAGCCCTCCGTGCAACAGAATCTTGGTGTGCCTGATGAAAGTGTGCCTGTTGTAAATTGCGCTAATCCTAAATAGGTAATCACTAGTTTGTTTTTGGTCCAAAGTAGTCATCCACTCTCCTCTGTTTCCTTCCATCTATCTGCAGCCGAGAAAAAAGATGACCTATCCTCTCTATATCGCGTAAATCTTTCTCAGTAATACCCTCTTGGTGCTGAGCAAATTGAAGAGCTTTATCCATATACTCAATGGCTTCAACACGCGATGGGATATCTAGTGGTGGTCCGAATATATATTCGTCCTGGTCATCATCGCTATCCTGCGTATCACCACCACCAGCGTTTTCTTCAGAAAGATCAATGATAATATCAGATAAATCAGGTTCTTCGACGTCGAGATTCTCATCTGGAGGGTCTAGAAATTCCTCTAACTCCATAACCTCTGTACCAGGAAGCCGGTCGGTTACCTGTGTGTATAAATCCCCTAGTTGAAGGTCTTCAGACTGAGATATCTCCATCCCATTAGTGCTAGGTCTAATGATCGTGCTCTTAATAAAGCACTTCTGAATGGTCTCATCTAGAACGTCACGTCTCCAGGTCTGGGTAATCCAATGTAGTGTGTAATAGAGGCTCATTCTCTGCGTAGGGTCGACCCCCCGGTCCATCATATTGATCATCCATGTCATCCATTTCTTCCGATAATGGTGCTTAAGGTTTCGGATAATACCTTGGTCTAATGGCTGGTAAATCGAGGTCGAGTTTGATGGCAAAAAAACGACTTGGATATTAGACGGTGGCGGCGCATTATCAAGCGCAGAGAGATGAGCACTAAAGTTGTCGAGTAACAGAACAACTCGTCTTTGTGTGCCAATATGCCTATAGAATGAGCGAAACCATTCTTGCATAACGTCGCTGCGCATCCATGCGTTCTTATTCCATCGCCAGACGCATCCAATTGATGGGATATTGAGTTTTCGTAGAGCACGAGGCGTCTTTGCAGTGCCTATCAACCAGAGAGGCATTCGATCCAAACCACTAGCATTTGTCGTTACTGCGAGAGTAATCCTAGACTTATCCTTTTTATATCCAGGACTACCCTTGCTTGATAGACCACCATTGGGCATTCGACGCCAGAAAAGACCCGTTTCATCCATATTGTAGATATCATTTGGCTGATATTGGTCGCAGATAGCCCGAATAGCTTCCATTTCGGTTTGTGTTGAGATCGGGACCGATGCGGATTCGCCGTAGGAGGTATGATACCGGATCGAATGGCGCTGTTTAAATCGGGAAAGCCACCTTTCAGAGAATAACGGCGGGTCGAGGTCTTTATACTGGGGTATTTTCTTCCAGTATTCGACGGCTTTCCTCTGAATCAATGGGCCCGTTATAGGAAAGCCAGCATTCTCGTGACGCTGCTGCCAGATATATAGAGCCTCATCTAGCAGAGGCCACCGAGATGCTAACGGGCGTTTGTTCTGGCCAGCAAAGCCAGTATCAAGGTGCTCGTATTTAGATGAAAGGATCTTCGAGACGGTCGCACGATTGATATGGCGATTGAATTGAGATAAAAACCACTCAGCACATGCTCTCTGAGTAGGCCTAGGGTGTGTCTCAGATGCATAGATACGTAGTGCTTTTTTCTGAGCGTCGGATATGCCTTTGTTGGGCTGTTTTGGTATAGCCAGCTTGGCTGACAGGGCGACCGAAGAGGGAGTGGAAGGGGTCGAATCCTGCATTCTAATTGGCCTATTGATATGACTAAGCAAATTTGAAGAAAATTTTGTGTGCCAGACAAAAGTGTGCCGGATGGCGTTCTTATATATGGGAAAACCAAAAAAGTGGGTCCATCCAGCAGATTTTGGTGCCTAATGAAAATATGTGCCTAACCTGGGCGTGCCGAAAACGGGAGTTTACTGTACCGCACTTCCTCAGTTGACTATCAGCGCGACTCGATTGCCCGTCTTTCAATGCAATAAAATTGGGGCCTGATTTGAAATAACCTTCACCGCTGTATTCTCCTCGATTGTTTCTAAAACTCTTGTAGCATGTGTATAGTATGACGGGTGTATTTTCTTGGTGTTCTGTGGGTCATGGCCCAGAATTATATATATGGTGCGGGTTTTCCACACAGCCTCAGGTTAACATTTTTTACATGACCTGTTCTTTTTAGGCACTTATCCCTCTACTTTTATACGTCGAATCCGTCGAGTCTATAGCTCAAAGCGATAGAAGCCAAAGAAATGAAAATCGCTAAAACTCAGGTACGTTGATGTTGGTATTATCAACTAGGTATTTTGTACATCGTTACGTGGATAGTATGTGCGTTTGAAAAGCAAAAGTCAATTGATTCGTGTAGATAGATGTTGATTCTAAGTCAGGTCCACGCCCAAGATACCCTTAATCCCATGCACGGACACTTGGCGGACAGAACACCGGACTTTCGGTTACATTTTTCAGTCATATTTAGGCGTGACCGGGCATATGGGGTTTTGTCTACAGTCATTCTCGAAATCGGCTTGACCGATATACACTGGATAACTCTTTTCTGGACCCACCGCCAAGGCCTTAGAGCAGATCTTTTATTGAGCGGGCCGCGTTAATTTGAGGGGCGCAGTAAAATTTGCTTTTGTATAGTATGTTATGTAGTACCTAGCTACGTAATTTTACATGATACATACGAAAGGTCCGTGGAATTTCATGGAAAAAGTGGAATTTCATGGAAAAAGTATAGTGGATCTGCAAATCATATGGAGAGGATGGCCTGGCACTGAGCTTCTGGACGATCTGTTAGGTGGCTAGTGGCTTTAACTTTCCTTCCCAGGCTGCACGTGTCGACTTTTCGCGTACATCCGGGAGACTTTGCACATTATTTTGAACACAACGAGCGGGAAGAGCTGTGTTCAGTTCTGCAGCTATCTCAATTTCTTCCAATCAATATCAGTATTCTCGCGTTGTATGCACCGTATCTACGAATATGGATCTCAGGGTTGCCCGCCAATTTGTTTCTTGACATCAGCAGTTGAAAAACAGCACCAGGCAGGACAGTGTGAGAGCTACTGAATTGAGATCATCCTTGAAAGTGGCAAGTAGCAGTATTCATCTTCTTCTTCCCAGTTAGCGCCTACATCTGCGCTGCCTGGTCCATCTTTCCTTGGTCCCGATATAGATTCCCGAGATTTCCGGCAGTGCGGAGGGTCAACATATGGTCCGCTCCGAGCGCTTTCTCGAACCCAGCTAGTGCCCGCTTGTACATCTGTTCTGCCTGGTCCAGCTCTCCTTGGGCTCGATATAGAACACCGAGATTGTTGACAATGCTGAGCGTCGACATATGGTCTGCTCCGAGTACTTTCTCGAACCCAGCTAGCGCCTGCTCGTACATCTGCGCTGCCTGGTCCAGCTTTCCTTGGTCCCGATATAGATGCCCTAGATTGTTGACAATGCGGAGGGTCGACATATGGTCCGCTCCGAGCACTTTCTCGAACCCAGCTAGCGTCCGCTGGTGCATCGGCTCTGCCTGGGTTAGCTTCCCTTGGTCTTGATATAGTACCCCGAGATTATTGATAGTGTCGAGGGTCAACGTGTGATCCGCTCCGAGCACTTTCTCGAACCCAACTAGCGCCTGTTCGTACATCCGCGCTGCCTGGTCCATCTTTCCTTGGTCCCGATATAGATTCCCGAGATTGTTGACAATGCTGAGCGTCGACATATGGTCCGCTCCAAGCACTTTCTCGAACCCAGCTAGCGCTTGTTCGTACATCTGCTCTGCCTGGTCAAGCTTTCCTTGGGCTCGATATAGAGCCCCGAGATTGTTGACAATGCTGAGCGTCGACATATGTTCCGCTCCAAGCACTTTCTCGAACCCAGCTAGCGCTTGTTCGTACATCTGCTCTGCCTGGTCAAGCTTTCCTTGGGCTCGATATAGAGCCCCGAGATTGTTGACAATGCTGAGCGTCGACATATGTTCCGCTCCAAGCACTTTCTCGAACCCAGCTAGCGCTTGTTCGTACATCTGCTCTGCCTGGTCAAGCTTTCCTTGGGCTCGATATAGAGCCCCGAGATTGTTGACAATGCGGAGGGTCGACATATGGTCCGCTCCGAGCACTCTCTCGAACCCAGCTAGCACCCGCTGATACATCTGCTCTGCAGGAAGTAGCAGTACTTAGTGTCGAAGTAGAGATGCAATCAGTGAAGCTTGGCCTAGTCGACGAGGTGCAATAATATGTATGACGTCACTCTGACATGCTCGCTGTTGTAGTAGACCGTGTCGCATGAGCAGCCAAAGGAGAGTAAGAGAGCTTTGCCAAATCATTCACGTTATCATCAATTATAGACGCAGAAATGCAGTCAAAAGCATACCAGTAATGCTTTGCGTCAATATCCTTGTTGAGTGCTGCCAGTTGCCATCACTCCAATGATTTCGACATCATCTGTGATCACTTCGCAAAGCCACTTGGGATGACTATCGGTAAGTCCGGCATGAAAAAGCTTCTACCAAATCTCTGATTATCGAATTAGGCCAGTAACTTGAGTATTTTCGCTGCGACTGGATCTTCCTTTTCTAGGCGAGACTATGACAGACCCCAAGTTGCGTAACGCCGTCAGGGGCCATTGAGGGTGTCGTTCGCCTGGAAGCAATCGACAACTGGCCAGGACGGTCGTTTGCCGATGATATCGCTCGTTGAAATTCTCCGAGACAAAGAGACATCCACAGGAGTGATGACAAGCCCCCGCTGGATAGGAAGAGGAGACTCTCTCCTGGCAGATCATCAATTATTTAGCGCCAGATGGCCTTTCCCACATGATTTGCAGAGATCCCCCCAAAAGTTTCCATGGAACTCCATGAGCTTTCTTTTCATACGCGAAATGTAATATTACGTCCGGTATGACTGTAACATACACAGCGCCTCATATTGCGCCCCTCAGTTTAATGCGGCTCGCTTAATAAATGGTCTGCGCTAAGGCCTTGGCGGCGGGGCCAGGAAAGAGTTTCTCAGTGTATGTTGGTCAAGGCGATTTTGGGAATCACTGTATAAGATTTGGGCCCACGAAGTCGGATTTCTCAGCCTGTACGAGGCGTGGGCTACGAACCTGGAGTTTCTGTTACTCCAGAGCCAATGAGAGACGCAATGACGACCAGAGGAAACGAGTCCGCGATGTTGCGGCCTGCCTCCACCGCAATTCTAGCGACCTCGAGGCCCCTTTGGCACACAGGAACGATTTAAAAACCATCCGACGATAACGGTTACAGCCTCTCATGCCGTCACCCCAAGGGGAGTTCACAGAGCCTCTCAGAGGCGCGGATCGAAGTCGAGCAGGACACCTGTGGGGTAGAATTGGATTTGTGGGATTAGGGCTAAGGTGTATCGCCATCGGCTGCTGGCTCCCTACCTCGAATCGGAGGATACTTTGGTTAGTGGATGGAAAGATTATACGCTGCAGGCTTGGGTGTATAAAGGGACCATCTGCAAGACATGGTCGGCCTAGAGAACGAGAGGATACTAGGTATCAGGAAGCAAGAAATCACGCCAACTTGTGGACTGAGGTATACTATGGCAACGATGGCTAGGAAGAAGGTTGGCGCGTCGCCATTGGCTGCCGACTAGAGATCCTTACAACACTGTCAGTATAGCCCGAGAGGACGGATGCGCATGTCGGTTCACAAGAAGCAGGAAGGTTGTTATGCCGTGACCCTAAGGGGACTTAGCAGAGCTGCAACTTGGCCTGGAGGGTGGGCTTAAGGAGCAAACGGGTATATGAGTGTGGGGGAAGGTTTTTGGCTCTGCTGGAACCCCAAAGGCTAAGATCTTGAAGGCAAGAGGATCTACGGACATCTAGGAATGAGAGTACTAGTGAGCTGGATAAGGAGCTGGGAAAGCATGGGGGGGGTTTGCCCATCTCTCCGTTGTATTGGCTTAAAAGAACAGACTAGATCTTAGTATACCAATGCAATATTATATCTGTTACCGCGTGGGTTACTGGGCCAACCGTGCAGAGTAATCGGGGAGGTATCGCAACAATCATCAATGAAGCGCTCGACTGGGAAAGGAGGAGCGGCGCAACTTTTGAAGCAGACAAAACAGCCATTATACATTTCGCACCCAAGGCCCGCAAGGTCGACCAAGATCCGTTCACTGTCAAGGGACAGACGGTCGAGCCCAAAAACAAGGTCAAAATCCTGGGGGTCCTGATGGACACGCGACTGAAGTACAAGGAGCATATTGCGAGGGCAGCATCTAAAGGCCTGGAGGCCGCGATGGAGCTACGACGGCTCCGAGGCCTCTCCCCAGCGACCGCACGACAGCTCTTCACAGCGACCGTGGCTCCGGTGGTTGACTATGCCTCTAATGTTTGGATGCATGCATGCAAGAACAAGAACCTCGGACCGATCAACCGAGTCCAAAGGGTAGGAGCACAAGCCATAGTGGGGACGTTTCTCACCGTTGCAACCAGTGTAGCGGAGGCAGAGGCCCACATAGCCACTGCTCAGCATCGATTCTGGAGACGGGCCGTGAAGATGTGGACGGACCTCCACACGCTACCGGAAACCAATCCTCTTCGCAGAAACACAGATCGAATCCGGAAGTTCAGAAGATACCACCGCTCACCACTGTACCATGTAGCGGACGCGCTTAAAAATATCGACATGGAATCACTGGAAACCATCAACCCGTTTACACTGGCACCATGGGAAGCACGCATGCAGACTGATGAGCCCATTACCGAGAGATCAACAGTACCAGGCGGATCAATGCAAATTGCGTTCAGCAGCTCGGCGCGGAATGAGCTGGTCGGGTTTGGAGTGGCGATCGAGAAACAACCACCCCGCTACCGGAAAGTGAGACTGAAGACCTTGTCCGTCACGTTGAGCGCGAGAACAGAGCAAAATCCATTTTCCGCGGAGCTGGCGGCAATGGCGCATACACTCAAGACACTCGTGGGATTGAAAGACTTTAGGATCACAATGACCACGACTAACAAAGCGGCGGTTCTCACGTTGAAGAACCCGCGACAACAGTCGGGTCAAGAATTTGTCTGCCAAATCTACAAGCTGATGAGCAGATTGCGGAGGCATGGAAATCAGATCAGCGTCCGGTGGATCCCCACTAGCGATGACAACAAACTACTAGGGCTGGCGAAAGAGCAGGCGAGAGCCGCGACGCAAGAAGATGCCATCCTGCAAGGACAGGTCCCCAAAATGAAATCGACGACTCTCAAGATTGCGCGTGCCCGAGCAGTCCCCAATAGCGAGTTGCCCGAGAACATAGGGAGACACTCCCGACGAGTGGACACAGCACTCCCAGGAAAACACACGCGACAGCTGTATGACCGATTATCGTGGAAAGAGGCGAGCGTGCTGGCCCAGCTCCGCACGGGCATGGCGAGACTCAATGGATACCTCTTTCGAATCAATGCCGCCGAGACGGATCAATGTGCATGTGGACAAGCAAGAGAGACGGTGGACCACTTTCTGTTTCGATGCCGGAAGTGGACCGCGCGCCGGACGGAAATGCTGCAATGTACTCACACTCACCGATGTAACATGTCCTTCTTCTTGGGAGGGAAGTCACCCTCCGATGATCAAAAGTGGAAGCCGAATTTGGAAGCAGTGCGAGCTTCAATACGATTTGCGATCGCTACGGGCCGACTTGAGGCCACTTGAGCTAGCCAACGAACGCGCATAAATGACCTTTCCCCCTACTAACCCCCATTACCTTGTGACAGACAGTAGACGCGCTTCAACTGCCGAGGATAGGATGTTGAACACTTGGAGAAGCGCCTTCAAGCCAGTCTACTAACCAATACTAACCACAGGGACCAACTATGAGAGTGAAAGCTGAGAAGTCAATGCGGAAGGAAATACTGTATGGGCTCCAAGGAGACATGGCGTATACCCAAACATGCATGTACTGGTAGATTAGTGATAGTTGCCCTTTCGGCTCAGCCGCCAGGCGTTAATGAATTGTGTGTGTGTGTGTATAAGATTTGGGGCTACGGAACATGGTATCTTCAGCACTTGAACATGTTTAACAGCGCTCTCCATCTCATCGTCATTTCAACACAACAGGGAGCATTCACAATACAGTTTTTGAAATTAGAGCCTCTGTCAGCCGTTATGCTCAGCTTGCGTTCTCGAGAGCCAGCAACTAGGGGGGTTTTTGGCATCCTGAATGGAAAGAGGAGCGGGCATACAAAAGGACAATCCAGAGTCGGGTCTCACAGGAAGATAGCAGCGATGATCATGATGACCCTAATGACAGTGACTATATGCATGACAGTGATTCTTACTCGGTGAGAATGCAATTTCTCACGGAGTAGAAAGAGTAAGACGAGTTGCAGTGCCTCATGTTCCAACCAAGTCATTCCCGGCACAATGCTGTACGCAACTCAGTCGATAAGGTAGACTTCCTCGATTTGCCCGCAGATCGGATTCCTTCGACAAGTTTGCGCGATATTGAAACAATTCCCGTCCGTTGCTATCCAAAATGGCAATTATGCCTTTCGAAGATAATCTATTTATTCACGGTTGAGGATCCATTTAATCAGGACTAAAATACAAATATCCTCCCAGTGGATGGTGGGTTATAATCAACTTGGGCGAATTTTAAGTCAAATGATATCATCCATCTCCCAAAAACTACCAATAACAGCGTGGTGAGTTTGAATCCAGTCAATTATGTATAAAGTTTCTTAGATTCTGTAGATTTGATGAAATGGCAACCATGCTGGTCAATCTCTGAGCCGCTTTCATCGGAAACAAATTGCATTATAGTTCCTCCATTGTTTCATCAACGTTCAGCATGAACTGATGAGGAACCTGAGCCGCAATATGAGATATGTGCATTTCCGCTATTTGCTCTTCAAGCCAAGATCTTGCAGCATTTAATTCCACCAGGCCGTCTGTCCTTCTCCTTTTATTGGTGGTGTGTCCTAAAGCTGTGGAGCCCAGTTGTTCGAAACAGCCCTCAGGAAGGAAATCAGCATGAAGTAATAATTTAGAATTATGTTCATATGCCGAATAACACCAGTCGGCGTGGAGAGCTCGTTGGTCATCTCCCGGGATGTATATGTGAAAATGATGTCGCTCGAGTCCAGCAAAAAAACTGTTCAAGATGTGTTGGTCATTTGGCAGCTTCAACTCTCTTATGGGCTCTCCTGGTATAAATAGGTTCATAGCAAAGAAGGAGGGCTGTTGGCTGGCCCACAAGGGTTGTTGCGAGGTCATGACAGGATTGAACTCTGATGTGGAGTACAAAGGCGTCGAACCATCAAAGTTTTCTTCTGACGGGCCATTAGACGTATCAGCTGACATATCAGGGGAGAATTCATTGCCATCCGAAGGCTGATCGGTGTCTGCATTATTTGGTTCAAAAGGATCGGTCCCCATATCGTGGCCGTTGGGAATGAGATATCCAAAAAAAGCCAAGAAAATTGATCTGGTAACAAATCCTGCTGTCACTCGAGGCTTATTCCAAATCTGTTCTAATGATTCTCGCGTCAAAGCATATCGGTCGGCATCCGCCGAATATGCGAATGGCTTACCACATCGCCGTGTGATCGGGATTTCTTTATCATTTTCGGGATAGTCACATGGCAAGAGAACAGGTAAATCAGCTTCTTGGACTTGAATGCCATCAGCCAAAGGAGACCAGATATTTCTTTGTCTGGCAAGCCAAAAAAAGTGTTGCCAGAGGACCGATCGATCAATTGTGACTGGCCTGGGTGCCATGCTTGTTATGGACGGACGTTGATCTCCAGGTCTCGGGCGGTTCACGCAACGTTGATGATTAGTCATTTCGAACCCGTACTGAAAACTGAAACGCCAGAGTTCATAAAGATCCGAACGGATCATTTGTTGTCTATATGGGACCGGCATGGGAACAGCCGTGCCCCATTGCTCGCCAACGCTCTCGTCAATGGTGATCTTTCGCTGAGGATCGGGAATGAAAAGTTGCTGCATCACAGATCGGCCAACTTCGAGATAAAGTCTATCTTTGAAAAATGTCTTCAAAGTCGGGATAGGATAACCGATCCCTTGCAATCGCTCCCAAACTTCACGGCGTTGCGCCTCATCCTCAATATCCTTGAAAATTTTGCCCTCCTCCATTTGCTTCTTAAGAAAAGCCAGATCTTTTCGTGATACCTTTGGTGCACGGGACTGGAGTAAATTTACAGTCACTCCATCCACCAGAGGCAGAAAGTCAGTCCCTCCCACCAAGTACGAGAAAGTCGTGCCAATATGACGTAAGTAGTTCAGAACAGGCTGTAACGTTTGTTTCACTTTAGAGAACGTGCGCCTAGAGGAAGCGGCACTTACCTCGTCACATCGCATCCACTTAAGTTTGTGGAGTAGTCCAATTCGCATGCCCTCCCAGATTCCCGGTATCGGCAATAACTCATCGAAGGCTTGTGGCAAGCTTGGATGTTTCAGAAATGCCCGTAAGTACTTCCCCTTTTTGCTCCCGGCCGCCTTTTCCAATATAGCCCACCAGTGATTCGAGGCTATCACAGCCCACAGGTGATCTCCAGATGTTTGACTTGGAAGATCGTCAATGAATTGTCCGTAATACCGAATGCGTTGATAAATCAGTCCGTCTGCGGGTGTGTGGTCATTTGGGAAACGTTCTTGGAGCGACCTAATGAATTTGTCTTGGAGTTGTTCGCTCGTTTCATCGGTAACTTCTATGAGGTTAAAAAGGATATTTGGATGAGGAAGGACGCTCAACTTGTAGTCAAGCGCCAATCCATGCCATCATTCCTCATCCCACATACCTTGCTGGTCTGTCACATAAACATCGACGATCCACCATTGATTTTGCGAAGGTCCAAGTTTATTGCGAGCGGCCGTGATAAGGTTTTCGTGATCTTGTGCACGAAGCTTGTAGTCGATGTCCACGTCTAGCCAAGTAAAAACGCCGTCCCTTTGTCGTGGCCTTACACGATTTCCCCAATCTGCTGCGGGAACTAGAACTGGCACGTGGCACTCCTTCATGAAGCGCTGGCAACCTTGAATTTCCATAACTTTCTCGAGCCGAATCACATTACGGCGATCATCCATTTGTCGCCTGAAGCTTTTATCAAAAAACAGGCGAGAGATATCGACACGTGCTGATACCTCAAAGTGAAAGTGAGTCTCTTGATATGTAAAGAGCTCACGCTCGGCGGCCTCAACTTGAGCTTGACTCAGACGTGGCATTTTTTTCTAGCCAGAACTTTCCAATTTAAAGCTTCCACCAAGAGAGCGCTCAGTCTCACTGCAGACATATATATGACTTTCTTATTATAAGCAATTCTCCGTACTCTGAGTCTTGCACCCTTCAGTCCATCGTTCATGTTAGCTGCAAGTTCCCAAGACAAGACATATTCCAAGGGTAGCAACATCAGAAATGTCCCTGAGGTCAAAAACCAAAGGATTGTTTATTTCCCACCTCTAATTTCTGATGTGTCCTTCCTTTGATGTCAAGTTCAACGGTTTTCATACTATTTATTGAGTCTCAAGTGGCTCAAGTGGCTTCCATATTTCTGTTGGACCTTCTACAATCAAAATTGCGGCCATCATATTAAGAAGGAGTTTACATATCGACGGATCATGTGCTCTCGTCAGAGTGAACGACGTCTCATGAAGTCATCAATCCGCAGAACAAGGGCCCTTGAAGAGTTTTCCAATACTGTCTTCAATTCCTTTCCCTCTTGGAATAAGTATGGACCAGCTATAATAGAGAGATTTTTCTTGAATGACATGGTTCTTTTTCCATACCCCCATTCCAACGCCTAAAATTACTCTATATTTGATAACTACTTCTCGCTCGTCTGCTTAACTACTGCTTGACTACCACATCCAAACAGTTTTTACACATCGCGCTTTCAACCAGACAGCATGTTGGCTTCTATTGGCAAGCTGATACCACTAGCATTGTCGACAGGTACATTGATATGTCTTGTGATTGTCTTTGTAGGATGCACTTCACCCTCTTCGCCGAATGATTTGTATTTTATGAAGGTCTGTCATATATTCCTGGTGCCAAATTCTAAGCTTATTGTTAAAATGAAGGTGAACCTGTCTGATTTTCCAGAGCTTGGGAAGCTCGATCTCCGTCGTACAATTAACGTAGCAGGTATCGATGCTTCAAGTATGGCGGACCAGGCAACGAGCGTGATCAATAGCGAGAACCAGAATGCAGCTGATGGTGTAGCTCAGGCCTCGGCCACCGCTCAAACAGCTGTCAGTCATGCTAGTGATCAGATCACAAGCTTGACCAATGACCTGAAAAAGAGCCTTCCTGCATATTACTCAATAGGGCTTTGGGGTTTTTGTCAAGGTCAATACGACGCTGCGCCTTTCTCCAACTGCTCAACGCCAAGCACTACTTTTACGTTCAACCTTCTCAAAGCCTTCGGCTCACTTTCCACTGAGATTGAAGATCTATTACCAAGTGATGGGAAAAAATTACTTGCTGAATCCCGTCATGTTTCAGAGTGGACAATCTCCGCCTATATCACCGGTTTCATCACTATGCTGTTCGCTGTCTTTTTCGGTATCACAACCGTGGCTTTTTCGTGGGGTAAACTCCCTCTCATAGCTTGTTCTCTGGTATGGAATGAACGAACTCTCTTCGGCGCGATCTAACTCTCCATTTAGTTAGCAGCTATTTTCATCACAGGGGCATCGGTCGGCGCTACTGTAAATTATGGCATTATGACCGGTGCTATTAAAAGTGTGCTCCAGGCTCTCGGAGCTCATGCTAGTCTTGGGTCTCATATGTTCACAGCAACATGGCTCGCGGTGGCATTCGCTATTGGTGCTTTGCTTGTTTGGCTTATTGAAATGTTTTGCTGTTGCCTTTGAATGTAAGGCGGAAATCAGCCCTGGCGGGAGAACCTTATATAGTTTATCTGGGGTCAAAGCCTTATTTTAAAATTTTTGAGTTAAAATGGGACAGAAAAAGCTGAAATTCAATAGGTTTGTGGCCCGTCATATAAGCAAGAGAACTTTGGATATGTATAATGACTGTATATCTTGCGCTACAGCATATCTCATCTTCTCAAACTTCATCGACATAAATAAATCAATGACCGCCTGCACTTGCTTAAAACATATTTTAGTCGTCCAAGTCTGACAAGTTGCGCTTGTCCGCATTTGAAAAGATAAAAGCATCCCGAGCCGAGAAGCATGGGTCCACTGGGCAAATCATCTCGCAGGATGTCTGGGCATTCTGAGCCTGTTCGATCAAGCCATGAACGGAATTTCGCAGCTCGGCCATGATCAAGTTGACCGGCTCGATTTCCTCGTTTGGGGAACCAAAAGTACCGGACTGGTAATGGCGCAGCAGATCGTTAGACGTCTGGTCGATGCATTCTTGCAGGCGTTTAAGTAGAGCGTAGCAAGTACGATAGTATGCATTCTGTCCTTGTTGACGACCGATATCGCGAATAATCTGGGTAATTTCATCCATTTTTTGCAACGATAAGAATATCATGCTTCAATCATAATAAGATATAGACCTAGGAGTATCCAGGATAGGCGTGAGCCTGAGTCATTTTTCACAATAGCAAAAAAGATTTCAACGGTTAAAAAGAAACTCAACGCTTGCCCTTTGACCAAAAGAACTACATTCAGATCAATGGGAAAACGTTACCTACAATTCAGCATTTCTTTTCTGAGGGCCAATCGAGCTATGTACTTTAAGTCATATTGGAAGTCGAGTCATACTGCGTCATAATGATTGACTCATTCCAATGGTAACGCTTGCAAGGCTTTAAAAGTCCAAGTACTCCCGTGAACTTAGCAGTACGCATATTACGGAAAACCCGCGATGACTAACTTCGATGTTCGCAACCTGCGCGACTGCGCAATCCTCGCAACCATCAATATTTTCGAGCTGTCTTACTTTTCTCTATTTTCCCTTCAATTTCTCACTGTCTATTTTCCATCGTCCCCAGGCGCAATAATCAAAGCACTATCAGCGATCTTTTTCAGTGCAGGGGTCATTATTTGGTGCTGTTCTAGTCTGGTCTATCGTGCAGTCACTGCTTTTCAGGATTCCGAGGCACCAGGATGGAGAAAGTTGGAGCTGGGGGGTCTTCTGCTGTTGATCTGGGCTAGCACTATTCCCGCTGTGGTACTGCTTTTTGAGAATCAGCTATGGATCCAGCTCAGCTACGCGTCCGTTTATACGCTGATCGCCGTTGGAAACTTAGTGGAGTTCTTGGTCTCTGATTCTCACGCGTGCGCCATCCAGATCCGTTTCCCCTACCATTGCGTCTCCATGGGCTTGCTTTCGCTAGTCCCCGCCATTCATGCCTTGGCTGAAAAGCCACACGTCCCATCTCCATTGGCAATTCAATTTGGCCAAATGGCTATTTACAATTCTCTGGGTGGGGTATTTTATCTGTTCCGGCCACTAGAACGGATTGGCATGGCTCATCATTGGCGGCCTAGCCTCTATGTTATGCACCTAGTTTTGGCCTACAATATGGTTATTTATTCAAGAGTTGTCTTGGAGACGGTGTTGGGGTCTGCGGTGTGAATTATTCCATCATTTTGTGAAGTCTCACAATAATTTCGGACTAGGGAATTTGTAATCGGCAATAAGATGTCCGATGGTTGATTCGTTTCAAACTGAAGATCTTTCTCGTGTTCTTTGTAATTATCCGCGACATCAATATATCAATAACATATCAAGAATACTTCAGATGACCCCATGGTTACAGGCATGATGGTCGCTGCGCCAAAATGGCGTCGAAAGCTCATCATTACCTCACGAATCAAACACCAGACGAACTAATCCTTGAGTACAGTATCTCTTAATATAAAATTCACTTCATCTTGCCGGTCGTGAGGCTCCACGTCTGCCGAGCTGAATGGTAACTGTTGTATTTTAGCAGAAGATTGATTGTTCTTATTCCAAAGGGAAACATGAGGTCCTATATACCATTCCAAGCCAAGTTGATTGAAAATCAACTTAGTTGTCCGTATAGACACCTCGGAGCTAATCCGGATGGTTGGTTTGGTTCCAGATCTGCAATAGCCTCATATCACAACAGTAAAATAATTTCCAAGCGGAGGGCTACCTTATGATTACAGCGCGCCTTATCAGATGGACGGATTTGCATACAGGCTCGCATAGAGAGAACCCATTGAAAAAGAGAAGCTAAGAATGAAGAACTATCTGTGAGACCGCTGTTGGGAGGGGTCTTCAGGCAACAATCTCTGTCGTGGTCGGGTGTACAGTAAGATAAGGGACCGCTAACTTTCTGGGCGCACAAAGGTCTTGGCAAGATTTGGTAGTTTAACGCGTTGAACGTTCATGACCTTCCCCGCCCCCGACCGTGTTGGCCGAGGCCTTGCCCGTTTGTCCTTTTACGCTCCATATGGACGACGGGACGAAGCCTGCTGTTGAACCCAATTTTTCAAAATAAAAGTTCAATCAATTCAACGAAAGCTTCTCCAATATGGCTCTTGCGACCTTGGCTGTTCGCTTTTGGACTGCTCGTCAACTTTTTAACATGTCCGCCATCGGCCCCCTTTTTAGCTTTGCAGCTACACCAGTCTCACTCACCAAGCTCGGTTAATCCATTCAACGAGACATTTCCAAGTTATTCGTGGGTTCAAACGCAACAGTTTACGTTATACGACGATCCCAGCGGTCCGAAGTATGGGGGCTGTTGAGATGGACCTTCCCCTCGACTGGGGTCTCTAAATTTGACGACTGGCTCAATACAATACGATGCATACCAGGATTTTACCCTCACGTGCATGCTTTAAAAAGCCCACATGCTGGAGCTAGGTACGTAAGAGTCTGCAGTTTCACTTCCAAAACTGTACCCGTACCGAGCATCATGCTGGACAAATTGCCATGCGAGATTCTTTTCTTGATCGCAAACTTTGTAAGTCCTTGGCCATAATTCTGGCTCAAAGTGCTAACATCCCCTTAGCTGCCAGCTGCACATCTGGGCATTATGAGTCAAGTCTCGTCCAGACTGTATACAGCGCTGATTCCCCTGATTTATCGGGCCGTCACTTTCCGCGCCACCAGTGAGTGGGCATTGAATGTCCTCGATGTCGATTCCTTCTTTCTCCACCATGGTCGCCCACAGGCAGCCAACCATCTGCAGCATATTAGGCATCTGCATTTTTACGCACCAATCAATCTCGCTCGGTTCAATCGGTGTGCATATTATAGCATATTCCGCACTGCGGGGCTTTCGCCGTGTTCATCCACGCTCGGTACATCCGATAACACGGTGGCGCACGAACATTTTCTGGATGGCATTACGGAGCAACTCAGGCTTGTTTTTGCTCACCTGAAGCCTGATAGCCTGCGTACCTTCCAGTGTGTTAAACCCATAACATTCTGTTTGCATTGAAACTGACCATCACAGGTGGCGACTAGGCACATGTCTTCCGATGGGAGTACTGGACAAGGGGGGTTATCTCAGTCAACACCAAAGGCGGCTATCAAGACTGTTGCTGGTTACTGATGGAACCTGTCCACAAACTTCCATTGGCTTGGGTGGCCTGTCTGAATTATCATGTTTAACAACACTAGCGTGGGAAGGAATTCAGCATCCGAGCGAGATTGAATCACTGCGGCAGTGTATCGATCGGAACTGGGGTCATCTGACCGACCTTTCGATTGGATTCATCTCATCCGCTGCCTCTCGGGCTTTATGTTGGGAAATATTTGGGTTGCACCGGCCAGAAATCTCGGTTTCTAAAGATAAATTCGCTGAACGGTCAATGTCATTTTCGCCCCTGTCCGCTCTATCACTCTCCAAAGTCACTCTTCCATCAGAACTCTCATTATACGGCTCCATGTTCCGCTCCCTGCGCACATTGACTTTGCGAGATTGCTCGAATCAAGTGCACTTATTACGATGGCTGGCTCAGTCACCAGCCTCGCTGCAACTTGAGCATTTTGAAGCATGTATTGACCCCCTAATATTCGAGCCAGGCGAAGATTGTGGTTTTGCCGCACTTGTTGAATTTCTCTTATCTTTTCAAGGGCTCAGAGGTCTGCACTTGAAATTATCTAATTTCCCCACCTGGGGACTTGCCCTTCAAGATGCCATCCGACACCACCGGAGAACGTTGAAAAACCTCGTCTATCATGAGCGACAACTCGAACGAATCGACGATGATGGGTTGTTTGAGAATGATCGAGATGCTCTCCCATATTGGATCTCAAATCTGTCCGGCGTTGTGGATTTAAGTCGCATGACCGCTTTGGCACTTTGCGCGAGCCCATCCGCAGCAGTAAGTAGTTACGGTTCATGATTGAATGGAAGCTGACGATTTTAGCGGCAATGCTTGGAGCCTGAGGCCAGCAAATTGCAGCTGCAGGTTTTACACTTACGTTTTAGCGGGCCTGAGAAGATTCACCGTGATATTAAAAGAGAAATCGAGGCCCTCCTTTATGAGAGACATACTAAATCTATGTCTTTGCCGCCCATGAAAGATTATGATGAATACTCGGCTCTTATCGGCGATTATTTTGATTTCTTACTACCCAGAAATTACAGCTTACCTGAAACCACTCTGAAACCTCCGTCCCCTTGTGAAGCTGAAGAATTCCTGGCCTTTGCTGAATGGGCTTTTGGCCCGAGCGGCCTACCGAATCTTCATGTTCTAGCGTTTGGTGATTTCTCCCACGAAGATCGTTATCCTAATCAACAGTTCTTGGTGCGACGGGTAGATTTTGCTGAGTGCAGACAGAAAGAAGTTGGCCGATCTGCTTTGGAAGAAATCAGTGGGCCGTCATTTTGTTCGGCAGATTTGACAGACCCTTGTGTTTGGAACGATGTTTCTGTGGACGGAGCTCAGTTCCTTGGTGCATGTCCTGGGGGTGGCTTGATGGAATCGCCTTATGATTTCTGAGAACCCCATTTCTGCCTTTGGTGCGAACATAGACCATTGTTACACTAATACAAAACGCCTGTTTTCTCGTCTTCAATCTCGAGCTAACATCAATGTCAAAAATATAAAGTTTTCTAGATAACAGGGATATCATCCCCGCGGGCGGAGAATCCCTTTCTCTCACTTCGTTCGCTTCAGGGCATAGCTTCTATTCATGCTGTATGGCGGCTTTCGAGATAATACAAAAAATGCGACTAGGCAGCATGACGATCAATTGTGTTCGACGTTCCTTTGAGCAGCCTCATTATTTTTCCTGCTAGGCTCCCTTGCTTGTTCTTGTCTTTTTTGTCTGGCATCTTCCCGTTTTTTCTGATCTCGTTGAGCTCTCTCAATTCTCTTTTTTTGTGCTTCCTCATTCTGTTGACTGAACCTCGCCTGGCGAGCCGCTTTTCGCGTGTGAGATATCTCGACATCTTCGATCATTCTTCCAATATTCTCAAGTCTTCTTTCCATTGCAACATTTTGTAACTCGAGCGTACGTCGAAAATTCATCGTTTTTGTTTCAACTCGCAAATCATCTGAGCCGGAAGAACTGCTCTGCTGCTTGAAAGATCGATACGAAGGTACTTGCGGTATATGGGTCTCCCTGATATCCCAGAATGTGCTCAGAAACTGGTCTAACTTATATAGGGTTAGTCATAATAATGATACGTATGACAAAAGACTCCTAGCGTACCTGCCCATCAAGAGCGCTTTCAAATTCCGCCCCCCCTAGTCTTTTCAAGATTGCTAATACATTCTGTGCACTCTTCGCATATTTGCCGATTGTTGCTGGGTTCACAGCAACCCGGTGCACCGCACAATGTCGGATTTGCCGAATCTTATGTAAATCTGAGCAGAATGATTCACGTTCTTTTTCCGATATTCCACAAGTCTGGAAGGCTCCTTTGTGATGGAAACAAAAAAATTCAGTGATCTTTTCAGAGAGCCGACTTAGTTCTGCCGCCTCGGGGCAAGACCAGTGACATTCATCGATCAAGCCTGGAGCTACTATGAGGCAAAACTGATATAAGAAGAACTCTAGCTGAGTTTGCCATCGACAAAGGAGTTTGTGTGTTTTTTGAAAGCTGGGCACAATAAGTAACTTATCATTGTCACCGGGGAATTCAGCAGTCTTGCCTATCAGTCGTTGTACCCGCATCGTGTGAATTTGGATCCGTATGGCTGATCAACACCATCTTGGTTTGCAGGGCTGTCACAGCTTTGTATTTTCTATGTAGCGGGGAAAACAGCACAAATCCTTATATGAGAATGGTTTTCACAGATGGAAGAATCGTTGGACGCCACACAGATCAATGACGTGAAGACTTCGGGAGCGAGCTTTGGGCCAACGCCAGAGCAGTATTTAACTATGGTACCAGTCTTTCGTAAGCCCTGTCTTATATAACAGTGTATTTAAATATCATTCCACGACTGGAACTTAGCTAAGGCATAGATAGACTAGCGTGTTTCAGTATGGGGTTGAGAGGGAATTCATGGGTTCAGATGGTTTCGATCTATCCTATATCAAATCAAAAGAAATGCGTCAAAGGATAAATTTAGGAACTCTCTGCGTGATTCAAAGTGTGACTGACAATATGATGCCTCGGAACGACACGAATACTCTCTTTTAGGCTGGCAGCGGATGCTCAGCCTCCAATAGTATATATATGGTATTTGTTGACCAATTCGTATCGGGTGCAAGCTTGCAAATAGAATATCACTTGCCATTCACATCCCTCCCTAGTTCCCCTTCAGCCAATCTATGCTGCAATTCCTTATTTCCTTTCTTCTTTCCAACCGAAACGGTCACAAGTAACAAATAAACGAGCGATTTCTTGTGATCAAATTAATTTCAGGTACTGATGAGTTCCAAACAGGGAGGTGTGAAAATATGACACGTAAGAGACATGTATATTTCATACCCGTACCACCAAATGTCTGGTACAAATGTTATAGATGGTGCATCTCCTGGTGCTTGCGCTACAAATTATTTCCGGATATACGCTAATGCACAAAGGTTGGGTTCATAAACAGAAAGTGATAAACGGAGAGTGATAAACGGAGAGCGATAAACGGAGAGTGATAAACGGAGAGTGATAAACGGAGAGTGATAAACGGAGAGTGATAAACGGAGGGTGATTCTCAGGCGTATCGCTATGGGCCCAGAGCCCAATTAAGGTTTTAGTGATTATTATTACAGCAACTGTGCACATTGACTAGAGACAATTGGGAGAGTCCAGAGCTGCCGAGGTTCGACCAGCGCTTGTTTCTGGCGGCTAATCAGCTGATATAGGTTTTGGCGAAAGTATTATCCGGCTTATGATTGTCAAAAGGTGATGCGACCACGTTTGTTTAGTTTTTCTCAACCCGCCATCACCCTGGACGCGTATAACAAACATAGTAACCGTTTTTCTCCCTGCTCGGTCCCAACTAGCACTATTATGACCAAACGTGGCGGCTTTGCGCGATTCTTCCTGCGGTATCCCAAGTCTACACGGTAGTTAATTAACTTGTCTTACTCATGATGGAGACGATCTCTAAAAATTCGCTCAGCTATCTTCGTAACAGGCTAAGAGAGACTGCACATGAAATCTCAATTCTCGAATTATATATATCACAACCAACACCAGCCGCCCGCATAGCCTTGAATAGGTGTGACAGCACTCGTATGCAGAAGAAATGGATAACTCACAAATCGGTCAGTCTAGCTGTTTCCCAACATTGGCTTTAGGTGCTCACATTCGTCGCTTTCAGCCCCCCCTCTGGATCTGGATCTGGATCTGGAGCAGCTGTGGGCGGATTTTATCGACATACCAACGACTCCTCGCCTCGCGGCTGATTATGACAATCCCTTCTCGATGGAACCGCTCAACACACCCGTCTGTCCAAACAAAGAAGTCCTCACGCCATTCGTCGTCGAATGCATGTTTTATCCCAGTTATGATTCCCAGCGCTGCTTTCCCTGGACTGGGCCAGACCCGTTGTCTTTTCACACTTGCGCCGACGACATCTTCCTCTGGATGTCTGCATTTCTGCTTTTCGAGCCGATACAGTGGGTAGAGTTTCGGCTATGCAGGCTGATGACGGGGACTAGCGAAGTGGCAGAGGAATACCCCTTTTTCCTACCTCGCGTTGAGTCGACCCTGGGAAATCTGCCTCGAATTCGTGGGCAGGTATGTGATATTATCTCGCGGCAGGACAGCCAAGGGGCTTGGGGTGATTCGCATTTTCAAATGTACATGTGGCCGCGGAAAGAGGCAATGTCGGGCCTTATCCGGGAGAACGCGTTTTCGTGCGTTCGCTCAGCCACGCCCGTGTCAGCGCTCGATCCGGTCTGTTTTGTACGGAATATAGCAGGGAACTTTGCAGTATGACTCCTGACGGGAGGGTGAAAAAGCCATGCATTCCGGGAGCAAATCTCTTGATCTTAATTGAACGGAATTTGATTTGCCTATCTTTAACAAAGCCCGCATCATCATCATCATCATCATCATCACCATCATGCTGGCTACTCGACACGCTTCTAGGTCAGCGAGGATGGTCGTGGACCGGGTCTGTTTTACCTGGCGTACGGCAAGAGTGAGGGCCACAGCTATGCTGTGGCTGGGGCGATCCATTGATTATATTGCCTCTTATAGGTAGCATGCAAACACCCTTGGTTTAATTGTCTAGCTTCTCTTACGCCAATCGCCCTGTTTGCTATAGAGGCTGCTGCTTCTGATTTAAAAGCTGCAAGTACCATAGGCTTCTTTCGACGAGGCCACTCCGTAGAGCAGTAAAGTCCCAACGGATCCTTCAAGACGTCGGTAAGCCCGGGTTGTCCCACAACCGGTGACACGTAAACGGTGGTGTATTGTGACATGCCGTAGTCCCATTCTTAGCATAATAGCTCTGCCAGAAATCGGTGCATGATGAGCTGCTGTATGACAATTGGCTTTTATCTGAATACCACGCGGAATAATTGTCGGTCACGGAGATGTCCAACTGTTCCTGCCCTTCTAATGTACGGTTCAGCCGGAAACTGTGGGCAATGAGATAGCCTGGTAGATTTCACGCAACAATCGTGTCATTGAAATTGGTCTTAGGCGGGCATTCCTTGGCAGTCCGGTACGTCCCAGGCAAGGAGCTGCAATGGTGCAGAAAGCTCTTAGAGGCCATTAGCGCTGGCGTCGGATAGGGGGACAACAACGTTGAACAACATGCGCCGGTGGAGGACCGGACGGTGAGGGCGGGTGACGCGGCGGCCAATGAGCCAGACCCCACGCCCAAAGCAATCAACACCCCGAGAGCGAACATTCTCAGCCCGAGTGACACCGTACCAAGGCTTGCGCTTTGCTCTATATGGCAAGTATGAAGCCGGAAGGTTGATAATAATATTGGGACCTCAGAGGAACCGGCGTTTGACCCCGCGTCAACCATCAACGTTGGGTCCACAGATCTCCACTTTAAGATGAGGGTCAGCGACCAGTTTACTCATTTTGATCCATATACTAGATCAAGTCCATTTTGTTTTGAACGTTCAATCACGTCTTGTGAGTAGATTCCAGCCTTTCGCGGTCACCTCTCATTCCCACGGTTATTCAACACATCATCTTTCCGCTCACGCCTTGGCAAAATGGTCGCAAATCATAATCACAAACCCCGGGGATATGACTACTCTGAGATTGGGGACTATTTGCGGTGATCTCACGTTTAAACAGGGTCTGATTATTTTGCCTTGATGTGCGTCTAGTTTGGATTCTTGGTCGCAATGTCGCTACGTGCATAACATCGGAGTAGGCGCGATTTCTCGCGGGTATGGCCCTCGGGTATCTACATAAGGCATTGGAAGTGACCCGGAGCCTGTCATTATGATCATTGCACTTAGCTCATTGCGTCATCTAGAGCACTTCAGATATCTGTCGACACGAACATGCATTGGATTCATGGAACCAGGCTGTGGGTAAATGCGAGGTATGACTAGCTTTCCTGGTGCGCGCGCATCTGTGACGGTAGCACTTTCTAGCATTTTCTCACGAGCAACAAGCAGAACGAAAAGATCGCGTCGCTCTGTCGCATCTAGTCATAACGACAACCAGCTACGGCAGGGCACAGGACACCCACAGCATCAAGCGGGAGGCGCAACTGGCTTTCGTGTACTGCAAGCTAAGCCATGTACATTCGAGCTTCGATGCGAACGGTGTCATGGTCTTCGGTCAGCCTTCTACCATAACAAACATTCCATAGACCCGGAAGCGTTTCCGAGGGTTGGCATTTGCTCGCGGCGTCGGACCAATTGTGCGGCGGCAAAGACAAGATGCCAGGCTTCCTATGGTGGTCTGCCGGTCATACACGAACTTCCGGCGGATGAGGCAACGGACAGGCTGGCGTTGTAGGATAAAAATCAGCAGATAGAGAATGAAATGGCAATGGGCAGAAGTAACTACCATGCGATGGCTAGCAGCTATTGTTATCCGACAACAGATATATTCTACACTTGTTCATCTCTAGCTCAAAATATAGAGTATATGGACGGCAGTCTCTCTAACCCAGTCTCCGTCCCTCAGTCAGTTTCTGCTCCACCCATTTGTCGTGGCTGGTTAGTTGGTAACCCGGGCCAAACTAGGACGGTGGAGGGGCCGCTGAAGGAACCATTAGAGATAGTGGAGCCGGCGAGCCCGCCTGAAGCTGATAATTGAGCTTGTACAAGACGGATGCGTTCATCGTAAAATATACCCTGGGGCCTACAAGGTCCATCTCCCGCGCACCTGAATTTGGTCGAGGAGGATCCCACAATCGCGCGCATGTTGAGCCGCACTCTTCCGAAGACTGTGGCCTGAGTAGCTGTCGGCCTGTAACAAAAATGCTCTTAGCTTAGTAGATAAGGTAGAGAGGAGATTTTTCTGACTGAATAGTATTCTATGGAAGGAGAACAACGAGGCACTAGGCCCTCTGGGGTCGAGAAGTAGCAACTTCTGCAGCGCGTCTACCGGGCATGTTCCGTCTCTTGCTTTTGCAAGAATAATATGTACTCCTTCGTGGCAGCGGTCCGTCTTACTCCGCTTGAATGTGAGTTGTGCATGGTCTAACAAGGACGAGAATCTAACGTCGAAGCGCGTTAGTTTTGTTGCTAGGATAATAGAACACGTGCTGAGGTCTTCTGTTTTATAGGTGAATTCCCTGAGGCGGAGGGACCCAGCAAATACCACCCAGCAGGCAGTTGCGACGTTTAAGTCGTCTAGGGCAGTCTCTGCGCGTTCGCACCAGTTGCAACTATCGTTGCCATCTCCCCAATGAAAAGGCGGAGATGGCAACATTTGATGTTACTACTACGATAAACTAATTCACGAGGCCGTGGGGCCTCTTATTGGCTGGAAATTTCAAGAAAAAAAATGATATTATCTTTGAAAAGGTTGTTTTGAATAATGACGGAAAGTTGCTGTGTGACTCGACTCATTTTCAAGAGCAATGAATTCTCGGATTCAAAACACAATAACACTGAGCCAAAATCTATTCATATAATTACAAGGCAACGGAGAGTGATTGAGAGGTTTTTAATACTGTACCCTCGGCCAATTTCATTTGTGCTCGGCATGAGTACGCGTAAACCTTGAAATACCCATGGACAGAGAGCCTGAGACCTGACAAGAAACCTGCAAAACTGGTATCCGGCTGTCCAATGAACATATGACGCCACAGAGGAAACTCTCTCTTGGCAAAAACGTTTTCTTGGAATATCTAGCCAATCAGAGGCGCTATGGCCTTGTGAATGAGTTCATCATATTCGTAACCTCAAGCGCTATCGTCCAATACCCTTTTTGGAGGGGGGATGGCAGCAATGGTTGCGACTGGTGCGAACGCACAGAAATTGCCCCCTGACAGGAGAGGAACACCAAAACCCGCGGCAGCCGGCGGGCGACCCATATCGATGAACGACATCGCAGAAGGAGCCCGCCTGGTGCTGGACCACATAGAAAACAATGGCACGACGGACGGATACGTTACTGGATATATTCGAGCTGTCCGCCAGTACGCACTCAATGCCCAACGGGGCGACGGCCAGGGGATGGCCAAGGTGCTCGAAGCGCTGACCAAGATCATTGCCGACACCGAACGTCTAAACCAGCGAATGGACACCATCGAAAAGACAACGAACACTTTATCAACAGCTTTGTCCTCCACTGCGGCCGACTCCGCTGCAGCGTGGCGCGACTTCCGAGCCAGAGACTGGCAGCGCGGCTTGGCCAAGGCGGCGTCACCCAGTACCCGGAGCAACGACACGTCGTCTGCCGGGGTGCCTGAAATCGAACTTCGCGAGGACCGTGAAGTCATCGTGAAGGTGGGACCAAATCGTGAACAGATTCGCGGGCTCTCACCGAGGGAGCTGGTCGAGCGGGCGGAGCGCCAAAAGGTGACGACTGCCCGACAGAAGAAATCTGCCGCTTTAGCTGAAAGGGCTGCCTTCGTTGCAGCTCGAAAACTACCATCCGGCGATGTAGCCATGGTAGCAAATAGTGCTGCAGGGGCGGAGCTCCTTCGTAAGCATACGGGATGGTTGAAGGCATTCGGGCCCGCTTCCGTGGTCCAAGAGCCGTCGTGGGGCGTCGTGGCGTACCACATTCCTGTAAAATCGATGAAGCTCACCCCGGAGACGATGACCGACATTGCAGCCGAACTGCTTCGACAGAACGACTGGGGCGAAAGCGCTAAGATCCAGTATCTTGGCTGGCTGACGCGACCGGGTATCCGGGCGGAGGGCTCGATCCTGATCGAGTTCACCAGCCCCGTCGTGGCCAACCGTGCTATCATCTCTGGTGTCGTATGGGAGAAGCAAATCCACAATGCGTCGCGATTCTGCCGCGAGGGACGGATGAAGCTCTGCAGAAAATGCCAAAAACCGGGGCATATCCAGTCACACTGTTCCAACGTTTATAGATGCGGCCACTGCGCCGGCGAGCACCCGACCTGGGAGTGTCCGTCGACACGGGGGCAGGCGATACCAATCAAATGTGCCAATTGCGGCCAAGGACATCGACCAACCAGTCGAGAGTGTCCAGTGAGGATTGAGGCGTTGAATGAGGCAAAACAGGCACTGGCCGACTGCCCTGCGTACCACCGCATCCCACTACACTTCCGAAATACCGCAAGCAGTGACACCACGTCACCTCCGTTCAGACCGAGTGCCACCGAAAGGGACGACCTGGATGCACCTATACTTGCACCAAGGGGGCAGCAGGAGGCAGACCCCTCTCACCTGCCCCCGCAGGTTACAACGGAAACTGAGACAGAACCAACGAGAGAGGAGACATCACTCCAAGAACGCATCAATCCCGCAAAGCCCAGAAGAGGACCGGGTCGCCCAAAAGGCTCAAAGACCAAGCCCAAAGATCACGTCTTGCCTCTGGTACAGTCGGCAAGTCAGCGGTCAACAAGATCCCAGGCGGCCACCCAGAGAACTGAGTCTGAACACACGATGTCTAAGAAGCGCCGCATGGGCGAACCGGAGGACATTATGGATGAGCAGCCGGACGACAGCGACTGGTTACGGCCACCCGTCCCAGTACCATGCAAGTCCTCTGCGGCGGTCTTGACCGATGCACCCACAATCGAAGACCCAGACGATGAAATATGGTACGAGGTCAGCGAGCGGAGTGACGACGATCAGTCACAGCAATGAAGTTTTTGGAAATAATCCCATAAAACATTTCTCTGGACATGGGAAAGAGTGTCGAGAAATACGGCCCCTTGAGACAGTGTGACGGAAGAAGAAGGATGGCGCCCGCTAGGAGTGCAGTGTCAGATCCACTACATTCCCTTGATCCAAACGAACACGTGAGCGGCAGCCGATGGTTAGGATGGTTGCGTGAAAAGGTCATCCATGGCGAATCTGAGGGACGTCATGTCATGTAAGGACGACCAGTGAGAAGGGAAGGGCTCTCGGGGAGCGGGGACGGGGACGGGGCCATGGCATTTGTTATGTGCAGTTTCATATGTGTTTATTGTTTTTGCATTTCTATATTCGGGGACGACCGATTGGAAACTCACACTGTGAGCTTTATGAACCGGCCGTCCAATGGGCAGGTACCCAACTTCTAGCAGTCGGCAGGCCTGACAGCACTCCCGCATAGCAGCATATATTAGAGCGAGCTACATCGGGCAAATGAATTCATCATCATCATCATCATCATCAATTCCTACGACTGACCTTAGAAATGATTTGGTAATGGAGTGGTATTTTCCTTGAGAACAACGCTAGGCTGTTTGTACGGAGATCGGTCTAATATCATACTCCGGGGATCACGTCCATGCGACCGCGTAGGTCACGACACATAACTGTGATTCAGGGCCAAAGCAATTGCCAGTCCTATCCAGCCGCAACCGAACACCAAAGAACATTGATCTCATATGGCCAGTCCGCGGAGACAACATTCGTCACACGTGTCCCGACCAGGCGCGTTATCAACGCGACCTGAGCGTCTCAGCGCAGGACGTACGAGCTTTTGCTGCAGTAATTTTCCATGCACTCCATTCCCAAACCAGGTGCTGATTGTTGATAGGCGCCGGTATCATGGTCAGCGGAGCGAGTGGCTCTGGGAGCAGTAACTCTGCCAATACTGGCCAGTATGTCATTATTGGAGGCCTCATCGTGCAAGTCCTCATCTTCGGTTTCTTCCTGATCAGCGCGCTTGCGTTTCAGTGGGGCCTGACTTCGCATCCTACTGTGAAGGGTATGGCTGCTCACACGTCTTAGCGAAAACACATGTATGCCTTGCACACGTCCAGCGTTTTCGTGCTTATTCGGTCCGTTGTTTGTGTTGTTAATTATGTCTAGGGTACTAATGGATTTCCCATTAGTAACGAGGTGTTCATTTATGTGCTCGATGGGTTGTTGATGGTTGTTCTCACGGTGACTTTTTTTTTTTGATTCATCCGAACAAGGTCAACTGCCTTCTTAGTCGAGGGAAGGTCATGACGACAAGGGTGAGCTGAACATCTCCGAAGGGTCAATGTTGGTGTAGTGTAAAGTTGTGATAGTGGGAACTTGGCGGGCTATCGGTATCTGTTCTTGTTCCGCAATCTCCCATTGAAATTCGGAATTCTCGGCGAGATTCAACGCGTCATCCAATTCACCCTTCACAAAGTATCAATTTGCTCCAGGTAGTTTTCACCGAGGATCCCTTGCATCGCCCAATGAAGCAGCGGTCTCCACTGATCGTCCAAGATTGCCCAGGCAGCTTTTGTAACCCGCACACACCACTCATCAAAGCACCAGCGATGCTTCAGATGCTGTAGTAGCGCGCCATAATGCGTTAACATGACGAGTGCCAAAGGCTCGCACTCGCGCAACAGGTCCAAGAATCGGGATGGCAGCTTGATCGCCCACCTGCCCGCAATGACTATCGAGGTCTTCCCGCTATAGATCCAGCTCAACATTTCGGCAAGGTTGTCGATAGTGACAGTGTAGGCATCCATTTCGTGGTGCGGGTCGCGGGCCCGACATGTTTCGTTGGCTTCGTAGAGATGTCTGATGGCCGTGGTCGCGTCGTCTGGTAACGGCACGGGAGTACTGTCAACTTGGAGAATTGGTGCAAATCTCCCACCTCCAAGAAAGCCAGTTGACGAGCAAATAACCTGCTGAATGCCTCTTGTGAGGATTAGAACCCGGTATAGGTCGTCCACACAGGTCCATGGGTCTTGCACATCGGGAGAGTGGGGGAACCCGAACGTGTAGACGACGACGATGCTGGCAAAGGCAAACATAGCCTTCGCATTTCCTTCATTAACATCGCCCAGAAGCTCGCGGAACAATGCTAGGGCTTGGTTCTGGTGCACCACTGCCCGATTCAGATACGTAGCCCGCCGCGAAGTTTCGGGCGTTGTCCGAGCCAAGTGGAGAGAAGATAGAGCCAGAATGCCATGCATGAGGAATGGGTGCGAAAGGCCTTCTTCGGGGACGGCGTTTCGCCATACTGTATCGGTGCGATCGTTGCTGGAGAGCGTGCGGAACGTCGCATTGCACCATTTCGTCATCAGCTCCAGGTCATGAAGATTTAAACCTGCGGGAGCAGCAGGCGTCGAGCTGTCGCTGCTGAGCCGACCCAATAACCCCAATGAATCGGCCCCTGGACTTCCTGGTGAGGGATCACCGTGGAGGCCACTATCGAAACCCGAGGCACGCGACGACTGGCGAGCCGAGGGCTCTTTATTTGCCCAGAGCAGCGGGCTAGATGAGTCATACTCGCATTCTGCATGGCGCTTTTGGCAATTGGAGCACATAGGCCGGGCCTCGTCGCACTGCAATGATATCAGTGCAGGCCAAGATGTCGGTCCGATCTGAAACCATACCTTTACTCGTCGTCGCTTGCATTCAATGCACCCATGTCGAGATTTCCGGTGAGATCGTCGAAGCGCCATGGTCATGCAATCAGCTCCATATTCATGGCCTAGGAAATAGAGGTTCGGAGAAACAAGCAAAAATAAGAACCCGAGACTAAGGTACGAAACTAAGAGAAATTCTCCCGACTGAAAATGTAGGCAACAGGACTCCTCGATTTTACGATTACATAACGAACCCTTTCGATCAAACAGCGAAGCTAGTCAGACGAGGCTAAGCTTTTCATTTGCCATATTCGCTTGATCCACCACCTAACTCGCCCCCATTTATCTACCCCGAACTTCGGGCTCAGCGAGAGTACTTCTTTCTTCATTCTTCCCCTCTCATCTGGTAGCCCCATCCTCACTCTTTTCTCCTTTCGTGGAATCAGCCTACCTTGACTTCATCCTCTCCCCATCCCCTCCTTCCCCCCTTTCCGTCCGTGTGTGTGTGTGTGTGTGTGTGTGTGTGTGTGTGTGTGTGTGTGTGTGTGTGTGTGTGTTTCCACTGTAATTTTCCAAGGCTCCAGGTGTCCCTTCTCTCCCCTGGTGATGCTGAATCCTTCCACTCGATTTCCATCTCACGAGAAGGGCGGCGATTACGCCCGTAAATAAACTTTGTCTTCCAGCTCTGACGCTCCACACCATCCTACATTTTCCCCCCGTTATCATGTCGAATGATCGCTCCTCGACCCCATCTTTTTTCCCCGCCTCCAATGGCCCCCCCAACCCCCTGCCTGTCCCTTCGCCGGGCGCTCATCGCCCATCATAGCCACATCGGCGGCCGGCGCTGCTCGCCACTGTACCCGGTCTACTGCTGCAATTATTTCATTGTTGCCCCAGGACGAGAAATCTAACGCTTCGCGCCGATTAGGCGACACTTTTACCTGGTCCGAGGCCCTCAGTGCCGAGTGCTCCCTTTCCCTCGGTGGCCCTGTCTCTCCCCAGAACCGGACCCCATCACGCCACTACGGTCACCAGCGTCCCGCGTCGATCGCCTCGAGGGATCAGCCTGTGCAAGAAATTCCCAAGCAGCCAAAGCAGAACAAGCCCGGTTTCGTCGAAAAGAAGATCCTACATGGCGAGTTCATGGACTAGGCACCGTGCTCACTTCACGAAGCTCCAGAGAGATGCATTCAACCTTTCCGTAGCTTGGAGCTGTCAGTGCTAGACACCGTTTGTTTCTGGTACTTTTAGCTCTAAAATTTCCAAAGCAGCATGAGGTGGGCGGGGTCACCACTTCGGTAGGAGACATTTATTCATGTATCCGCCTTCCAGTAACCCCCACCGTACAGGCATTTATCACCTTAAAGGCAAGGTTCCAACCATCCATCTTCTTGAGGTTATTTTGATTCACCCAGTATGCCCAAAACAACCGGAGAACGTAAAAAATGTGTAGCGGAGGCCACTGCAAAGGCCAATAAGGAAAAAAGCGCCGAAATTATCGAAGATCGCGCGGGAACTTGGCGTCCCTTATTGCACACTGTACGGTCGAGTTCATGACGGTTTTATCCCGAAAAACGCTAGTATCAGAAGGATTAAGAAAAAACAATCGTTTGTTGTTGAGATATGAAGTCATAAAATATCGCGTTTACCATGGTGTTTGGGGGTGCGCAGCTCGTTTACATGCGAAGCTCGCTTACCGAATACGTTTTAGAAAAATTCACTTGAGGGCGCCGCTTATTTTGGACAGCACTAGCTAAATTGCCTCATCAACTCGGATGGGTGTTGACTGACCAGACGCTTCCTTGACTGCTTTCCTTGTCTCTTTCTTTCTTCTCGCTCTTTACCATCGCTACCGGTTTCCTTTTCTTGGCCTACCGATATCGGAGGCCGCCGCAATGTTTGAGGTAATTCTTCTTACTCCTCCCATTTCTTTTGGACGGCGGATTCGCCAAATACCGACCGTTGTAGCTGAGTATGAAATAGTTTTAAGTTCTAACTGCCCAATCCTGAGGCAGGCGGGGAAATAACATTATGGAAGACAGCGGTGAAACAAGCGTGTCATAGTGAGATGAGGGCAAAACCTGAATCCTTGGTCTACCGCTGCTGCCTGGGCCGCTTTCGGCCCAAATTTTCCTCGGGTACTTTTCAAGAGCTGGGCAGGTGGATTGCATGATGGGTCTCGCTCTGAACATTTCAAATACTGTACACCATAGAGTCGAGCAAGTGGAGGGGAAGGCAAGTGGCGCCTCCCGTTTGGGACGAGGCGTGACTGCCAAGTTGCGCGACTGAGGCATTTAACGCTCTCATTGCGAGTTTTCCCTCTTCCCTTTCCCACTTTCTTCCCTTCTGATAATTTCCCACTCTACAATCAATTCCAAAATTTTCAACACACTCTCGGTCTCCAATCCTGAATGGCTGATCTCTACTTTATGAACGTCTCCGTCTCCACTGCTTTCGCGATCCCAGGAACACTGGCTGGGCTAGGATTCACTGGCGCATCTTCGGAGGTTACTCACCCGCCTTAGGAACTCCGGCTCTGATCATATCAAGCGTTCAGATGGTACCTAAGTTTGCATCTCTGGTAATTTTCTGATCTGTCGCAATGCGGTTCTACAAGCCTATCTTCCGGTGCGAATTCGAGGGGGTTGCGGAGACGCAGAGTGTCGTGTTGGAAAAGGACGTGAAGTGTGACGTTGATGTCCTCATCATGGAGAGTGTCTCAGGCTACAAGGTCAAGGCGAGCCCCCGTCTGGTGGACCGTTGGCTGGATGCTGTTGTGCATGTTGCTGGCTCTGCTCCCATCTTCCTGCTGATCATTAGCGGTCTCCTCACATGGGCTCTTATGGGCATCCACTTTGGTCAATCGGATGTCTGGGTGGCCATGATCTCGGATGTGCAGGCCATTCTGTGCTATGTGTTTGACTCGTTCCTGATGCGCCAACTCCTTCGAGAGTATTCGGAGCAGCGATCGGCTATGATTGAGATTAAATCTCGTGGCAACAGTCACCGCCGCATGCTGGGCAATTTCAAGGAGAAGATGGGCTCTGAGGCTATTCGAAGAATTGCTGAGAAGTGCGGTGGTGAGCACCTGCATCCCCTGGATCATGGACTGCGGACGCAAAGCCTTTTCGCCCGGTGCATCATCTTCTCTGCAAAACTGTTCGGTCATATCATCGCGGTCGGTCTATACTGGGTAGGTATTTTTGTTTGGCTTGGATTCGGTCATCACTGTGGCTGGTCAGACCGGTGGCAACTGTACATCAACGACGCCACCTCGGCGCTAATGATCTTGGTATTCGCATTCCTGGCTTGCCTTCGTGAATGCTATGCCGACTACACCAACACCTGTGTCGATGCCATCTTCCGACTCGACTCGACCCTTGAGAAAGAGCTCCGCCGTCTCAGCCAAGACGATCTGCCCAACGCCACTGAGACCATTATGCCACCGAAGGAGACCTACCTCCAGGTCGTCATCTTTTACTATGCCGACGTCATCGGTACATTGGTGGGAATCATCATTCTCTTGCTGGTCATTATTACCTGGGCGGCTGTTGGGCCTGTCTTCCAGTTTAATAACACCTGGTGGCTTCTCATCGGCACATATGCCGGACTGGTTGGTCTTTTCGATAGCTTCGTTCTTCGCAACATCCAAGGGAAAGTTCACCAGTACATCGAAAGCCAGATCGACGACCTGGATGAGGACGACAAGATAATTTTTAACGGACTATCGTTGCCGACGCCTTCCGCCGACAAGCCAAAGGAGCCCTCTCTTAGTCGACGTGCGTCTCGGCACATCGATGCAATCAGCTCAAACCTGCTCATGGTTCTGGCCGGTTTTCTGGTGACCATCGGTTGTCTTGTTGCCTCGAGTGCCATGCACTGGAGCCTAACTGGACAGTTGATCTCAAATGTGCCACCCAGTATCATTGAGACATTCTTCATGCTCATCCTGATCACCGGACAGAACGATGCGGAGGCCAAGGCTCGCATCGACTTGACAAACATCTACTACCGGCGGCAGCGACTGCTCTCTTTCATAAAGCATGTCAAGACTATTGATGGTGAGACTCAGCCCATAGAAAGTGCTGAGTCCAACTAAAAAGTCATTATTATGTTCTGCCTTTTTTGTTATTTTTTTTCGTGGGGAGGCTTTGGGGGTTGCTTTGGTTGCTTCAACACCAAGTTGTTTATTTGATAGATTGTAATGTAATATCGCCGAACCGATTTGCGGCTCTGCTTTGGTTTTACGTTTTTCATCAATCTCATTCTCTCCTGGTGGATCCATAGACAGATGGCTAGGCTCACAATGACGCAAGCAGGGAAAGCGACCAAAAAAGTGACGAGCCCTTTGACACAAAGAGGCGGGAAAATAAAGTTTCTATCAGTCGGGGTTGGAATTTTTTTTAAAAAAAAAGGAATAATAGTCTCGGCAAAACCTTTGATAGGGAAGGTTTGTTTCGCTCACAGTTCGATCACCGCGGCCGATCGTGCCAAAATTGTGTTTGCAATCACCAGACGAAGGATGCCGTTCGAAAAAGGCATGAACGGCAGCCCAGAAGTACTGGACGTATGTGTTTTCCCGCTTGAAGCTTATCATCTTCGAGAAAAATCGTAAAATCGAGTTATGATCAAATATGGTCTGTTGAACAGTCCTTCCAAAGTTCCGAAGAATGTGGACGCTAGACAGAATTGGCGAGCTTTTCTTGCCCGTTTCCCCCCTATTTCCGAGTACCAAGTCTTAGAGAGGAAAATGCGGCGTCAAATACACTACGAAAAATGAGGATGATGGAGATTCTGTCTTTTGCTTCTATCAAGTTGCAATAGACGGTGGGAGATAAAGCCCCGGAAGTTAATCGATGAATACTAAGGAGCCAAAATAGGAATGAACAAGTCACATGGCCCTCAGTGAGCTCGCACTGGGCAGCAGTCCTAGCCAGGCTGTTGGGACAATGGATTCATACCTTCTCGTGGTGTCCGGTGTTAATCCTCGTTGAGGAGACCAAATTGAATCCGCCGTGGTTGTGCGGTCCGGCCCGCGGGAAGCGACCGCACAACCACACCAAAATCAGGGGACAACGGGATACGAAAACCATCCGACTTCTTTTTACCCGACTCGCACTCGGGCCCAAAAGCTGGTCTTGCATTACCAGTGAAAGTGGTGTCGCCCTAGAAAGAAGACAGGACACCCCTGAGCTTGCATACGGTCTGGGATCGCATCGCGCGAGATGCGGCGAGGCGGTAGTGAACCGATGACACAGGCAGTCAAGCTAATATCGGACAGACCTCGTTCAAGGCCCAGGAGACCTCGTTAAGACTCGAACTCGTTAAGGCTCGAAGATGCCGCCTCGGAAGACCTCGTTATGGCCTAGCCACGGGCAACCTTTGATGCGGCTCCTCTTCTTGACACGGACACCACCGAGACACGGGCATCCTCCTGGGAGATACACGGGCATTCTGGAAGGAATTGGTATTTGGCTGGTGGCAAACGATGGACCTCGTTAAGGCGTTGCCACGGGCAAACCATCGATCCTGCTCAGGCATCGGGGAACAAGCTTGGTTAGTGGAAAGTGGCCGACGTACCCTGCCGGACGGAGCGTATACGAGGGCTTTCTGCAAGACACGGTCGGCTTGGCGGGGGGAGACCTCCCCAGGTAACGCGAAACGAGAGTTCAAGCTCTCGCGGGGCGTGGTGTACAATGGCAGCCACTGCGACAGGGTCGGGGCCTGTCAAGAGACTGTCTGTATGGCCCGAGAGGACGGATGCGCGTGTCGGTGTACAAACAGCCGGGAATCAACTACCTCACTCGCACTGAGGGCCTGAGATCAGGTTCGCCTGGTTGAAGCGGTGTCGTCCTAGGTGATTTGCCCGTGATGTATGCTTAAGGAGCAAACTGAGAGACACCTAGGGTGAGAGGCTTTGTCCACCTCAAGAGTCCAGAAACCTCGTTTATTGGGTGAAAAACTGGGGTAGTGGTCTATGCAAGTAGGCCTGCCGAAGCTACTCTATGTCTCTTGGCCGGGCAGGACTACTGAACAAGCCCTACTAGTCCTTTCAAATGCGATTGATCAAGCTTGGTATAAACTTGGAGTTGTGACACTTATAGCGTTTGATCAGAAGGGTGCCTTCAACGGGGTAAACAAAATCAGCCTCGACGCCCGCCTCCGAGCAAAGGGGATTCCAGCCATCGCTAGAAAGTGGATTGCGAGCTTTATGAGTGACCGCTTTGCCAGCATAGGTTTTGATGACTTCCGTACTGAGGTCGCACTGCTTGCCAATGCGGGACTTGCGCAAGGCTCGCCACTCTCACCGATTCTGTTCACATTCTTTAACTCCGATCTCGTCGACCAACCGGTCACCTTTCGTGGCGGCGCATCAGCCTTCATCGATGACTATTTTCGTTGGCGAGTGGGCCGCTCGGCCGAGGAGAATTTAGCCAAAATCCAGACGGAAGACATTCCTCGCATCGAAGCATGGGCGCGACGGACTGGGTCCTGCTTCGCGGCCGAGAAGACCGAGCTTATCCATCTCACTAGGAAAAGAAGCGAACAACTGCAAGGGCAAGTGGTCATAAATGGGAAAACGGTCAAGCCATCTTCCACAGCCAAGTTACTAGGTGTGATTTTCGACCACGAGTTACGGTGGAAAGAGCACGTTCAGCAAGCCATCAAACGCGCCACTAGAGTGACTATCGCTCTGTCTGGACTACGACATCTGCGCCCAGAACAGATGCGACAAATCTATCAAGCGTGCGTCACACCAGTGGTAGACTACTCGTCAACGATCTGGCACGACCCTCTGCGCGATAAAATGCACTTGCGCCATCTGAACACAGTACAACGAGCCCCTCTAATCCGTATCCTATCGGCGTTCAGGACGGTAGCGACTGCCACGCTAGAAGTGGAAGCGCACGTCCTTCCAACACACCTCCGCCTCCGCCGCCGAGCACAACACACTATCGCGAGACTCCACACTCTACCTCGCAAGCATCCTATCTGGAGCGCGCTCCTCCGGGCCCAGAGACGGAGGAATAACATCGGAAACTACGCTAGATTCCCACTCGCAGAAGCCCTAAAAACCATGGACTTGCCAAAATTGGATGAGCTAGAAACGATTGACCCAAGTCCGCTGCCACCGTGGCGAGCCGAACCCTTTACGGAGATTGAGGTTGGATCAGACCGAGAATCGGCCATCGAGCGAGCCGATGCCGCACGATCCATGTCGGACATTATTGTCTACTCAGATGCCTCTGGACGCGAGGGTCATCTGGGAGCGGCCGTGGTGGCACTCGACGATAACCTGCAGGTTGTCGAATCACAACAAGTCCAGGTGGGACCAATGGACCGATGGTCGGTTCACGTGGCAGAGCTCATTGGCATTTTCTACGCCATCAGCATGGTGTTCAAGATCGCCTATCAGCGGTCAAGCCTGGTCAGTAGACAAAAAACAGCAACGATCTTGTGCGACAGTAGATCAGCCCTACAGGCAACTCAGAACCCGAGGAACAAATCGGGCCAGAGGATCGTACACGCGGTCCTACAAGCTGCCACAGAGGTTCAAGCCGAGGGAATCGCGCTCCGTCTCCAATGGGTGCCAGGGCATTGCAACAATTCTGGAAACGACGCTGCGGATCGACTAGCCAAGGACGCCGCGTGCCCAGGTAAAACCCACCCATTCCGCCCGCTACTCTCGAGAGAAAGTGCACGCCTGCGCGTCAACATCCTCAATCAGTGGGAGCAGGAATGAAGATCGTCCAGCAAAGGCGGCCACCTACGGAAGATCGACGGCACCCTACCGGCAACCTATACAAGGAGGCTATATGGGAGCCTGCCCAGGAACCGGGCGTATCTGTTAACGCAGCTACGCACAGGCCACAATTGGTTATCCACCTACGCCAAGAGCTTTGGCTTCCGCGATGACGACCAGTGCGTGTGCGGCGCACAAGAAACAGTCACTCACGTGCTGGTGGACTGTCCAGAGTTGCGAAATATTCAAAGGGAGTTACGGAGCGAAGTGGGGGACGCGTTTAGCAGCGTCTCGAGTCTGCTGGGAGGCTCAACCGAAGGTAAGAAAGGTAATCCAGACATCGTCTCACGGGCTAGGACGGTCAAGGCCGTGCTAGACTTCGCCGAGGCGTCACAACGGTTTTGGAGTCGCGCGCCACGAGGGCAGCCTAATGATGGGAGCGGCATTGGGCCACGGCAGGCCTTGACGAGGCTCTAAGTTCGTTTTCAGGAAGTGGAACACTCTACATGTATGTACACGCGTATATAGTTGCTGTGTCCTGCATATTGCTCTCGAGCGAGGGGTCAGGGTAAATGACATCAACCAACCAACCAACCAACAAGTCACATGAAGCAAGGTAGGCAGCAGCAAACCTCACCTGAACTTGATTTGATTTGCAGGAACGGGTGCTGACAGGATCCCGCTCTTCACGGTCCATAACTGAAAAGAAAACTTCGGTGAATAATTTCCAGCCAGAGGTAGGGGCAAAGTCAAGGTTTTAGAAATAATAGCGATACATGCTCTGTGGCGCTTCGACTAGTCATTGATGTATTGTGCGAGAGGACTGGAGTAGCAAGAAGTATTTATAGGCTTCTCGGCTTATCTGGTCACTCACATGCATCATTCGGCACCAATTTGGCCATGTCTTTCCGTGGACAATGTTGAAAGACACTGATGAGAATGTCCGCCCCAAATGAGGCCTGTCAAAACCTCTGTCTCAACTAATTTCATGGCTTGAGCGACAATTCAATACAATTTCTGGTTCGTCAACGAGGGTTGACATTATACTGCCATGTCAGGATAGTGATATCAAGTCTATGGAAACACTGGCGTTGAATGAACGTTGATTGACGGAAATAATTTGTAATGATATACAGAAATATTTATTTGGTTGTGAATTATTTGGTTATTCCTATTTGTGTTCCTTAAAATCACCGATTAACTTTGTTTCCCATCGTGTCCTGCCAAAAAAAAATAATTGAAATGTTTGTCTTGATAAGTACCACTTCAAATTGATAAAATGTTTGATCAAGCATCATGAGACCTGTTTTCATCGTGAACTATCGCAGTGCATTTCTAACGATCCCGACCAAATGTGGCGATGGCGATGTAGACAACAGCAACAAATATCACAATGAAACTGAAGGTAAACAAGCCCCAAGTAATAACGTCTTTTTCTTCTTCATCATAAGAATAGCGAGTCAGCAGAGCTAGCGCCGATTCAAGAAATGTCTTGAGCTGAGATTTTTGCGCTTTTCCTACCGAAGTGGCAGCTGTCCTTGCCCCTTCAACCGCTTGCCGGCAGCCAGTAACAAAGCCGGCTTCGCACAGAGCGATTAATTTTTCGTGATCAACCTTTCCATATGGATCGGAATCTCTTTTCTGATAGTAACTCAAAGACCTTCCATTTGAATCGAATTGTTGACTTGTTGATTGAATATCGACGAACCTGGACGGTATAGTGGTCTGGAGGCTGGCTTGATTGTGTTGGTCTTCGCGGTCATGTTGAGGATCAAGTGATTTGGCGACCGGCATCGTTGAAATAACAGCTGTGACAGAAAGCAGCAAAGAAAGGAACACACAGAGGCGCATGCTTGCGAAGCAATTGAAGGGATTGGCCGCGGCAAGGAGGAAAAGCAAATAGGCAGTTCAAATATCGCTATCCTTTTTCTTCTTCCTGGAGATCAAACAAGATTGATTAATGTAAATTTGTGCGAAGGGGCGGCAATGGAAGGGGAAATTCAATTACCTAGCGGATGTGAAAGCAGTTGGCGTGATCAGGTCGCGCGCACTTTCTGTCAGCACCGGGAGATAAGGGCGTTCTCCGAATTACGGTGACTGAGTCTCGCTGGGACTCTTGGCTCTCTGCTATCTTGGCTCTTGAGATAATCAAGTGAAATGATGACACTGTCATATGTGGATTTCCTAGAATATATTCAAGTCAACCTGCCAGGTTTTCGTCTGCTCTCATCAGTACGATCCACCCTGAATAGTGGGGGTCGTGCATGATTCAAGGTAACTTGAGCTAAGTGGGGATCGCGGATGGATGGCAAAATCGATGAGGTCAAAATTCAGACATCTCAAGTGTTTCAATTATCGTGTATCCCGTCATGGGCGTCTCGGAACAGGGTCTGACAGACCGACGCACTAGGTGTTTAAATTATGTAGTACCTAGCTAAGAGTCTGTGAAAATTCATTGGTGTACAGAATGTGAAATCTCATTAATGATACGTCAGCATCGACATACAGCCAATCAAATATAGGCGAAGGATTCGGTCTGATACGAAATAATAGACTATCGAAGCTTCCTTAAAGAGAAAATTTTGTTGCCTAAAAGACTTAATGGTGCCGGGAACATGCTATGCACGTGCGGAGGACAGCGCCGCAATTGGTGGTGGTGTTGGTTTTGGAACTTGGGCCCGAGTGGACTATGATTGGGAAGTTTTCCGGGTTCAGGTATGGTGGACCCCTGGTGCTACGCGTCCAGAGCCAAGAAAAGCTTAGCTTGCACAAGCAAATTTATACCTGGTGCGCTACCTACAGTATGAAACCCCACTGTACATGGTGGAGCAGCTCCCTTACGTTCCGAAGACATGTTAAGAGAAGACAGTAATTAACAGTACTGTGCTCGAAGTTATGCTGCCTGGCCTTGAGTTCGCGCATCATTGCATAATCTATTCTTGACAATTACGTCGTGTATCATATCAAGTTATCCATACTTTGCGGCTGAGTGGAGGGAAGCCTTAGATTCCGATGGATTAACTATCTGTGCCTCCGCTTACCCACACCGCTTTCGCTAGTAAGCGGAGGCACAGATATCTGGATTCTAACATTCTTTTAAAAATTCGACCCTCTTGGTGGATCCGATGAGTATTATGGCATCCACGGAAAGCTTGAATGTCATTATTTTCAGCATTGGTAGTTATCGGATGACTCTTGCAGGAGTCGTGCAAAGCTTGCTCTTGTGCCGTATGTATTCAGGAGAGCATCTAGCTAGTCACCCCTTGATTCAAGTTCCCTGGGGGCCGGTAACTGATTCGTCAACGGTAATTATATCCACACCTTCACGGGCGAGTATGCGCCACACATAGTTCCGCAACTTGCGAGGCCAATCTGGCGTATCCAAATATCGGACTTTCAGGCCAAGTCCATGAGCCAATTGTACCTGGTGACGAACATCGGCGAGTTGCTGGTCCGAAAATCCATTGAAATCCACATTCCCTATAGCTGTGCGGAAGTCGGCGGATGCATAGTAGCTGGTTTGGGCGTTATAGTCAGAATATTGGGGGGACCCTTGGTCGAAAAGGGGCAAGAGTTGCAAGAGTGGAGCATCGAAGAAAACATCCCTGAAGGTGCTTCTTTCCAAGATGCGATGGAACGGCACATTTCCGGTAGCAACAATTGTAATCGGACCTGGCACGACTGCTGATCCATTGAAATAGGTTAAGAAGCCGGCTTCCCGAAGAGGCTCAAGCTGTAGAATTAGTTGAGACCATACTCGCTCTGGGTCGGCGTCAACGTTCATCAGCAGCACAAGGCTTTGAGTAGGATCATGTGAAAACACCCCTGAAAGCTCAGTCTGATGCGGATATGCTCCAGAGGGTAACTTTTCCAGCTTGCTGTAGTGTTCTTGAAACGTCCGCAGCAGAGGATCAATGTAGAGGCCCCGTAGATTCATTGCTCGTGCAAGTATGTCAGGATTTGCTGCAATCAAAAGCTCATTTCCAGCAGGGAAAAGGGTCATTTCAATGCTAATGCAGCCTGAAGAGAGCGCGGATTGTAATGAGATCCAACGCCCGTTGGAGTTACGTGAATAACAAGTGATAGGAATTGTATCCTGTGTCGAATGTGCCGAGAATTCCTTCTCGAGGAGATCGAAGCTTTCAAGGGAGGCACCCCCATGCTCTCGAAAGAAAGCATCGTCAGCTTGCTGGGTCCAGTTCAGAAGCTTGAAGATGCCGCTGGGTTGACCAAAGGAATCAGTTATGCTCAGCATAAGAGTATGGGGAAGAGTAGGAAAAATTCTTACTAAACAATTAACAGTCCCCAAAAAACGCACCGTGCTGCTCGACAAGACAGTGCTCGCTTCGAAAGGCAGGATTTGCAGGATTTACCGCTGCGAAAATCAGAATCGGGCTCAGACGGATCCCTCTCAGGTCTTGTCCCGGGCGGCAGAAGCTCCTCCCAAAACTCGGAATCGCATCCCTGCGAAGGCATACTGGTTCCGTAATCAAATGAAAGGTCAAGAGCTTGATAATAAAATTTTTAGAAAGCATGCCTTGTCTAGGATACTCCAGAGTACAGTCCGGGGCTCCTTGAAAATGATTAATCAGCATGGGACGCCAGATCTCCAAGAAAGGGCTCTCTAACTTACGAGTATACTCCATATCCGGAAATATGTCTGCCTGGAACCGCAAACAAGGGCGGTAGGGAGATCGTAATAGTGTCCAATGACTGCCCTCCAATAGCGATTGTGACGCAAGCTAAAACGTGGTCTGTGCGGCGATCAGAAAAGTGTCCGAGTGGAGCCAAGGCCTGCTAAGCTCGTTTTCCGGAAAGCTTGACCAGCGCGACCAATCCGATGCTGCCAGAGACATTCTTTCCCTTATACTGCCCAAGTCCAAGCGCGAAACCGGGAAAGAATAGCCCGAAATCTGGCAATGTAGTTAGTATCAGACAGATATTTTCACATTGATTTAATTAGCTGGTTGCCGATTTTAGCGTGTCATTGACTGGAAACCATGGTGGATCTGATGTACCCAAAAATTTTTATACCAGCAGGAAGGTTGTCACCGAATGCGTACAGTGCTTCCCAGGAAGTTTCCGTACATTCCAGCCCCACCCACACCTCATTATATAATCTTTCTGCCAGCAGAATCTTGATTTTTTAGTATGTGTATTCTATCCTTGCGTGTTGATGGAGATAGTTCTTTACTTGCGTGTGAGATGCATTTTATAGGATAGCGATAGGGGGTCAAGGGATATTCTATTATCAACCCCAGTTGATCTATGTTCTGTTTCTTTTGAAGTTAATATTTGTTTATTTCGATATTGGCCAGGCATGAATGGTAAATTTAGTAGGGGTAAGAAACGCCAAAAGGACAGTAGGAAAAACATGTATCGAGCGCATCTCTTACATAGAGGAACGCCAAGTCTGCCGTAATACTGTGATGGATCCTTACGGTAAGCCGGCCCAGAATTGCCGCTTTTAAAGAATGCAGCCCCTGAGAGTAGACACCACTCTCAATGCTTTATCAGTGCAGTCAAGCTGCATTTCCCAATACTGTTTCCTCAACACGTTTAAGATTCCTAGCCTCTCACAGCACCAAGGATTTCCTTTTCGCCGCTTTCGTCAAATATACTTAGCGCCAGCCGCCTATGGTGCTTCACTGGACCTCCCGCTGCCTGCCCGGGTTCAGCATCGTCGGTTTAGCATTTTTGCTGCTTCTTACATTTACTGGAATTTCCAGCTCATCATGGTGGAAGATCATGTTTCGTCGGCCGTCTACGTCTGGGGCCTCGCAGGACAAGCCAAGAGATTCGCTTAGCCTGGTTCAACAAGCTTTTGTCATTTACACAATGCTTGTTCACCTCAATATGTTGGGCTTCACTCTTCGCCTTGGCTGCTCCCTATTTTGGATAACCAAGAAGACCCAGCAAACGATCAAACACCGGCTTGCTTTAGCACTGAAGGCTTCAAACCATCAGCATGGCGGAAACCAGACACAGTTGAATCTCAGTAAACCTCTCGAAGAAAAAGAATCCGAAAACAGCAGTCACAAGCTCATACATGCCATCATTCTTCCCAATTTTGGCGAAGATGTTGACGTTCTTCGAGCTACACTTAAGGTCCTGGCGAGCCATCCCAGAGCCCAGTCACAATATGAGGTTACTCTTTCTCTATCCCAGACCGTTACGAGGAGTCCTGACAATAGCTAGGTCTATCTGGCAATGGAACAGAAGGAAAGTAGCTCGCCTGAAAAAGCACAGAAATTGGTCTATGCATTCGAAAATTCATTCCACGGATTTCGGTCAACATTTCATCCAGCTGGGATCCCAGGTGAGATAGCCGGCAAGAGCTCCAATGTTGCTTTCGCGGCACGTCATATTATCGATTTTCATCGCTCGGCCTTGCGTGAAACCCATTGTAATGTTATCATCACGGTGATGGACGGTATGTCGCGATTCCCAACCCTTGAGCGATAAATCGGCTGATTCGAGTTCGCAGCCGACACCCATTTGTCGCAAGACTACTTCACCGAGATCCAGCGGCTTCATTATTTACACCTCAATGAAGCAAATCGCTCACTCTACTGCTGTCCGATTTTATTCGATCGTAACTCTCATGAGACGCCCATTTTTGTTCGATGTGCCGATCTGCTCTGGGGCTTTGCTGGTATTTCCACCATGTACCCGGGCTCGAGTATGGCAATCCCGACATCTGTGTATTCCTTGCCGCTTTCTCTGGTAGAATAGGTCGGCGGGTGGGACAGCGATCCAACTGCTATTGGTGAGGACATGCATATGCTGCTCAAATGTTATTTCGAAACAGCAGGAGACCTAGTTTGTCGCGTGATTTACATTCCAGCTAGTCAGTGCAACGTGTCAAGTAACACCAAACGAGGCTGGCGGCGAGTGCTAGATATTTCCATGGCACGTTATCGGCAGGCCTTGAGACACATGTGGGGAGCACTTGATTCAGGATTCGCAGTGCGACAGACCGTACGCAATTTTCGCTTCAATCGCCGATGTCTGTTATTGCGACCTCGATTTTTTGCCTTGCTCCATCTTCTGTGGGAGGCTCACTTCCTTCCCTGTCATCTCACTATATTGATGATATTTTCTGTTCTTTACACTTTGAGGACACCGGCAATGGAGTTGCATCCATCCCTGAACTGGGTTTTTTCCATCACCAATTTACTGCGCACACTGTCATTCATGGGCATGAACATCTGCCTAGTCCTCTACGATCGCTGGCATTCCATATGTCTCGATGCCCGTATGCAGGATATGCGTGACGCACAAATCCCCGGTACTGGCTACTCTCAGCGCATCTGGTTTCATCCCCAGTATATCCTGGAACGACTGTGCTTTCCGGTTGCGGGTACTCTATTCGGCGCTATCCCGACCCTGCATGCGGTTTTCTCGCACTTTTGGACTGACCGGCTGTTGTATCGGGTAAGCAAGAAGCCCATATTCAATGATGAGGCATTTATTACTGTCTAATTCAAATATTTGCTCGCTTCGCTCGGTTGAGAGCCAGATAAATTTCTTCCAAAGCAATATTGTGCGCGTGGAAGCTTTCAATTTTCATCTTCTGAGACTTGGCTAAAATATGGTCTAGTCTACGATGTAGCTCGGATGCGTTTGTAACTTTGCTGAGGATCTGCAAACAAAGATTAGAAACAGGTATCCATTGACTTTAGTTATTGCGATCAAGGAGCCTGGATAAATTGTAGATATACCGGAAAATCCCCAAAGGAGATCCGCACATCGAACCAGGGTCGGTGTTTCGTCAGAGTTGCGGTCGAAAATGATCGGACAGCAATTGAGCGACCGGTCAGCGTCAGCGAAATATAAATCATGAAGTCGCTGGATCTCAGTGAAGCCAAATAAATCTGACCACGGCAAATGATTCCTCAGTTCATCAAGTGGTATTTAAAAGACAGGACTAACCTCATAACGGGAGTTTTGCATTCGGATGGCTTTCTAGGACCCTCAGAGTTGTCCGTAGGGTGTCTTCATCTTCGTAGTAGTTAGGAAGAATGATGGCGTGAATGATCTCCTTGCCCCTTGTTTCCAATTTGATTTCACCCTTGATCTTTTTGCTGTACTTGTCCATGGAAGCGTGGACATAGCTCCAGGCATTCGACTCTCAGAGACATTCTCGACCACAATTGCATGGTAATGAGGTGATCTTTGGACAGGAATGTCTCTAATTGCCGAGTTTTCTCGGTAACCCAGACTAGCGCCCAAGTCAGACGGAGGGTGAATGAAACATGTTATTATGAATCAACACAGTATCAATGATGAAGGCTTTCTGTGCCACATTCAAGGGAACTTATACTTTGTCTTTGGGTCTTCCAACCTGGGAGGACAAAATGTTCTCCCATAACTTCGGGCTCGAATTGTCGGAAAAGGCAAGGAATAGAAGCAAAATCAAAGTCATAACACTGAATCCAGGAAGACAGCGCGTGCTCCACTGTAACAACTCGACAATAAATATTCGAAATTCACCAGAATGACGCACAGTTGACAAAACATATTTTGGAGAAAAGGGTTAGCCCTTTGGTTTCAGTGAATAAATCAGTAGCAGAGGGCGACCGATGCAGCTGCAGATAGAAATGCCGCTTTTTGCCGTCAATCCGTTCACTGTAATGTTTCCGCTTTCGGCGGGTGGGTCAGGTAGGAGATTGGCATTTCAGCAACCAAAAGAAAAACTCGAGTCGTAAGTTACTGTAGTGCTAAACATCCCCTATTGAGCCTGTTTTTGAGATTCATAACACCTGTCAAGATTGAAATTATCGGGGTGGAATGATGACGACGGAAAGATGACGATATGACACGGATCATATGGAAATGGTATTTTGTTGCCTGAACAGTTTGTGCCTAGCGCAATCTTCATCCGGTTGCGGGCAAGTTAAAACACAGTAGCGTTACCAAGAAAGGTGGAGAATACGACCCGCATAACTGGAATTGGAAACAACAACGTCATAGAATTCCAAATTGGGATCATCTATCCAGAGCTAGGAAAAGCTTGCGTTGAAAAAACGATCGAGGTTAGAATTTATCCGGTCATTTCATCGACTTGCAACACAGTAATAGTATGACGCGCAACAACAATTTCGTCCGCCCAGCTTCTCCAACCCTGCGAAGCGGACACGGACCCAATCCCGTTGATAATTGGTGCGATGCCACCATGGCCCGCCCCGGCAGTATACCCCTGATCCGATGCGCAATCATAAGAAAATTATCGAGACTCAGTTGTGCGATAGGTTGATTTCCTCCGAGACCCCTGCAGATTTTTAAGACGAGTCGAACCGCCATCTCTACTATGAGGAGATGATCTCCAACGGTTCCTCCGCTGATTTTTTCCCAGGCAGCGACGCAAAAACGTCCATAGCGACGAGAGAAACCTTGTCCCTTCCTTACTTTCGTCATCTATTCTGGACTCTCCAGGTCGCGGTCCCTGTCAATTTCGTCCAACATGGCTGTGATGATCCCCCGCCTATAGTCCGGGTGTCCGGCTCGCAGTCCTTCTCTGCATCGGAATACCGGCGCAAAGGAATGCGAAGGGAAGGTTACGGTGGCCACGAAAAAAATACCAACGAAAACATGTAGTGAAAAGTGCTAAAAATTAAGGCAAAGCCCTCCAAATCGCCATTCCTACATCACGCACACAGCCTCACCCTTTGCGCCTCAAGACAAGCTAAGGATCGACGGGCCTCTCTTCCTTCCCTAGCCTCGCTGACCCTAAATTTCCGTTTCTCCTATTTTCAGCGCTGACGCAAAAGGATGGTATAATAGGTATTAAATGAGTAATTTGGGTTACCGTTATCACGGACGCATCCAGCTCTCATGTGTATTCGTGATAAAATGACGCTCCAGGAGTAGGGGCTGCATTTTCTGAAGACTTCACTCTCCAAAGCCGACGGAGTCCCACCGTGGACTTCGCTTGTCTTCTCCAATCCAATCTTTGATTACGCAAGGGGCACTGTCTGGACCCTGGCACACCTTGCGCCGGTTGAGATGCTTGAACCGAGGTCCGAGGGGTCCATTTACATAGTGGTATTGACCGGCGAATCGGTACTGTCGCGAGTCACTCAGCTGATAGAACTTGTCGCCCCAATGGCCGCGGAAGTGGAACCACTCTGTAGGCGAGGCGGGGTTGAATGTGGATGCGCGCAGGGCGTCGTTGTCAAAGTCATATGTATATGCATGGGAGTTGAGCAAGGGATCCCACAGTGGGCCCCGATCCGTCACATCATGCAGAAGTCCCCATGGCAGGATGTACTCATGCACTCCGGCAGTGGCATACATTGCATGACTTCCCTTGGCAGAGTAGATTACCGGCTTGGACAAGTTAGTGATTGGGATTTTAGTTGGGTGGGCTCTTGACTCACCCGTTGTCCGATCTTTTCGATGGCTTCATATCGATAAGCTTCACCAGCTGTGTGGGCACTGAAGAAGAGGGCCTTTGGCTGACCGTCATAGAATCGCACGAGGCAATGCTCCCAATTCCCGATATGGTTGCCAAACCGCATATTGATGACGGCGTTGCCTTGATTGAATCCGTAAAGAAGAACCAAAAAGCATCCACCAACCCATTACCCTTATCCATCAGGAGCAAGATCGCAGGTGCGTCGCTGCGAGCCCCCGCTTGGTTGGTGGGCGTATCTTGGAGAGGGTCTTGAATCTCCTTACCGCCGTAGCCTTTGCGCAGCTCTTGTTTCAGCAGTCGGTGTGATTGAGATGAATCCTTATTTTTATCCTCGCCTTTCTGGTTTCTCAGACCAAACCACTTGGCACAATCCAGTTCGGTATCACCCGGGATCTTTCCATCCAATCGACCGTCCCAATCGGCCCATGATTCTTTCGTCTCCTCGTCGGATTCCGGGATATTCTTCTCATCCTCCAGCCAAGGGGGCTGGGACTGAACGTCGTCGACAGTAGTCAAGAATACATGGCGCCCCCCTTCCCATTGGTTAAGGTCATCAAGGTTCTTCAGTGTCGGATGATCCCATTGGGTCTGGACCGGAGTGTAATTGAGCATAGGATTGGTATGGTTGAGATGCTCTGCGATGTCGCCGGGCCAAAACTGCTCTCCAGAATAAAGATGAACGAGTGGGGCATAGTCAAAAACATAGCCGGGGATCTCCCGCCTAGCCCACTCCTCGGCATCCCACTTGGACCGATTACTAACCCCACTGAACCAGAACGACCGCCACGGCTCCGACTCGGTATCGTTTGACCCTGAAAGGCTTGACGAGCTGTGGTGTCCAAACTGTGCGTCAGCCGTTTGGAAATGCGCTGCGCCGCAGACACCAAGCCAGCGGCAGCTCTTGCGGTCGAGCCAGAACCGCGAGCTCGCGATCCAGCTCCGCTCTTCTTTGTCTTCCTCATACCAGAGAAAGGCGGTTGGTTTGAGAATGCGTGAGAGGCTGTTGATGCATAAGTATAGGATTAGAGTCGAGAGGACAACAATGGTAGCCTTGGCCTTGCGAGTCATCCACTGAAGCGAGTCGGCATGGACTGTCAGCGATGGCCACTGAGAGTCGTGATGCTCATGAACTTAAAGACAAGTTTCCAAAAACCCCTCGAGGCCGGAAGGACAATGCAATGGGCCGTAGTTGGCAAGGCTGGGGTTGGTTATTTCTGAGGATTTATAGTGGGACGAAAACCATTGAGTGAAACAAGCAGGGCATAGTACGGATGATAGCATATAGTTGGTACCGAGATTTCCGTTTCCAGAAAACTTCCCAGTAAAAAAAGTTTAAAAAAAAGACGGTTCTCGAGCAAGTCAGCGCGAATGGGTTACTGCGGTCGAAGCAATCTGCGCAGACGGCTTTTCGCTACCGCCCTGTATCATCTTTAAGGGCAAGGTTGCCATTGCGGGTTGGTTCGATAACCTACCAAAAGATTGGCGGTTTGAGGTCTCGAATAACGGCTGGACTACCGATGAGATTGGCCTCCGCTGGCTACAAAAGCACTTTATCCCACACACGAATTCGCGCGTACGGGGCTCCAGCTGACCGGATTGGACAACGTCTCTCATCTCGTGATCTGCTTTCAACTTTTCGTGGCTGCCTCTTGTCTAGCCAAGGTCGCTGCTACTATAGTCGGTGCTTTCCGGTATCCCTCAGCGTGGTTCGTAGTCATCTTTCTAGTCTGTTCTGATTACCTGGCCATGTCTTGTTTCTACTGGTGGCTACGAGAGCGTACCATGCATGGATATCGGACTCGAGCCCAAGTAAACTTTATTGCATATATACTTTCAGTTTTGTCTGTTCTTCTCCTGCTCGTCGCCATCATCGGAACCGTTTTGGATCGCTGGTTATTATCGCTGGAGGTAAGTCATACGGAACTGGGTTACAACGCGAAAGACGTGCTCTAACTCAAACAGCTCCAGGTTTCACTCATTTTGGTCTCCTCGCTTTTCTTGCTGCTTCTGGGCGGAGCGAGTGATTATAGGGCTACGGGTGCGCCTTCAGTGTCCCCAGCGAGTGCATGAAAATAGGTGGTCGTGATTCAGATACGACAACACGACAACATGCAATCAACGTTTGAAGCAAGGTCTTGGTAATCGCATTGCGGCGCTTATGGCACTTGAGAGAGGCCCAGCAGATAAGAGTACACGCTATCCCGTTGACGTGTATCCTTTGGAGCGCAGCTTGGGTGTCTTTTGGAATCTTCGATGGTCATTATAAATCAGGGTGCACTGTCATGGATTATTGGGTTTATTCCTTGCCATTCTACGATTGCGATATCTGTCAGATTTCAAGGGCAACATACGATCGACAAATGCTAAGGCCTGCTCCATATTCCATAGCTGACATCATCTCCATTGCTGCGGGGTGACTAGAGTTATCTTCTTCCTTCCCCGTATTGCTGTGATAGCCTTCTATTCGTTATTCCCCTCTTGTCCGTCCTGGGGCAAGACGGTGGGTTCCCCAACGGATGTGCTGTTCCACTGCTTTAGGACACCAAGGAGATCCTGCCTCACTTTCAGGAGATCTTGCTCAACAGCATAGAAATGGGACGTCTGGTCCTCATGGGTGAGCTTGAGGTGGTCACCCTCGAAGTGTAACTGCGAATTCCTGGCTCGCAGCTGTTGGTTCCCCGCTTCAAGACGCTGGCTATCGATATGCTTGGAGACACATGACTCCCACAAACGCCGTAAAAGACTCACCAGACGAGCACCCTGAGCTGCAGCTTTGGGATCATCCTGCTCCAGTCGCGTCAAGGTCTCAATGACTGGCCGGAACGGCTCGACTGCCAGGATTCGCTTTTCCTCTTCTGACTCCGCGTCGCGCACATCAGACTGCTGAGGTGATTAGCGGAATTATCTTTAAGTCAACAGAAGCTCTTACTGTCGAGGCCTGCGAGATTTCAATAGCTGGAAAGCTGTGTGGGCCAGTCTCCGGCTCGCCCATAGTTGGCGGGCCGGACCGCATCTCTTCTCCGTGCTCACTTATATCACCCGACGGCTGCGTGAAAGCTTCCATGACGAAACCACTGCTGTGAGGTAGAGAGAGGTAGGTCGCAGCTTTCTTTTGTAGTCATAATATCCTCCGTCTTTTGATTCGACGCGAAAGCCGTCCATTGTCGTGCGCAAATAGAATGACTACATGGTAGTCAAACCGTTGAAGGGCCTCTGACCTTGCCCGTTCTGACTCGATAAACAACCTCATAAATTTGACTCTGGTCTATTTGTGAATGACATGTCGTAAAGAAAAGTGCTGTATTCTGCATGATAGACTTGCTCATACCTCGGACTCGCCATCATGTCAAGCACAAAGGAGATCAAACGTTGGGCTCTAACGACATCTATATATATCATGACCGACCACGGCCGTTCTCGATCGAGTCTCCTATACACAATGCATCTGGAAAGAGCCGTACGGCGGACATTGGGGGTTCTCATCTGGTGCGTGCCGTTGGCTTGCTTGGCCGAGCAGCGTGGCAATATTGTCTTGTACAACAATTGCCGCTTTCCTCTATACGTCGAAGGAGTGGCAGGTGTCACATATCTGGACACGGAGCTGAAACCGACAGAGAGCCTTTCCCACCCATTCCGCCTTACAGTTGATGGTGTCGGCAGCTCTCTCAAAGTCTCCACGCGGTGGAGAAGCCCCCAGATCACGCAGATCGAGTACAGTGCATGTTTTGGAAACGAAAGCAGCACGGACTGCCGTCCTCTGAATAAGATCTACTATGACCTCTCCAAGATCAATGACCCATCTAATACAGAGTATGGGGTCCGCATTGAGCCTAGCTATGCTGAGTGCGCGACGATCAACTGTCCCGCGAATGTGTACCGATGTGATTCCACCTACTACCAGCCTAACGACAATTACGCAACCAAGGCTTGTGACGTTGGTACAGACCTGAAAGTTGTTTTTTGTCCGTACGTGGCTCTCAAAAGACTTCGTGCAGGTACTAGTTGACGGTCGCTTGCCGCGCAATCAAGACCATTGATTTCAGCCCATTTTGAAAGTTCGAACCAAGTCTCACTCTGGATACCATCATTAAGCGGACCATAACTTCAGTGCTCAATTTCAGTTCGAAGAAAGAAATCAAGAAAGGTCCTGCTTGGAGAATGATGTTGAAACGACGAATAACGCGAATACTGTAAGTGCAGAGCGATGAAAGTAATGCAATTATGGTGTAGAGCGATTTAGGATTAGGAATTGCGGGAACTCTGAGCTGGCTAGGTACATAAGGAGCTTTAAGTAACATTCACGCAGCTAAGCATGATTAAAGGTGTACAAAGATATACCACTACTCGAGGCTCTCACGGCCAACTAGTCGGTCCTGGGAACGCTGTCGTGGCATCGAGGAGCGTCGCATTTTCCGGGAGTTCCTGCTTGACTTCTGGAAATTGTTGCTCCGTTCTATGAAGAGTAAATGCGTTCATTGGGAAAAACCATAGCTAGTGTGATAGTTCTGAGCTTCCACATCTTGCACAGAACAATGTTTTCAAACTGAATTAAGCGAAATAAAGAGTCCCAAATGGTATGGCCAAACATACGCCATAATTTTACAGACTGAATTGAACCTCATTTCCACTTGACGTTCAATCTGTCGCTCGATCGCCTTGCCCGGTCGGCACAGACTTGGTGTGGCCTGATCACCGAAAAGAATGGCAGGCAATGCGAAGTAGAGAGATTAGAACGACAGGGCGTTGAAGCTAGTCTCTCCCATCCAGCCGTTGATCTCCGAGGCCACAATCCCGTGACCAAACTCCCAGGAACCGACATAAGGATGCCAGGAGATTAGGACTCGCACATATTCCCACGGTAAAAAGGAAATATAAAATGTCCTATGCCCACCAGAGTACTGCAATTCATCTTTCTCCTGCTTCGTTCCAGACTCTACACTACAGGCCTTCACTCTGCCTGAAAAGTCACACGATCTTCATCTCTGTTGTACTTGAAGAAAGCGCACTGAGTCATAATGACATCTTCGTTGACATTCAAACGTAAGAGGTCACCCGAGTGGTCTACCGAGGCCATAACAAAGCGTTTCTGTGATCGTGCATCTCCGGTCAGCTCGATCGGAGGAATTCCCGAAGACGACATCTCGCAAGTCCTCTCGTATGAAGAATTCCAACACCTCGACCTTTCAGCTCAGAAAGAATACTTCGATGAAATATGCAAAGCTTTTCACGACCAAGAATGTTTCAGCAAATCGTGTCCTCGCATTGATATGATGATTCTTCAGCATTACGATAAAGACAGTCGATTGAGCAAGGAGGAGAAGGAAGACGCCTATGCTCTACAAGAGGACCTGAAAGAAAAATGGAGATTGTCATAGTCTCATTTTCGAGAGGAAAAGCTGAACCAGCTGCCAAAAACCCCTCTAGCCCATACGGGTATGCCCTTAACGATTTCTTCTTGTTGTTGTCATCATATCCTTTCCCCAAAAGCAATAACCCATCCCTCTGTGACACCGGACCCCCCACGAGTCCATTCTCGATGTAGTTTCGTGAACCTCTTCCCTGAGTAGCGATTTACCGAGAGTACTTCTCATATTAACGCCCGAAGTAGCTGACTGCCTCGCTGGCGGCAACACCAGATAGCAGACGAAAGACTGACGAATCGACATGCGATCGAACCGGTAGGGCAGGTGAGTTATTGTGAATAAAACCCGGTGAATATAGGTTGAAAATGGGTAGGCAGGTCGGTTGTTCGAAGGCTCGTCGACGTTGCGATGTTGTCGACGTGTTCTTTTGAAAGCTTCCCACCGCGTCGTCACAACCAATAAAGGGGTTTCCGCCGGAGTTTCGACTTGCAAAGTTCTCAGCTTCGGTCAGACCTTGCAGTCTAACTTACTGAAGTCCCTCGCCACGAGAAGGTGACTTTCCACGAGGGACCAGATTGTTACAGTCGGTTGGTTGGTTGGTTGGTTGGTTGGTTGGTTGATGTCATTTACCCTGACCCCTCGCTCGAGAGCAATATGCAGGACACAGCAACTATATACGCGTGTACATACATGTAGAGTGTTCCACTTCCTGAAAACGAACTTAGAGCCTCGTCAAGGCCTGCCGTGGCCCAATGCCGCTCCCATCATTAGGCTGCCCTCGTGGCGCGCGACTCCAAAACCGTTGTGACGCCTCGGCGAAGTCTAGCACGGCCTTGACCGTCCTAGCCCGTGAGACGATGTCTGGATTACCTTTCTTACCTTCGGTTGAGCCTCCCAGCAGACTCGAGACGCTGCTAAACGCGTCCCCCACTTCGCTCCGTAACTCCCTTTGAATATTTCGCAACTCTGGACAGTCCACCAGCACGTGAGTGACTGTTTCTTGTGCGCCGCACACGCACTGGTCGTCATCGCGGAAGCCAAAGCTCTTGGCGTAGGTGGATAACCAATTGTGGCCTGTGCGTAGCTGCGTTAACAGATACGCCCGGTTCCTGGGCAGGCTCCCATATAGCCTCCTTGTATAGGTTGCCGGTAGGGTGCCGTCGATCTTCCGTAGGTGGCCGCCTTTGCTGGACGATCTTCATTCCTGCTCCCACTGATTGAGGATGTTGACGCGCAGGCGTGCACTTTCCCTCGAGAGTAGCGGGCGGAATGGGTGGGTTGTGCCTGGGCACGCGACGTCCTTGGCTAGTCGATCCGCAGCGTCGTTTCCAGAATTGTTGCAATACCCTGGCACCCATTGGAGACGGAGCGCGATTCCCTCGGCTTGAACCTCTGTGGCAGCTTGTAGGACCGCGTGTACGATCCTCTGGCCCGATTTGTTCCTCGGATTCTGAGTTGCCTGTAGGGCTGATCTACTGTCGCACAGGATCGTTGCTGTTTTTTGTCTACTGACCAGGCTTGACCGCTGATAGGCGATCTTGAACACCATGCTGATGGCGTAGAAAATGCCAATGAGCTCTGCCACGTGAACCGACCATCGGTCCATTGGTCCCACCTGAACTTGTTGTGATTCGACAACCTGCAGGTTATCGTCGAGTGCCACCACGGCCGCTCCCAGGTGACCCTCGCGTCCAGAGGCATCTGAGTAGACAACAATGTCCGACATGGATCGTGCGGTATCGGCTCGCTCGATGGCCGATTCTCGGTCTGATCCAACCTCAATCTCCGTAAAGGGTTCGGCTCGCCACGGTGGCAGCGGACTTGGGTCAATCGTTTCTAGTTCATCCAATTTTGGTAAGTCCATGGTTTTTAGGGCTTCTGCGAGTGGGAATTTTAGCGTAATTTCCGATGTTATTCCTCCGTCTCTGGGCCCGGCCAGATTGTTACAAACAAACAAACAATTCATTAACGCCCGGCGGCTGAGCCGAAAGGGCAACTATCACTGATCTACTGTACATGTCCATCTGTATATGCTGTGTCTCCTGCAAGCCCATACATAAAGCCTTATAACATATGACACTTCCAGAAAGCTGTGTCGCAGCGAGTTTCTCGTGGGTTAGTAAGTGGGTTAGTAGGCTGGCTTGAAGGCGCTTCTTCAAGTGTTCAACATCCTATCTTCGGCAGTTGAAGCGCGTCTACCATCTGCCGCACGAGGTGGTGGGTGAGTAGGGTCGGAAGAAGGGGGTTGGGGGTTATGTTGGTCGATATGTTCAAGTGGCCTCGAGTCGGCCCGTCGCAATGGCGAAACGTATGGAGGCCCGTACTGCCTCTAGGTTTGGCGTCCACTTCTGATCATCAGACGCCTGTTTTCCGCCCAGGAAGAAGGATATGTTTCCTCGGTGAGTCTGCGTGCATTGTAACATTTCCGTCCGGTGCGCCGTCCACTTCCGACATCGGAAGAGGAAGTGCTCCACGGTCTCTCTTGCTTGTCCGCAGTCGCATTCATCCGTCTCTGCTACATTAATTTGATTGAGATACCCATTGAGTCTAGCCATGCCGGTTCGGAGTTGGGCCAGTACGTTCGCTTCTTTCCACGTGAGGCGATCATACAACTGCCGAGTGTGTTTTCCTGGGAGTGCGGAATCCACTCGTTTTGCGTGTCTTCCTATGTTCTCTAATAGCTCACTGCTGGGGACTGCTTGGGAGCGTGCGATATTCAATGTCGTTGACTTCATCCTCGAGACGTGTTCTTGTGGGAGAGCATCTTCTTGTGTTGCAGTTCTGGCCTGTTCTTTAGCCAGACCTAAAAGCTTGTTGTCTTCGGTAGTAGGGATCCAGTGGAATTTGATGCGGTTTCCATTCGTCCGCAATCTTCTCATCAACTTGTACGTCTGACAAACAAACTTCTGGCCAGACTGTCGTCGGGGGTTCCTTAGCGTGAGCGCCGCCGCCTTGTTGCTTGTGAGCAACGTAGTCCTGTAGTCCTTGATTCCCACTACCATTTTCAACACATGTGCCATGGCTGCCAGCTCCGCAGAGAACGGGTTTTGCTCTGCTCTCGCGCCCAATGTGATGGAAAACGTTTTGAGCTTCAATTTTCGATTTCGAGGTGGCTGTTTCTCGATTGCGACTCCGAATCCCACCAGCTTGTTCCGTGCCGAGCTGCTGACCGCGATCTGCATCAATCCGCCCGCTTCAGTCTGAGGTTCAAGTTGTCCGTCAATATTGGCCTGTACGCGTTCGTCCCATGGGGCCAACGTGAACGGGTTAATTGTTTCCAGTGTCTCCATGTCGATGTGCTTAAGCGAATCTGCCACTTGGTACAGCGGCGAGCGATGATATCGTCTGAACTTTCTGATCCGGTCTGTACCTCTGCGGAGCGGGTTTGTTTCAGGAAGGGTATGCATGTCCGTCCACATCTTCACGGCCCGTCTCCAGAATCGGCTCCGCGTGGTGGCAATATGGGCCTCCGCCTCCGCTACGCTGGTCGCGACGGTGAGGAATGTCCCCACAATGGCTTGTGCTCCAACTCTTTGGCCAAGAGACATAGAGTAGCTTCGGCAGGTCTACTTGCATAGACCACTACCCCAGTTTTTCACCCAATAAACGAGGTTTCTGGACTCTTGAGGTGGACAAAGCCTCTCACCCTGGGTGTCTCTCAGTTTGCTCCTTAAGCATACATCACGGGCAAATCACCTAGGACGACACCGCTTCAACCAGGCGAACCTGATCTCAGGCCCTCAGTGCGAGTGAGGTAGTTGATTCCCGGCTGTTTGTACACCGACACGCGCATCCGTCCTCTCGGGCCATACAGACAGTCTCTTGACAGGCCCCGACCCTGTCGCAGTGGCTGCCATTGTACACCACGCCCCGCGAGAGCTTGAACTCTCGTTTCGCGTTACCTGGGGAGGTCTCCCCCCGCCAAGCCGACCGTGTCTTGCAGAAAGCCCTCGTATACGCTCCGTCCGGCAGTGTACGTCGGCCACTTTCCACTAACCAAGCTTGTTCCCCGATGCCTGAGCAGGATCGATGGTTTGCCCGTGGCAACGCCTTAACGAGGTCCATCGTTTGCCACCAGCCAAATACCAATTCCTTCCAGAATGCCCGTGTATCTCCCAGGAGGATGCCCGTGTCTCGGTGGTGTCCGTGTCAAGAAGAGGAGCCGCATCAAAGGTTGCCCGTGGCTAGGCCTTAACGAGGTCTTCCGAGGCGGCATCTTCGAGCCTTAACGAGTTCGAGTCTTAACGAGGTCTCCTGGGCCTTGAACGAGGTCTGTCCGATATTAGCTTGACTGCCTGTGTCATCGGTTCACTACCGCCTCGTCGCATCTCGCGCGATGCGATCCCAGACCGTATGCAAGCTCAGGGGTGTCCTGTCTTCTTTCTAGGGCGACACCACTTTCACTGGTAATGCAAGACCAGCTTTTGGGCCCGAGTGCGAGTCGGGTAAAAAGAAGTCGGATGGTTTTCGTATCCCGTTGTCCCCTGATTTTGGTGTGGTTGTGCGGTCGCTTCCCGCGGGCCGGACCGCACAACCACGGCGGATTCAATTTGGTCTCCTCAACGAGGATTAACACCGGACACCACGAGAAGGTATGAATCCATTGTCCCAACAGCCTGGCTAGGACTGCTGCCCAGTGCGAGCTCACTGAGGGCCCAGATTGTTACAGTCTTTCTCGAAATCGCCTTCACCAATACACACTTGTTGATTTTTTTTTCCGGGCCCCACTGCCAAGGCCTTAGCGCAGGTCAATTATTCGACGGCCCGTATCAGATTGAGGAATGCATTGAAATGCATCGGTATTGTGCGGTATATTTCAACGTATTACTACACCATGTGGCCAAAGCGAAGCGGCTACGAAAGCAATGGGAGGAAGTGTACGGCGAAGAGCTATAATCGAAAACTACCAAGGAGAGTAAGGCATCAATCGAAGCAGCGAGGGTGGCGCAAGAAAGAAAAAGAGTTTCTTTGCTTCGGTGCAAAGCCAATGCGTTGATAAATCTTGTAGTTAGTGTGAACGTGATCGAAATTGGCAAACGTGGTGTGGTGCACCCACATCGGGAAGCGACGTAGGTGGGCCGAAGCACACAGATAGTGGGTCTCTACGAATCATGGACTACTGGTGACATATCGCTTGAGAGCAAATAATCTATTTGAACTTCTTGCCAAAGAGGATGAGCTGTACCTGGTCGTAGATGGAGAGGACACCAGCACTGGCGACACCCCGGAGGATATTAGCACCAGCACCCTTGAACAGGGACTTGACACCCTCTGCGGCGACGATTTGGTAGGCAGCATCCATGGAGGACTTGTACTTGACGGCCTCACCAGAAGCCATCATCATACGACGACGGATTGTGTCTAGAGGGTAGGAGGCAACACCGGCAGCCGTTGTGACGATCCAGCCGAGCAGGAAGGAAGCAAGGAAGTTACCCTCGAGGGCACCAACCAGGAGAACGGGCTTAAGGGAGTCGTACATGCCGAAGTACAAACCACGGTATACAATGATACCGAACACGGAAGGACCGAAACCACGGTAAAGACCGACAATACCGTCGGTGGCAATGGTCTTGCGGTAGACGTCCACGAGACCATTGAACTGGCGCTCACCGGCACCCTTGGCAGATTTGGCGTCGTTGGCAAGACGGGTACGGGCGTAATCCAGGGAGTAGACGAAGAGGAGTGAAGTGGCACCGGCGGCGCCACCGGATGCCAGGTTACCCATCATCCACTTGGTGTAGCCATCACGCTCCTTCTTGTAGGCGAACATGGACTTGTATGTGTCACGGAAAGCGAAGTTCAGAGCCTGGGTAGGGAAGTAACGGATGACGTTGGCAGTGTTACCACGCCACAGGGAGACGACACCTTCAGCGGCGACAGTACGCTTGAAGCAATCACCGATGCCGTTGTACTTGCGGTCGAGACGACCGGCCTTGAGCATCTCGTCCTATTCGAGGGAAAAGTGGGGTCAGGCTTCGGTCCAAGTCCGAAAAAATCAACAAACAATTGGCCAACCGTAACAGATGTCTGATCCGAGTTCATAATTGCAAGTCTCCCGAAATGCTCTGTGCCGTAAGTTGATGAAAGGTAGATGACCAACCTGGTTCTGGATCATGAGCTTGATACGCTCAATAGGGGCAGCAACGGTCTTGGAGATAGCGGCAGAAACACCACCCACTGTGAATCCATCAATATTCGTTGAAAGGATATGGGCTGATGGCTCCAGCAAAGAACTGGATACTATAGTTGAGATAGGGCACGTACTCAGAAAGTCGACGGCGAAGCCCTATGAAGATATATATTAGTACGGTTGGTTCAGCCAATTGATTATCAAACTCAAGCTCGCCAATCTTTCTGCGCTGGCAACGGCTCTTGAGTGTTTCGAGATAGACAGGAATCTGTCCGAGATGCATCCAGGCCTATTTCCACACAGAGTCGAAATGGCCAGCTTAGCAAGGGTAGGAACTTACGGGCATGCCGAAGACGGACTTGTCGCCCTGTTTAATGTCGCCCTTAGACATGAAGAAGGTTGTACAAGAGAAAAATGTAACCAAAAAGAAAATAAAACCAAAGAAATAAGAGATGGAGAAATATCAAGAACACTGGGGATGAGAAAAAAATGAAGACAGACGGGGCGGAAGGGGAGAAAAAACTCCCCTACGCAATGGAAGCGAACGCACCCCATCGGGCAGCCTAGGGGCTATATTCACTGATGTAATAGCGTTACATCCTGGCCTTACCGATATTTCCCAAGCCCGAAAACCTCCGCATCCATTTAAATCTGCTTTTACACGGCGATTAAGCTATTAGCTGATGGTGAATCAGCTAAATTGAAGTTGGCTGGGTCCAGCTCAGTATACCATCCAATTCAACTTCATTCAACTATCTTTAATATCTGTCTATGTTTAAAAGTGGCAAAATCATAGTCGAAGCAACGAGAGTCCAAGCGTCAATTGGATTTCGTACCATGCACGGCGTCTCTAAAAGGGTCCAATGTTAGGCCTCCACCGGGCAACTCCGTTTCCCTACCCGAGTATCCGATTCAAACCCTATGGCAAACAAAATCTGATGTCCGCTAGTCGATTAATACCAATAAGATGAAAAGAAAACTTCCTACTTATGGGCGGCGCTTTAGATTGGTCTCGTGCTGCACAAAGATTGGTGTATCAGAATGTCTCGGGCTCTATTTTAGAGCTCCCGGGCTATACTTAGGCCCGATACAATCAATTTATATATCGTTGCCCCTATCTTATGCGTTACTACGAGATGATGACGAGGTGCCTGTTCGCGGAAAAATTCGGCTGCTATGAGAAATTTCACTCGGTGCAGTTATGTAACGAATACAAATCTTCATATGAAGGTCAGCTGGTACCTGGGCAAGACTAGGTACAGGCTAATCATGGGCCGCTTCCGACCCACTTGCTAGCATACCTCCGGCCTTGTGACCTATGTAAAATGTTTCTCCGAAGTTGGCCGACAGTATTAGTCATCTTGGCTCATGGGGCAAAGATGATCACGCGTCGTTACCGTAACCTGCTTATATCCGTTAGAAAACGACGAATTTCCTGCAAACCCCTAAGCGCTATCATGGCTGTATCTGCAGCAAATTTACGTCTCAAGGTAATTATTATAGGGGCCGGTCCTTCTGGTCTCTGCACAGCTGCGGCCTTGAGCCAAGATGGCCATAGTGTCACCGTTCTCGAGCGACGACGAGATACACAGCCCCTTGGGCACGCGGTAGTAATCCAGCCCGCGGCGGTCAGGGCCCTTCAGTACCTCAAAGGGGCGGACAGGGCTTTCAGCAGGGTCAGTGTAGATGCAGGGGCGCTCCGCTGGTGGTCGTATAAGGGTACCAAGCCCTTTGCGACACCCACGGCGGCAGAAGCCTTGTCGTGTGCGGAACGAAGGTTTCAAACTGATCGGCCCTCAGTACAAAAAGTACTACATGAGCTTGCGGTTGCCAACGGCGTCGATTTTCTTTTCGGGAGAGTTGTGCAAGCGGTTGAAGATCTCAAGGTGAAGCCAAGGCTTTGGACAACCCATGGTGAAAACTTTACCGCGGATTTGATTATAGCGGCAGATGGTATGTTCTTTCATGGCCTCAGGGAAGCTGGGTTGAGTGTACTCATAATTGACCAAGCTACATTGATATAGGTATCAAATCTACCACCCGCAAAATTCTTTTCCCCGCACAGGATGTCGATCCAATCCCATTGAGAGAATCTATCTTCCTCACAAGCGCACCTGTTTCTCAGCTTGCTCGGGACGCTCGAGTAGCGCCATGGCTCGAACCGGGAACCAAACATGGCATATTAGGGCCCGATCGGTTTGTTTTGAGTCGGCACACGCACGGTGGTCTCCTCGGAGTGCAATTTATTGACGTCGACCATGCGGATCCGGGCCCGGTGAATGGCAATTGGAATACGCCAGCCGATATTGGTTTACTTCGCACACGATTTTCTGACTTTAACATGATAACGAGGGCATTCTTGGAACATATTCAGCACGCCGAGAAATGGCAGATGGCTACCGGGCCAGAACTGGATACGTGGCGAAGTGCCAGCGGTCGTATCGTGCTGCTCGGGGATGCCGCCCACGCCATGTTACCACATGGCGCACAAGGGCTTAGCCAGGGGATTGAAGATGCTTTAAGTTTGGCTCGCATGCTGCGTCGGGCGTCGAATTCGAGCGCTAAAGGTGTTGGTATTCCCGCTATCACGAAGGCGTGGGTCAACCTGCGTAAACCGCGCACCAACATTTTCGTTAAACAGTCTACAAGCAACGCAAAAATTTGGAGCCTACCGGATGGGCCGGAACAGGTGGCAAGGGATGAGAGGATAAGACGGACGGAGACTCTTCCACCAGCGGATCTCAACCACGTGAAAATGGACATGGCGGCTAGTCGGAAGTCGCCACAATTTCTTAAATGGGCAAGGGATTATGACGTGGTTCTAGAGGTATGTATCAGACCATCGTGATCTGTGTCAACAGATATTTCCCATTCACTTGCCTGGCCGTCACACTAACGACATCATGTTCTCATTCAGGCTGAAAGAGCGATGGAAAAGGTTTTATTGGGACAGAACGCTTCCCTCACAAAGACTTGCCATACTCCATAGCGCAATGGAGGTGATTTGTATGATGAAGCCAAACATGAAATCATTCATCGCTGAAGCGAACGAAGGGGCCATTGGTCTGGGTTGTGTTCTCATAAATTCACTCATAAATATCATATGAACAATAGTATTGACGAACGGTAAACTATAGTGAAACAAATTATACAGGCCAGACTATGTAGACCAACGCTAGCCTTTATCGGCACACCACTTTGTCTGTTCGAGCACCCGAAGTTACATTCCAGGATAAAATTGATCATCATGTTGACTTATGGAGTATAGGCTGCATGGTGCGTGAAATGATACAAGTCTAAACGCTATATACACGACTAAGCTGATAACCATGACAGCTATTTGAACTTTTCACTGGCCAGCCACCTTTTGAGACCTTAATAACACCCGCAATTCTCATCGGTCAAATGCACGAGATGGCAAGTGACGATCTACCTGAATGATGGCAAAAGGAATGGGATACGATGGATAAAGGGGACGATGTGACCGCGGAAAGCCCGGGCCCAACTTGCAAGAATGGCTGGAAGAAGTGTATTTTGACGGACGCCAGAGCCCTGATCTCACAAGAGAGGATATAATGAGGCTTGGAAAACTCATTGGAAGGCTGTTGTGTTTTGAACTGTTGGCAAGAGCATCAACGAGACAGATCCTGGATGACCCTTGATTCAATGAGTAGGCTAGGCTGTGAGTGTTCGTGAGACTCTCGTCCCCAGCTGGGGCCTAACAACTTCCAGAGACATGTTTGATCTTCAACCCTGCATGCCGAAAATGCCTCTAGCGCTCTTTTCTTTTGCACCACCACATTAATACACCATTCAAGGAAGACATCAAATCCTCTCTCGCGGTCTTTTTTGTAGTAATCCCATTACGCCGAATGAATCCCTTGAATTCGGCAAAAAAACTCTACTACTGGGTTCAGGTCCGGCGAGTAAGGTGGCAAATAGATTAGCTTCACACCTGCGTCTTCACAAATTTTTACAAGTCGCTCCGACCGGTGAAATGATGCGTTGTCCATAACGAGGACAAGTTTAGGTTCTGGCCATCGTCCACAATGCTGAAGTAATTGGGCTATAAAGTCTTCAAATACGGTGGCATCCGTAGAACCGCGGAAGACACCGTGTGTGAGAGAACAATCCCATCCTGTGCATAAGCGGGCAATATCTGGTATCTCTGGTCATGATGGAATTGCGTCACTTGCAAGGGGGCCTTGCCAAGTGGTGCCCAACCTGTCCTTCTGAACCCAACGCGTTTATCACATCCAGATTCATCAACATATACGAGGTGGTGCGATTTGAAGTCCGACAGATTATGCAGTTAATAATCTTGCAAATCAGCATCTTGCTCTCTAGCACGTTGGCATGCAGTCTCTTTCGACTAAGCCTTGGCAACAAGGGCTCTCCTAATGCTGGAGGTTGTAACCATGGTCTGAAACTCGTCCCAGAGGAATACAACCATCTCATTGAGGTACAGGCCAGGTTTCTCACATAGATGATCACAGAGGGCTTCGATCATCAGGGGTGTCACAGTTCGTTTCCGACCTATTCGGGTTTGAGGGGCGTGAATACTTCCAAATTGTCGTAGGTTACTGCGGATGTTGATGATGATCAGCTTGTTACATTCAGCCTGTTCCGCCATTTTAGATGTGGTTAAGGACTGGCTCTCTATCATATCACGAATGAGAACGAGCTTTGCAGGGGAGAGTATTGGAGCCATGTCGCTTCGCTTTGGAGTGATAGTGAGCCAAACTGGGAAGACTTGTAACTGCGATGTTTCACGCAGTTGTTGAGTGACGAAAGGGAAGAAGGCCACGGTAGCATGTGTGTGAGCAGTTTCGTGTAAAATACATTCCTCGTGGTCCCAAGATTGTATTGTAAAATACACAGATTTTTATAGAAAGCGGTCTGAAATGAGATCCTTGAAGACTCTATCCAATCAGAGCTCACACAGGACGGATTTATTTTCCGGGAATGAAGTCGCAAGAAGTGTCGAGGTATAACTGATTTCGAAAACTATTGTATGGCTTCCTATCCTGTACATGTATTGTGGTATGACTTTTGCGACTGCCTTGTAACTGTATGAGGAAGCCAAAATCGAACGATCAGATCTCAGAGGGATCCATTGACTCCAAGCGATACAACAAAACATTGCGGAACAATGGCGGGACGGACCGCGATGCGAACCCCTGAACCGCCCGACCGTGACGACGAACGCGAAGATTCACCGCCACGATTGCCGAGGCCGAGACGCACTACCCGACCACCCAATAATCATGCTCGGGATCAAGAGATCGACAACCAGCAGAGAACAACACGGTCCCAACTGAGAAAGAAAACCCAAGACAAGCCAGTAACCCAACGTGAAGCGGTCACTTCGGACGACTCCGCGACGGAGAGCGAAGACCTCAACGCCGCCACACTCGTGAAGGAGCTCATTAAACTCAGGCGAGAGATCAGGCGACGCGATGAATTGCACAAGAAAGAGCTTCAGAAGGTTAAAGAAGAATTTAGCGTTGCCCTGGCCGAAGTCCGACACGAGCTACAGACCCTGACAGATAGACCCTCGACACCGCAATCCCATGCCGAGGCATGCGCTCAGAACAGCCACGATGAGATCCTCCGCGAGATTCAATCCCTGCGCGATGCCATCAGCCCGTCCGTTGACATTGGCTCCCCGTCCTATGCAGATGTCGCCCGCACTCCTCCACTCAGTCACCCGAGCAACGTACGGACGCTCTCGACGTCGAATACAACACCGACCACTTTTACCGACACGTTGTATTGCACAATAGATACCTCGAAGATGACAGAAAATGAAAATGAGAGGATTTCCGCAGGCCCAATCCGGACGGCGGTTGAGACAGAGATTCGGACGATGGAAGGCCACACGCACTGGCGCTGTCGCGCTGTCACCGTGGACCCGAAGAACATCAACCGAATCAGAATAGCGTGCCGCGACGAAGATGAACACCAGCTGGTCAAGAAAGTGGCGGAAGCAAAGATCGGCGCGGGAGCCCGGGTACTCCGTGACGAGCTCTACCCGATCAAAGTTGACAGCGTCAATAAGGCCGCCGTGCTAGATGAAAAAGATGAGATCCGAGCCGAAGCCGCGGCAGCCTTCAGCGAAGAGAATGAAGTTACCGTGGCTAAGATCGCATGGCTTAGCAGAAAGGATAGTGCGAAGGCATAAGGGTCCATGGTCGTTTACCTGACTAAAGGCACTGACGCACGGAGGCTCCTAGCTGACGGGTTCTTTCACGCTGGAGGAGAATCTGGCGTGACCAGTACCTTCGAGTATCGACCTCGACCGATGCAATGTTACAATTGCCAGGAAATTGGACACAAGGCATTCCAGTGCAAGAACACCCAGAAATGCGCCAAGTGCGCCGCGGAGGGCCACCGCCACAGCAGCTGCGACCAAACGGTTCCGAAGTGCGTTCCATGCGGGGGCCCTCATGAATCGTTCAGCAGAAATTGTCAGAAACTCTACCCATCACGACATGAATAAAAGCGTCCGAATCATTCAGCTGAATGTGAGGAAACAGGGAGCAGTACATGACAGTTTGATGAACGATGAAGAGACCCGGGACGCAGTCGCACTAGCGATTCAGGAACCCCAAGCGAGGAGAATCCAAGGGCGGCTCCTGACAACCCTGATGGGACATCACAAATGGACTAAGATGGTCCCCTCCACTTGGAGGGAGGGCCGATGGGCAATCCGTAGCATGTTGTGGATCAATAGGGATGTAGAAGCGGAGCAAGTGCCGATCGAGTCGCCGGACCTGACCGCAGCGGTTATCCGCCTCCCCGAGCGCCTGATATTTATGGCATCAGTCTACGTAGAGGGAGGAGATGCCGCAGCGTTGGACGACGCATGTGATCGCCTCAGAAAAGCAATCAGTAAGGTACGGCAAGACGCGGGAACAGTGGTGGAGATTATGATCGTGGGGGACTTTAACCGCCACGATCAGCTCTGGGGAGGAGACGACGTATCTTTAACAAGACAAGGAGAAGCGGATCCAATCATCAACCTCATGAGTGAGTTCGCTCTCTGTAGCCTGCTCAAACGAGGCACGAAGACATGGCACGGTGGAGGGCAGAATGGGGACTGCGAGTCTACTATCGACCTCGTCCTGGCCTCAGCTAGCTTGACAGACTCGTTGGTCAAGTGCGCAATACACGGGACGGAGCACGGCTCGGACCACCGCGCTATTGAGACCATTTTCGATGCCCCATGGCCAGCTCCACAGCACCCGGAACGACTTTTGCTGAAAAACGCGCCATGGAAGGAAATTAACGCGTGAATTGCGAGCGCCCTGGCCACCACTCCGTCGGGAGGCACGGTGCAGCAGAAAACCGACCGGCTCATGTCTGCGGTGTCGGAGGCGGTGCATATTTTGACGCCGAGGGCCAAACCGTCGCCACACGCAAAGCGATGGTGGACGGTGGACCTAACACAACTCCGTCAGATATACACGTATTGGAGAAACCACGCCCGCTCGGAGCGACGCGCAGGGCGAAAGGTACCACACCTGGAAAATATGGCCGCAAGTGCGGCGAAACAATACCACGATGCTATTCGCAAACAAAAGAAGAAACACTGGAATGAGTTTCTTGCGGACAACGATAATATATGGAAAGCCGCGAAATACCTGAAGTCAGGAGATGATGCAGCATTCGGCAAGGTCCCACAGCTCCTCCGGGCGGATGGAACTATGACCGCCGATCATAAAGAGCAAGCGGAGGAACTACTGACCAAATTCTTCCCGCCACTGCCGGACAGAATTGACGATGAAGGGATCAGGCCGCAGAGAGCGCCCTTGGAGATGTCCGCCATCACTATGGAAGAGGTCGAACGACAGCTGTTGGCGGCAAAGTCTTGGAAAGCACCTGGTGAAGATGGCCTACCAGCGATAGTGTGGAAGATGACGTGGCCCGTGGTCAAGCACAGTGTTCTTGAACTATTCCGGACGTCGCTGGAAGAAGGCGCGGTGCCTAGGCAGTGGAGACATGCAAAGATTATACCACTCAAAAAACCGAACAAAGAGAACTACACCATCGCGAAGGCCTGGAGGCCGATTTCACTCCTCGCGACACTGGGCAAGGTACTGGAATCAGTCATCGCAGAAAGAATCTCACACGCGGTGGAAACTTACGGCCTGCTTCCGACCAGCCATTTCGGGGCCCGTAAGCAACGGTCAGCGGAGCAAGCACTCTTACTTTTACAAGAGCAAATCTATGCGGCGTGGCGTGGCCGACGGGTCTTGAGCTTGATCAGCTTCGATGTCAAAGGAGCTTACAATGGGGTCTGTAAGGAACGATTACTCCAGAGGATGAAAGCGCGAGGGATCCCGGAGGCCCTGCTTCGGTGGGTCGAAGCGTTCTGCTCGGAGCGAACGGCGACCATCCAAATCAATGGGCAAGCATCAGAGGCCCAAAGCCTCCCACAGGCCGGGCTGCCTCAGGGCTCACCCCTGTCCCCAATCCTATTCCTCTTCAACGCAGATCTCGTACAGCGACAGATCAACGGCCAGGGAGGAGCGATTGCCTTCGTGGATGACTTCACCGCGTGGGTGACCGGACCGATCGCACAGAGCAACCGGCAGGGTATTGAAACAATCGTCAATGAAGCACTCGACTGGGAAAGGAGAAGTGGAGCGACCTTTGAAGCAGAGAAAACCGCCATTATACACTTCGCCCCCAAGGCCCACAAATCGGACTCGGAGCCATTTACCATTAAGGGAGAGACCGTTGAACCCAGAGACCATGTCAAGATTCTTGGCGTCATCATGGACACAAGACTCAAATACAAGGAACACATTGCGAGAGCGGCGTCCAAAGGCCTGGAAGCAGCGATGGAGCTGCGACGGCTTCAGGGTCTATCCCCAGCAACAGCACGACAGTTATTCACCTCGACGGTGGCCTCAGTAGTGGACTATGCCTCCAATGTCTGGATGCACGCTTTCAAGAATCAGAGCGTCGGGCCGATCAACCGAGTACAAAGGGTAGGAGCGCAGGCGATTGTCGGGACATTCCTCACAGTTGCAACCAGCGTAGCGGAAGCGGAGGCTCACATCGCCACGGCGCAACACCGGCTCTAGCGACGAGCTGCGAAGATATGGACAGACATGCACACCCTACCAGTGACCAATCCCCTCCGTAGGAGCACAGCTCAGATCAAGAAATTCAGAAGATACCACCGCTCGCCGTTGTATCAGGTCGCAGATGCGCTGAAAAGCATTGAGATGGAAACACTGGAAACCATCAATCCATTCACATTGGCACCATGGGAGGAACGTGTACAGGGCGATGGTCAGGATTTACCAGAGACACAGACCGAAACGGGCGGAGTCATGCGGATCGCGGTCAGCAGTTCGGCGCGGAATGAGATGGTAGGATTCGGCGTGGCGATTGAGAAGCAGCCCCCTCGGTACCGAAAACCGAGGCTGAAGACCTTCTCCGTCCCACTGGGTGCAAGAACTGAGCAGAACCCATACTCTGGGGAGCTGGCAGCAATGGCACACTCACTGAACACGCTACGCGGACTGAAACGGTGCAGAGTCATGCTGCTCACGAGCAATAAAGCGGCGACACTTACGCTGAAGAACCCCCGTCAGCAGTCGGGCCAGGAACACATCTGCCAGATATACAAGTTGATGCAAAGACTACGGAGACACGAAAACCGGATGGACATCCGCTGGATTCCAACTAGCGAGAAGAATCAATTGTTGGGCCTGGCGAAAGAACAGGCCAGGGACGCAACGCAAGAGGACACTATCCCACAAGCACAGGCCCCCCGAATGAAGTCGACCACCCTGAACATTGCACGATCCCAAGTCGCAGCCGGTCAGTGCTTGCCGGAGAACGTTGGCAGATATTCCAAACGAGTGGATGCAGCGCTCCCAGGGAAACACACCCGGAAGCTGTACGATCGATTATCGTGGAAAGAAGCGAGCGTGCTGGCTCAACTCCGGACTGGCATGGCTAGATTAAACGGATATCTCTATCGGATCAATGTCGCAGAGACGGAACAATGCGCCTGTGGACAAGCAAGAGAGACCGTGGAGCACTTCCTCTTTCGATGCCAGAAGTGGACCACGCACCGGACGGAAATGCTGCAATGTACCCATACTCACCGAGGCAACATTTTTTTTTTCCTGGGCGGAAAATCGCCTTTGGATGGCCAGAACTGGAAGCCAAATTTGGAAGCAGTGCGAGCCACTATACGGTTTGCAATCGCCACGGGCCGACTCGACGCCACTTAACCGTGTCGACCGACACAAATTAACCCTACCTCGCCCCAACCCCAATCTAGCCCCCCACCAGCTACCTTGTGCCAGAGACGGTAGACGCGCTTCAATTGCCGAGGATAGGATGTTGAACACTTGGAGAAGCGCCTTCAAGCAAGTCTACTAACCAAACACTAATCCACAAGGTCCCGCTAAAATATTGACATCTGAGATGACATATACTGAAAGGAATCTTGTATGGGCTCCAATGAGGCACCGCATTAGCTAGAGCATGTATATTTAGATCAGTGATAGTTGCCCTTTCGGTTCAGCCGCCGGGCGTTAATGAAGTGAGTGTGTGTGTGTGTGTATGGCTTCCTTGGTTGTTTCTCGACCGCCACTCCAAACCCGACCAGCTCATTCCGCACCGAGCTCCTGACCGCGATTTGCATTGATCCGCCTGGTACAGTTGATCCCTCGGTAATGGGCTCATCAATCTGCATGCGTGCTTCCCATGGTGCCAGTGTAAACGGGTTGATGGTTTCCAGTGATTCCATGTCGATATTCTTAAGCGCGTCCGCTACTTGATATAGTGGCGAGCGGTGGTATCTCCTGAACTTCCGGATTTGATCTGTGTTTCTGCGAAGAGGGTTGGTTTCTGGTAGTGTGTGGAGGTCTGCCCACGTCTTCACGGCTCGTCTCCAGAATCGGTGTTGTGCCGTAGCAATGTGGGCCTCGGCCTCCGCTACGCTGGTCGCAACTGTGAGGAATGTCCCCACAATTGCTTGTGCTCCTACCCTTTGCACTCGGTTGATCGGTCCGATGTTCTTATTCTTGAATGCGTGCATCCAAACATTAGAGGCATAGTCGACCACCAGAGCCACGGTCGCTGTGAAGAGCTGTCGTGCGGTCGCTGGGGAGAGGCCTCGGAGCCGTCGTAGCTCCATCGCGGCCTCCAGGCCCTTAGATGCTCAGTCGCCGGGCGTTAATGAATTGTGTGTGTGTGTGTGTGTGTGTGTATGTGTATGGCTTCCTCCATCACATATCTTTCTCACTCCTGTGGTATCGCCTCGCCATTTTCATGGGAGAAATTGAGAATTCTACGACCGATCATTACAAGTCTTCTTTTGATGTGAGACTCTACCATGCAGACCATGTCAGCATCCTCAGACTGTGGGATAGTAAAGGAGGAGTTAGGGCAAGGTTTGATGGTTTGAAGAAGTCCCAGGCTGACGCCCTGGAATTTCTCAATTTCGTGACCGGGTTCAAGTTCCCCCATACTTATGACGGAGTGATAGCTGGGACGGTAGGTTGAATGTTAGTTGGCAGCTTCTTTTCACCTTGTATGGCCCTAACAAAAAAAAACGAACTGTAAGTTTTTCCATCACGGTTTCCTTTGTCACAACCTCTGGAACAGCTTTCTCTAGATTGACGCCATATCAGTTGAAATGCTCTCTACATGTATTGATCGCTCCTCTGACCCGAGGAATGAGACTATGGATAAGTTTTTCTTTCTCTGGCACAATTGAATTTAAACTAAAAAAAAAGAAATCCAGCAAGTCAGTATAAAATAGTTTCTAGTAAGCCGATGTCGCCAGCAACATAGACCTGTGACATCCATGTACATCACTGAAGCTGATATCAAAAGCCTCTGTAGATGGCAAGCGCCGACAGCCCAACATGCCCTTATCTTCAAGAATCGTCTGCAGCACAAATATATTCATCAATGGCACCCGTCAGACTGACTGTCATAGACCTCTCATCTCTATCCAGTCTTGAGCTATTGGGGAGACAATGGTGATGTGAACTCAGCGACCTTGGGTCAATCTGCAATGAAGAGCCTCCATGGTTTGGCGGTAGTGTGTAAGGCTTGGAGTCTCTTAAAAGACAGGGATCCCTTGGCTGTTTCCAACTTCTACTGCGTTGTTCGCAAGCATTACCTTCCGGTGGACCAACCAGAGGGCGTCAGCGATAGTTTTTTGGACGGCCAGTTGATCCCTACTCAAATTATTCCAGTCCTCTTCTTCGGCCTTTCGAGAAAAAAATTCTGTTTTGCTGAATGTGATGGGATCACTGCCCAGTTGCGGGGTCTTTGTACTCACCGGTTTCTCGGCAGGCGGATTTGAAAGGACTTCTGGACGCTGCTCAGGCACGACGGAGAGACTCGGGTAATCAATATCCTCTTCCTTGACTTCTACCGCACCATCGTATGGAGGGTGTGCCTGGACGGCTGGTTCTGAGAAGTCGATGATCGTAGAGGTTCTTGGACTCCTTTTAAGCTTCGATTGGGGGTGCACGGCTTCGATGGATGACTTGGGAGTGGTCGAGTGTGTACGAGATCTTTTCTCGCGAACAAAAACGTTCAGCGGACAAACAGAAGGGAGGCGATCGGGACTGCCACGTCCAGCACCGTTTTCGTACAAGTGATACCGCTCTTCTTGTTTATCCCAAGCTTCGCTTATCGCGTCCAAGATCATCTCGGCCTCAAATAAGCCGTCAAGGTCGGATTTGGGAACCCAGGCGCAGCCGTCTGAGAGGTAATTCTTTTCATCGTCTTTGGCGATATCAATAAACTTGACTTTGAGGTATGTCCGAGGTGCTGTTTTGTACACGCGATCTGGATCCCGCCCCTCCTGGACCACAACGCCCACAATACCCTCGATATTTTCTACTGTATAGCGACGATGTCTTTTTCCATTGTCGTCTCTGTCCCAAATTTGCGTGATTCGAGAATTTTTATCCGAGACCTCAGGGAGCTTTTTCAGGTTATACCCCTTTGCGGATCGGAGCATGTACTTGGCCGCTTTCAGAGGACCGTGTCGGACGATCGCTTTTCTTGAGAAGCCAGACGAGCACCAGGCTTCTGGTACACCGCCGTAGAGGCTGTTTCCAAGGGACATTTTCCGAAAGCTGACGAGGATGCCGTCGTCTTCTCTCGCAGTTTCATCTATCGCTCTCGGCCCCGCGCTGTTCGCGGATGATTCCGATCCAAACTCATCAGTAACCTCTGCCATAGGCGTGTCATTAGGCTCGACAGCATTATTCTCAATGGGCTGGTTGGGTACGCGCTGGTCTTCCTATGAGTCAAATGGGGGTTTCGAATGTGGATCTACCGCTTCTTTGCCATTGGCAGGATCCGGTTTTCTGATTTGTGCTTGAGCGTTGACGCTCTCAACTTTTGCATCAGATATGTTTCCACTGCTGGCAGCTTGGTCAATTTTTTGTAGCTTGTCCGCAAGCTCAGGCTTCTTTGACCTGGTGTCGTGGGTCCTGGGAGGAATCCCATTGCTTTTAGAAGTTGTTCCTTGTCCGGCCATGATGCACAAAGACTTTGATGCTCTCTGACGATGAACAGTACGGCACCAAAAGACCGAGCGCTAAGCTTCTATTTATACCTCTAAGCACAAAGTGGTCTTGTCTTTGATTCTCCAGGAGATCCATGCCGTTCCTCATGAACCGAAGGCCGCCTGCCTCATTGATTGTTGCTATCTTCAAATATAAGTATTCTTCGCCCCTTCGAAAGATGGCGTTAAATCAACGTTCAAGAAACTCGAACGGTCAACTTATTGAATTTCTTACACTGCGTTGTATATTTTGGTTCATAAAGTTGCACCCAATCTTATTGATGTGGTATACAAGGAGACTCTTGTGACTTGTTGCTAATGACTTTGGGTGACTATCCTAGATGGTGCCCGTGCAATAATAATGCGTACCCCAAGCTCCTATTGAAAAAGAGTACTCTTTTACCGTTTCAAACCTCCCTTTGAGCAACCGTGGATGTGGTAAGTATGCGTGAGTGCTGCGGTCTTGCTGCCACCCACGTCATCAACAAGTCAAACACCGTTGAAGCAGCCCGTTGAAATTGCCCCTTGAAAAAGCCAATACTAATACTCGCACCACTTTCTCCATCGAGCAAATTCTGGAGGTGGCATTAAGGTAAAGCAAAACCACGATAATCACGAAACGAGCATGGAGACTCAACACTCGATCAGATACATTTCTCATTCCCTTCTTAACCTATGATGAAGATTTCCAGACACTGACTTACTTCCAATGTCTCTATGTGTCTATGGAGGAGGGGCAACAATTTGATATACTTGATCGATCCTCTCCTGTCAATAGTACTAGTCTTTAGCTTCCACGAAGAATTTAGAAGGGAGGATGCGGTCGATGGGCTGACCGGGTGGTCGGTCGGCCACGGGTGCTTGTTGATTTTGACAAAGAGACACTGCTCAGTTGGCTAGATGCCTTTGCTCTGTTTGTATACCGCCAGGGAGGAGGGGGGGGGGGGGGGGGGGGGGGGCCGACCCGGCCCTGGTGTGTGGAAAAGCCCGGGCTCAGTTGGCAGTGACGCCCGGGGGCCCGGGAGGGATGGACTTGGAGACGTCAATTGCAGTAGTAGATATGACCTTTCATATGAAGATTTAGTACGCGAAGATTCCAACGGCCTAATACTGTTTTGCAGAGAACGGAAGGAAACATCTTGGGTCTGGACCATCTGAGTGGATGATCACCACACCTCGTCCGATAATTCATCTCGTTTCTCACAGCCCTTTGACCTGAGATTTGGCCCTGATCCATGCAATTGAACAGACACTCGCCCGAGGAATTCGTGTCGCTGATAATTCCCCCTTGGGTTCGATTGAAGCTCTGGGATAGCTAGTCGGATAGTCAGAGCGCCGTCGTGTGTCTGCTTGGGCCCATTACAGCCAAAAGTAGGCAAAGGAAGAAGGCAATCGCCTGGCGGCTGCTAACAGGAAAATGTGAAGAATCATTTGGACCTTGGTCCATCGGAGCAGATGATCACGACCCCTTGTCCGGAGAGCTCTTCTTGCTGCTTGTAACCCATCAGGTCGGAGATTGGCCGTGGTTCATATGATTGAATCAACACTCGTCTGATGATAAATTCATGTCGCCACATGGTTCCTCTTGGCAGCTCCGGAGCAGACAATTGGATGGTCACGCCGCCTTTGCCGATGGGCTCCGCTGTAGTCCGGGCTTTCAATGCACATTGTTTATCTCCCTCAGTTTGCGGCAGACCTCTCTCGTGAGGAAGAGCTTTGCTCTGGATGCTGCCGACGTCGAAGGCAGAAATCTCGCGGGTAACGTAGGGGTCGTTTGTTCCAGAATTTGTCGAGATCAAAGGTTGCCAACGTCATTCTTCGTGGAGAGCATTAGATGAGATGGTGAGAGAAATGGTCGGGTATCTTCAAGAGTATCAAGGACCAAAGTGGCATCTACGTTTTGCTGATAGAGCCCGGAGAAATTGGCTGGCCCGATTTCCTCGACTGGCGGAGATGCTAAGTTGGACTTATCCTCGGGGCGTTCTATCGACTGGCAATTCCATTGTCGCTGGGAAGGGGCTGCAAGGTTATCAGCAGCCGGAATAAGCTTCTATACCAGCGTATTTCACTCACAGGGAGGGAATATCTCATCATAGAAAGCTTGAACGCGCCCACAATCCGGTCTTCGGCAGTGATCCCAATGATCAAAGAGCGCAGCCAGTTCATGACGGATGAGATCACATACTGAAGGGGCTGGCGAGCAATCGATTGTACTCATGTTTGCTGCCGCTCTCTAGGAGACTGTAGAAAGAAACGTAGAGAATTAAATGAGTGAGATGACTCTTCTTCTTTGGGAGTTTTTTATGCCTGTATTTATAGTGCTATTCTCGCCCTGGTCGCTCCAGGCTGGTATCTGCTTGCGTCATGGTCAATCATCCTGTCCCGAGGTGATTTGTGACTGGAAATCGGGATCGTTGCCGCCAATCTAGATCGGCTGACCTTGTTTGATACCAAAGGCTAGCAATCACAGCCACACCGCTTATACTAGAGACAACCCCACAGTTGCCAGACCTTTCTTACTGTTTCTGGGAACTCCTGGGAAGCCCACCTGCCATATTAGGGACGCTCATCAAAGCTATGGCTCTAGCCACGTCGCGATCCACACTACCGCCCTTGTGCCTCCGCCTGACTGGTAAACGTACACGAAATTTAAGTTTGTTCTTCTGTATTTTCTATCTGTCCACTACAGTACCTGCATAGAGCATTTGGTCCAATGTCCACATCTATAAGTGCGTCGTCCTCCGCAGTCAAGGGGCGACTCGATTGTTGGCGAGGAACTCAAGCATCTCGGCCGTCGAAACGAAGAACCTTTGCGGATCCTAGAAGCTCTCGATACGGGGCAGCTAGGTGCAGTCAGTTGATCGATGATCTCCTACGAGGATTTCCACCAGCGGCTCTGATGAGATCAGCGCAGCGGGGCGCGAGTCACTACGTTCGCTCCTGATAAGGCTCTCGTACCCGATAAGCCCCCAATGATATCTTCATCTCTCGGCACGTCAGCCTTTTGAAAAGTTCTGTTATGCTGAGATACATCGACGGTGAGGCTTGCGCCGTAGTCGCTGCATCCAACCCTGTCGACTGGTCCAGCACTCGACGGACCGAGCTTCGTTCGCACTTTGCTGCGAGCTCTGATATCTCTCATCAAGTTTTTGGGTGGTTGCATGGCGAGTCTCCGGCCCAGTATATGTGCGCCTTACTTGAAGAGTAGTCCGTGTTTGCCCGCGTGGGGGCTTCCTTGGAAGCCTTTGAAGCTCAGCAGCTTTTTCGAAGCACGGCTTAGGGTGCATCGCCTCGTGCCGGGGTGGTCTCTTGTACGGTTCAATACCGAGTAGATGAAGAGTATCGGGCGCACTCGCACCTCTGCGTGCAGATGAGCGAGAAACACGGGCCATGAACCACGGGGATCAGTTTGAAAAGGTGTTTTTCTTAAAACATTCGAAACTTATCAAGCTATATATCTAACTTCTGGGTTTTGCGATGAGGTGGGCTGCGGATGGAGTCCACAACAGGTGAATCTGCACTCACTTCCTGTCGATGTATCATTGCCTCTTTCCCTCGGCGACACCAGCTTCTACTTCCCCATTTACTTTCCATCTCGCGAGGACATTGGCTTTTCTCCACACCGTTGGAGTTGTGTGGATTTTAACGGTCTGGGGCTTCAAACGTTTATATCAAACGAAGATTGCATTATGGCTCTCATTCGCATTTGTTGCGTAAGATTTGTTTGTTCACCTCACAGTCTTGCTTTTCGGTGAACGAGCTGTCAACGTTCTGATAAGGAGCGGCGACCGTGTTAACGTTGAATCAACAATCTAATTGCTTCCCTAGCGCTAGTCCATTTATTTACCTGCCCCAACGAACGGTGGGTTGTATTCTCAATTATCTGCCCCAATACAGGTATTTTCAAGGAAGCTCTGTTTCATGGCCACATCTATAAGTATTTGATCACAGCTGCGAGCGAAGGACCGAGTGTGTTGTTTGCTTAAAGATTCTGCACTGCAAGTCCACGGCTCGATGAAGCAGTCTGTTGATCAACCCTCTTTGGAGAGCAGTGACCGCTCTTTGGACGAAGTGCAGAAACAAGCAAGCGATCAATTGGAGCGTGAGCTGCGCGAAAGCCGAACGAATGTGCATGATCAAAGTTTGTGCCGTCAGCAGACCATCTCACTCAGTATTTGTCCGAATTACGTGAAGCAGTGGAATATGACTGCCGCATTTCGGGAATTGTATCAGAACTGGTAGGCTCCCTCCATTGAGACTGGCAAAGATCTAACCAAAACAGGAAAGACGCGATCCTGGAAAGGTTTCAGCTCGAGCATCGGGATTTCCAGCCGTGTTACGAAAACAAACGCGACTGCATATCCATCATTGTACCGGACCCTTCCGGGCCGCATGGACGCGGCCAAGCTTTGGGGTTTATCAAGTATGAGAAGAAAGCAGGACGTGTGATTCTGGCGAATTCCTGCGCTTCGCTTCGGCCTGACGATCTTCAGCTTGGACAAACGTCTAAGGAGGGGAACCACTATCTTGCCGGATGCCGTGGAGAAGGACTCAAGTTAGCTGCCGTGGTGATGTCTCGGAACGGCTATAAAACGCACATGGCCGCGGGTGGCTGCGACTGGAGCTTCCGAACGCCGGGGCCCACGCGGTCCCAATTTTCTTTTGTGATTCGCCCATCTAGAAACGCTACCTCCAGCCTCCACACGAGCCCAACCAGCGACATGGCGCAATTACGCTCGCATGTCGAGAGGGACGTCACGATCACCATTGGTCCAGAACGCAACAGGAAGCGGGACAAAATCTCCTTGGAGCTGTTCAAGAAGTGGCTGGGGGCGACTCTTGATATTCGCGGGTTCTCTTACCCTTCACACATCATTGAAACTGAAGCGGGAGACATCATTCTCGACGCATCTTTCCACGGTAAAGTGTTCTATAAAGGAATACTTCTGTCAGGATCGGTCTCCGAGGCCGAGTCCTTTAAGCTTGGATATAATTTCCTAGCCGGTACGGTTAATCGCGACCGGCAGAGATTGGTTGAAAAGCAGGAAGAAGCCAATATCGTCCGGCGGATATGGGAGGCGGCCATCGGTCAGCACGAAGAGTCTATGCTGCCCATCTATGTCAATCTGCTTCGGAATTCCCCTCGTGCGCTAGACGTGGCATTGGCCGAACGTCTCCTGGAAGCTCCCACGAGGTCTCTGATCTGGAAATATCTCCTGCAAGAGGCAAATGGAGAGCGGTTCTACTACAACGAAGCGTCTCATGCTAGGGTCAGTCACATCAATAGCCCCATCCGTGACTCCAATTATTGACAATCACCAGGATGTGGAAATAATCCGCCATGTCTTGAGAAAGGAGCCCGTCAAACTTCCGAAATCATTGTGGGACTTACTCCGACCAAGCTCTGCAATCAGAACAGCAGAGGAAGAGCAGATCAGCACGTTTCAATATGCCCCGGGCTGTTCAACTCCCAATTCCACTTTCTCAAGGACAGTCCAAAGGGTCCTGAAAGCATGCATGGCTCTATCCGATTGCACGAAGCATATCGAGGTTTTCTTTGTCCAAATTAATGACAGCGCCATCGACACCTTTTTCGACCTCGAGCATCAAGTACTCAAGGTCCACCACAGATGGTTGGATTTTGATGCCATGCACCGCAAATACCCTTGTCGGGATCTATTGCCGAGCAACCTGGCCGGGGCCGACGCGCCATTCTTCTGCGATCACATCATTGAGGAGCTCTTGCGAAAGGCGCTCCCTACAATCTTCCGGACTGCTCCCATGTCAAGGGCTACTGAGAATGGAATCTTGCGACAGATCAGACACCGTCTGAGGCATATGCCCCATAGCATCATGTCGAAACCAATGCCTCAGAACAAGGGGTTGGTGGTTACTTGGGAAGACAACGAGACAGAGTCATTTCGGAAATCGTGTCGGTCCCGAGTGGCATACCATGTCGTGCTGCATGAAGAGCGATGTGCCAGTGCACAGTCCGAATTACTGCATGGGGATGCGGGTAAGTCTCTCTCCAGCGAAATGCTGGAGTCGTGCTCTTTCAGAACGGGCGACAACTCATGTTTCTTCACTAGTTACGTGTGCGGAAGGGCGTGATTCGTGCGGTTGTCCAGCGCAGTTAACTTCGCAGTGCAAGAAAGGGGTGATGTTTGCCGACTTGGACTGCTCGAAAAAGTACTTTCCCATGATTGCCTTGAACCAGAGATCGGCGTTCTATGGGTATCCGCCAGAAGCGACGTTTCCCAGCGGATGGGTTGAAGCCCGGGATCTCGCGGATGCAGTGTCCATTCGCAAGCAACAGGATGCACGTATGCAGTCTTTCCCGTCTTGGACAGAGTCTGGACCTCCAAGCCCAGCGGCATCTCCGCATCAGCCGCAGCAACTGCTTCCCCGTGTTCAGCAAGCACAAAGCTCGGATATGGCGCGGGAACTCTTCATTCGACAAACCAAGCGACAGAAGAAAAATTGAAGAGCAACTAAAATTAATTGTCCTTAGTTTGATATCCTCAAAAATGGACGCACGGATGTATTAATGCCTGAGGCACAGATTTGCTAGATTAGGTTAGTCACGGTCGCAAGTAAACAACCGAACGCGCAACGTCACCTCGTGACTCGGTCCTGACACTCCTTAGGCCATGCCGTGTCTCTGGAAGCGGCGGGACATCTCCTGCTCTACTCTTCCATCTACGACCAGCGCCAGTCATGGACGACGCGAACACGATCGCTGAGTTACGTCGTCAGCTCGAGGAACAACGACAGCTCCGAGAAGAGGCAGAGCGCCTACAGGAAGCGGAGAAACATGCGCGAGAAGAGGCAGAGCGCCTACAGGAAGCGGAGAAACATGCGCGAGAAGAGGCAGAGCGCCTACAGGAAGAGGCAGAGCGCCTACAGGAAGAGGAGAAACAGGCGCGAGAAGAGGCAGAGCGCCGACTGGAACCCAACACCCTTGTTGGGCTTCTCGATCGGTGTCACCGCTCTCTGTCAAAATCTATTCAAATTGAAACCAATGCGACACTGACAACCCAGGGAACTGTGACGGACCCGGTCAATCGGCTCTATCCAAAACGAATCCTCCCGTGGCTTGACTTTCCGCGGCTTCAGGAAGAAGTCTGGGCAAAACTCGAGGGCGCCGCCTCTTTTGCCTCGCGTCCGCTGTTTCCATCAAATCATCAGCTAGACTATGTTGCTGCCAACATCCAGGACAAGCCGATCTACTCCGAGGCCTCTCTCCGGAACTTCCAACGCGATACAGTAGAGAACTTCGTCGAAATGATTATCGAGGCGTTGAGGGCCGATGAAACTCTGGGGCGCGAGCTTTGCCTCCACGGACGAGTGGCCTTTCATGATCGTGCGAATCCCTCGGAAAACACCGGAGGCTCGCTGGAAGAGAGTCTAGAGCATATGCGTGTCGATGACGCGTTGCCTTCACGGCGGCAGCGAAGAGGTCGCGGAAGGGGGAGGAAACAAGCGCAACAAACACGTCCTGCAAGGCGGCGGAATCGTCGCGCCGATCAGTTCTGCGTGCACGTCATTTCGAACGAGCGCCAAGTGCCAGCGTACGTGGTGGAGTTCAAAGCGCCGCACAAGCTGACCGAGCCTGAGTTGGTAGCCGGCCTACACGAAGTCGAACTAGAGCGCGATGTGATCGGGAGGGAAGGCGATACTTTTGAGTTTCATGCCACTCTTCTCGTTAGCGCCGTGGTCACCCAAATCGTCTCGTATATGTTCGACACCGGGGTTCGAGACGGATATATCTGCACAGGGGAGGCATTTGTGTTCCTCCATATCCCGGAAGACCCCACAGTTGTGCTATATCATCTCTGCATCCCCAATAAGGATGTCCAAGCTGATGATGAACACGGCCTACACCGGACAGCTGTGGGCCAAGTCCTCGCGTTCACACTTCAGGCACTGGCCGCCGAAACCCCCTCACAAGAGTGGTTCGATTCCGCACATGAAAAGCTGTCGACCTGGGAGGTTGAGTACCTGGACGTGCTTCGGGACATTCCGGAAACGATTCGTAAAGACCCGCCACCTTCCGTCTATCGACCATCGTCATGGACTAGGTCGCAGAAATCACACAATACGCGATCCCGTGCCCGTTGCAAGCCGGGCCAGTCCACACCGAGGGCATCGTCAAGGGAGGGTGGTGACAGTGATGAGGAGCCGAGCTCGCCATCCGCTACGGCAGCCGCTCGCAGTCGGTCAAGTCGTGGCAAGGAGAGCAAAAGCCAAGCTCTTCGAAAGACGCAGGGCAGGAATGCCGGTCGGGGAAATGGCGGATCTTCTTCACAGAAACGAGGGCAAATCGGCCGGCCATTTTGTACCGTGGCCTGCATCCGTGGAATGGCCTACGGGGGAGCCTTGGACCGGGAATGCCCAAACTCACACGACCATGGCGCTCAAGGGCATTCAATCAACGCGCGAGTATTTACGCGCAAGCTTCATGACCAACTTTCACGGAATCGAAACGAGGGCTTTGAACCATTGCATATCCGTGGTCGAACAGGCTATCTCATGAAGGCGACTTTATTGGAACATGGATACACCGTGCTTATCAAAGCGACAATAGCGGACAAGGAACATTACCTCCGAACGGAAGCAGCTCACTACCGTTATCTCCGAAGACTTCAAGGCCATCAGATCCCTGTCTGTGTTGGGAACTTTAAACCACGCGTTTCATATTGGTATCAAGGGGAGCCGATGGCCCATATGATGATTCTGAGCTGGTCTGGGACCCGGCTTCAACATGTCATCAATGAAGGAAATCAGGTCTTCTTCAACAAAGAGCGCGCAAGAGTCCTGGGCGTCCTCCACTCAAATGGGGTGGTCCACAGGGACACGGAGTGGCGGAATATGCTATGGAATGACCAGGAGGGCACTCTGGTTGTCATCGACTTGGAGGACGTGGAACGGCTCAGGCGGGCACGGCCGCTCGGTGCCAGCTCTGGCAATCGAGTTCCGGGCAAGCACCGCCTCTCTGGCCGGAAAGTTGGCCAAGTATCTTCCCAAAGCGCGGCCATTTGTGTATGATAAAAAGCCTATGGAACGTAAATGAATGCATGACTTGAATGTTTTTCTATCTGCATTTGTAGATCGAGACGCGCGCAAGTTGACTGAAATCAAACAAGTACAATCATAACCTCTTTCGTTGACAAAATATGCGCACCTGTCAAAAGACCCGCCTTGCTACCTTTCAACCTGCTCTGCCAAGGGCACATTGCCGATGGGGCTTGGGGCGCAGCCGTCGCAGCCAATTCAACCGATCCTCGCCCGTGGTAGGTTTATTTCGGTGCTCTTTGCGCTCTGAACCCTTCTGTTGTGAAGTGGATGCCTTGAAGGGCGTCCACCATGCCTCTGGGCCAACGTAATCGTGCAACAGCCGCAGTGGAAGATTGGTCTGTGCCTGGTCGTAGAGCGGTTGGTTCGGTTTCTTTCCGGACACTGGTTTCTGCTTGTTCCGTTGCGACGAGAGTTTCTCATGTGCTTGTTCCAGCAAGGGCGTAGTGTCGGTAGCGTTGTTTCTGCTTTCGTGCCTTGCCCGGCGGGGAACACGTGCCATTTTCTGGGCAGCGACCGATGTCAAGATACTGGTAACACGCGGGGATGATATCTCTTATTTATCCTGAGTTCGTGCACCATGATTCTCGGAGTTTGCGAGCGTTTAAGCCCTCAATCGGCTCATGTTGTTGCGGACACACCTCGAATTCACTCTCGGCGCGTATACCGGCGATTGCTTACCGAAGCACGGTAGGGTGGGGTCCAATCAATGGAATGTGAAATAGAGGTCAGAAAGCTGTAAGACGCTTGCGGTATCCGACCCTCACAGCGGCAATGTTTGATAGGATTCACATCATTCGACGGGAAGATGAGTACTCGGCACTTGCAACGTTTAAACGGTGATGTGGGTCTCGGAGAACGGTCGGGTCCCAGCCAGAGGCATCGTTACAGTAGAATATGAACAAACGAAAAACAAAATTGGTGAGATTTGATCATGTTAGTGCTCGACCCAATACGAAAGGGACAACGGATAAAAGGAAAAGCATAATCTTTCACCCATCCAAGGGTCACAATGGCTATGTCAAGCAACGAGAAGCGCGCATTAGAGAGGACAAAATGCCGAGAAGCTTTGGCGGCGCACATCCGTGAGTCCCTGGTTTAGTCCGATTCCACTGGGAAAACTGACAATCCCCAGGTTTGCGACTTGGTCTCGTCGTGGCTCCCAATCAGGTCCGTCTCCAACCACGAGCCGAGGACGGATACGCCTGGTCTGTGACCGAGCCCAACAGGCATCTGTTGCAGTCAAGCCTCAGTGGTGGAAACGTCCGCCTGTACCGATCAATATGCGATGAACTCGGCCGGTCGCTCGAGGCTGTTACGCCGGAGACCTTACAGACTTCTCCTTCCAACCAGGAAACCAATGCAGAGGAGGTGAGAGAAAATTATCCTTGGGACCCTGCTTGTGCTTATACTTCCAAAACAGCCGCCGCGTGCGGATGATCGGGGAACTGTATCGTTTACTGCGCAGATCCGCGATTTGGAATCTGCAAATCGCGATCTGGCGGTTGAGCTTGATCGGGCCCGCGGCCGTCTACAGGAGTCAGTGAGCGAGTGCCGTCATTTGAAAATCGAAACCGCTCGGCTTCAGGGTCAACTCCAGGCCAGTGATTCCCGGGCAAGAGACCTTGAGGTCGAGTTAGCTCGTGTGAGAGCAGGAGTATCCGAAGCGATGCAGGTCTTATCACGAGGGAAAAGCGAGTCCGATCAACCAGACCCCGATGCCTGAGGATCAGAGAGGACCGACGCGGGGTGATCGCGGTACGGATTCCAAGACCGACGTAGCGTGGCGCGCCAAGGTTATCTCCCGATTGCCGGATCACGCCGAGCAGGACGACTTGTTGTGGATGATGTTCTGGCCGTCATGGAGAGGAGACATTCCGCACTTCCTCGGTTCAATTAGCATTGCGAATGAAGACGTCGCTCTTGACGAACAAAGTGTCACTATTCGCAAACACAATCGATGTAGTTGGCATTTTGCATGGCCCGAAGTGGTTGGTTCGTCATGTGGTTTTGTCGCCAATCAAAGACACTTGGGTGGAGTGTCTGGGTTGAACCCCCTGCCGCCAGGGGTTGAACCCCACGGGTAGGGAACAGCATTTGGTATCAGCTCAACCGCGCCGATCGCCGGGAGCAACGCGTTATGTCGCATATTTTTAGAGCTAGTATATTCAACTGATCTCATAGCGAACCTCTGGTCACGAATGAGTCACCTTGATGGATAGAATGGTGATTTTGAATGATAGCTTTGAGTTTCTGGTGATAGTATCGTAATATATATATAGACGCTGCACTCTTTCTATGTTTCATGGATACACGCAACAACTCCACAGCGAAGATAGAACAGAAAATGTCGTATATACAATTCAAGCCTCAGCATTAATGCAGCTCACCATACAAAGAGAAACAACAAAATGAAAAAGCAAGCGGCGTCTGATGTAATTCACAAACAGTTCAAGTGCTGGTGTTCTGCCGCCTGACCGCCCGCCTCACTCCAAAGGTCCAGATCAAATCAGCACCACAATCCCATATTCGCGTGAACAGACCGTGCGCGGAACAGACCGTGCGCGGAACAGCGTCTCAGCACAGATGTGCAGCCAGCTACGAGCGGTCGAGAATTTCCACTCTGTGATAAGCAGTCTTGTTGGCTACCTCCACGAGCATCTTCAGACCCCCCGGGGTTACCAATTTTTTCCAATGTTTGTTCTATCCGATCAGCCATGACCGCCAAGTCATCGGTAGCGGAACTCACCTGTAGCAACTCCTCCAACGACAGGTTCTTCAAGTCTCGGGATAGACTCTTGGCCTCCCCACTCCATGGATATGAGGGCAGGGTCTTTCCAATTATCTTCTCGACAATCTCGGCTAACGCGAATAGCTTCAACGTGGCGGCGTTCATCTCGGCCTTGCTAAGTTCGCAACTGTACTCCACCCCGGCTGTGCGATGACCATCATCAGCATCATGGACTCGACTGCGGCTTCCACGAAACCTGCGTGATTCCCTCCCACCTACCAATCTTGACCTCACCGGATTCCGAAAGCAGTATGGTGTCAGCGTTCAACGCCGCGAGCGCCCTGCCGCATCCGCGCAGGTATTGGATGCCTTCGAGAACCTGTGTCGTGTGAGCCAAGGACGTGTTTCACCAGCACACCCAGCACCTACCGGCCAGATGATCGCTGCAAGCTCGCTCTCCGTGACCGGACACTTCAACGCCAATAGTTGACTGACAGAAAGCTCCAGCGGCTCCCAAACGAGGAACACGTGATTTTCATGGAGAAAACATTCTTTGAGACTTGGGAAGCTTGGATGGGTGATCCGACTCATAAAGTCTAGCATCGGTTTGATCGTTGTACGTGTTTGTTGGAGCTTCTCCACGTTGACTAGCTCTGCATTGTTCTCCCGACGCCGCGCGAGTATCACCTCTCGACTCAGAAATATCTGCATAATAGCCTCGTGCGTCCGCCAAGGATCCTCGTTGATTTGTGGGACTGCAGGCCGCCCTCTATTCATCAATCTCAAGGGCTCCGGTGAAAGTTTTGTGTGGGATATCGGAGCATCCGAAAGTTCACGGGATGGTAAGGTGGGACCGGACGAAATTCCTAGGTTGTCCCAATTTGGCGATTCGGCGAGCATCATGGTCGACGGGCGATGTTGGGAATCCATCTCCGACAGCGGAAGATTGAGTGAAGAAAGGGAGGTGAATATTGTATGCAGACAACAATCGAAATCGAGCTCCCTGAAGCCCCGAAGATTTCTACGATTAAGAGAGTTGATTAGCAGGGGGACTTTATCTATAATGAACGCTTTTGGGTTGGCATTTGGAGTGCAAACACTAGTTGCTGTGATTTCAATATTCTGACTGATTTGTTGGCCATGGTGGCTTGGCGTCTTTCGTCAAAAGCCCACGTGGCCTACAATAAACACCTCAAGAAACCACCGTCCAAGTCGACTGTTGAATAACCGTCTCCGTGGCATGACACCTGCCTCGAAGACGCAGCTTCCTGGCAAATGTTTGCATGGGTCTCTCCGGGTAGGGCAGTGCTGTCATGATGGACGACCGCCTCGTCGAAGGTGCCCGGTTTACTTGAGCCAAGTTCCGGACATGTGCCGGATGGGCGTCGGTCTGTTGCTACGATCCGCCCGGCGGTGTCAGGCGCAAATCACCTACGGCTCGTAACGATCAGGAGCCCGTGTCGTTCTATCCGATCGACGCAGTGGTGGCGGATTTGAGGGTGCAGAGGTCGTAGGGAGACGTGGATATCCTACGTGCTCTGACCCTTGACGCACCCTGTGGGGACTTGCTCGGGCGGCAGTTGTCGACGCTCCTGCCGGTGCAGGAGAGATCTCGGCAGGAGGCGTGATGGGAACGGGCGGTCGCTGGTTGTCACGTCTCGTGGTTGACCAATTCAAATGGTCTGCCACCGAGGCCAGCTCTTGTCGTTGAGCCCGTAGAGCCCTCGCTGTTGGCGTGTCATAGTATACATAAAATGGTCCGTCGTATTCACTGCTCGCTTAGTTAGCCATTGCACCCCAAAAACTAGGAAAGAGACGATAAACGCACCATGTTATGCAGGAGGGCCCTCGTCCGGACCAGCGAGACCGAAGCCACAACGACATACACCCTAAATGCACTTGAGAGGTGCACCTTCCACACTTCAAGACGACGGGCTCAGTCTGGTCTTCCCCACGACAGATTCCACAGCTCTCGTCTCCTAAACTGGATGATGAATTGGAACTTCGCAGGCGAAGACAAACTTCTCCTCCGTCCTCTCTTTCGATAGGCAAAACGGCTGGATGGGCCACCGAAACATCCCAGGGGGCCCGATTCTCTCGCAAAGCAGCCTCAGTCAGTCTTCGACCAGAGAACTGGGATGACTCCGCAGGTCTAGTATCGGCTGTTGGCAGGGCAGGGTCAGGCCTGCCGGATGATACTGGAGGACTCGGTCTTGTGTGCTGCACATGAAGGTGAGCCTCTGATGATAGCGCCTGTTCCCCGCTAGCAGGTGGTCGTGGTGTATACGCCTGAGCTTGGTTGCGGATGGCGGCTGATTCCCACCGCTCTCGGACATCGTTAGCCTGAAGTCGACGATGCCACCGAGCACAAAGGAAATGAGGGACGATATCATGGAGCCTGTCTTGAAGGACGGAGAGATCAAACGGATGGCATGCAAGAGCATTCAACTTCTTGACACCTGCTTTGTGGACGTCCTCTGTTACGTAGAGTTTGCAAGGTTCTCCTCGCTTGGTAAGACCACAGCATGTCCTGTTTTCTTTGGCCGGTGCACCACAGATCGCGAACGCGTCCCATAGGAGTGGAGATTGAGGCATTATGACAGCTAGGTGAATAGAATGTGTGAGTACGAAAAGGCGGCAAGATAGAGTGTCGTGTACAACGTTGATGAAACAAAAACCGGAGTTGAACTTGAGCCACAACCAGGCATTTTATAGTTCTTGCTTTTGATAACGCACGGTAGTATTGGGAAGTTGACCGAGTTGAACTTCTGCTGCCCTGGTTCCCGGTATCAATGGTGGTAGTTCCCAGTGTCAATGATGGCAGGTCCCAGGATGAGCAGTGCTCCCAGGAGCGTACCATGAGACCTCTGGGAGTCACCAAAGCCGCCCCCCGGAACGGAATCATATACTCCAGGAGCCACCGGTCCCCGCTAAGCAGCCGTGCATTTACCCTGAGCCCTGTCAGGTTATCGAATGTAAAGCCCCCCTGCATATCAATTGAGGTGAGAGATTATCTTCGTTTTGTATATATATGGGGACGCATGCTCTGCCAAATGCTTTTGATATCTCTTATAGGCCTCCATCTTTATTTGCCGGCCATGACTATCAGTTCAGACAACGTCCTTCAGCTCTTGGGCTAAGTGATCGGTGATCCCTTGCACCGGGAAGATTGTATCTGGGTGGGAGACAATAGAAAACGATGTCGAAACGCTGTACCGAAATCATCCCGAGTGGAGGGAGCATCATGCCTGCAGGCGCTTCAAGATCTCTCTTTGAACTACTCAACGACGCAGAAGCTTGCCTTAGTGGGGAAGTTCTTGCTCTGCTCGAAGTGCAGACGCCACCGCTGCCGACCTAGGCAGTGGGCTGAAAGCTTGATACATACGTTGGGTATGCAAGCCGATCAAGCCGACAATGTCGCCGCTCTCAATCCAGAGAACCATGCAGGAGCCTTACAGCGAGGGCAGTGGCATTCTAAGCGCCCTTTTGGGATTGACACAAGCAGCTGGCTGTGATTAAGTCTGTCTACGCCATGACCATGTCTTCAGGAGAGGAGGAACGATGCGGATCTTGCCCCGACCGGGACACGGAAGGAGGCCGGCCTAAGAGCAAAAGTGTATAGACCACACCTGTGAAACGCTACGGATCGTGGCGTGCCTCTATTATGAGCAAAAATTATTCAGTTCCGACAACCCTCAGGTGCCTCGAATATCTCAAATCAAGCCATGAAAAGCTGCATTTACAACGTGAACTGGCTAGCGACCTGACTAACGGTTCTTTATCACGACTCATGTGCGCACCAAATAAAAACGGTCCCAGCCACGAAAACATCATATGATGCGTTCCGCTCCCTTTATGGCTGACGATTCATTCTCTCCGGTCCCTCGACATGCTTCTGTGTTGACGTCAGCTGATCATGGATCCGGGAGAGGCTGTCCATGGCGACTTGCGGACCGTTCCGGGAATGCCTTCCTCAAACTGCTCGTCATTTCCACCAAGGGATGCTTCTGGCGATGGGGCAGCTGATCGCCGAACGCGTTCCCACTCGAAAGGATCCCCGAGGGCACTCGAATCGGAACGGGCCCGGCTTATACTCGGTCGATGTTCCTCCAGGACACGGTGCAGCTTCTGCGTGAGCTTTTGGATATGACAAAGGGACTTTTGGTGCTTCATACTGTACGGCCCTGCAATAGAAGTGATATGGGAATGTTGGAGATTGATCTGATTGGGGATGAGAGAATGTATAATAACATGGTCATTGGAGCCTCGTAGGAAGCACGCCTACTTATATCACGTTAATTGGATACATCTTATTTGCTTTAGTCTAGGTAAAGTACAACAGTGGCTGAAAACCACCAGGAGCTGTACGGTTCAGCTGTTGAGCCCACAAGGATAATCATATGCCCGTCAGCGCGCTGGTTACCACCACGCATCAACTATCCGTTTCCGCAGCACTCGCGCCCGTGGCGGCCGAGTTCTCGTGAATACTGCCGCTCTCACTCTCTGGCTCCCGCTTTTCGACTTCTTTCAACACCGCATCAAGTATTGCGTTCGCAGACTCCCGGTCTTGACCATTCCCGTTGGCTCGGCGTTCCCCCAGCATATGGTCTACCAATCTCAGAGTGAGATCGTAAAAGATCTCCGCCAGCCTGGAAACTTGGTCTAGCTCATCGGTGGCTTGTTTCAAAGCCGCCTGAGTAGCTCTGTGCTCTTGCTCAAGTTTCGCGTGAATTCGCTCCGTCCGGAGTGCTCGGGCGTCAAGTCTGGTGATGGTGCGGAGAAGCTCCTGGCTCTTTGTTAGAGATCATGCTTCCCGGGCTGAGGCCAACGTACCGAAACGTCCATCCCAAAATACGAAGGTCCGGGACTGGGCCGGCGCTGTTCGGTGCATGAGGGTTCCATTTTTTGTCGTGTTATACTAGAGCTAGTATTGGTAGACGAGATATTTGCCTGTATGTTGTGTCAGAGCTGTGTAATCAGAGGTGTCAGTAGCCACGACACTCTTTTTATAAGGCTTCTCTGCGACTGCGACCATCTAATGGCCGGGATATTCTCGTTTGGGAAGCCCTTAGGGGCTGCTGAGTCTCCAAGGGAAGCCAAGCTCAGATGCTGAAATTATAAACGTTGGGAATGCCGTGAGCGCCGGGGTTGCCCGGTCGAATGTAACCGGTATCAACACCCGACGTTGTTCTCCGTCATAACCATAACCGAACGATCTGAGTGCCACGGCTAGCGAGCCCTCGATGCAAAGCATTGGGATAAATACTTGAATTCCAGAAGAAATTCTGGGCATTTGGAATGATTGTTACAGTATCAAATAGCACGGCGTTAAAGTATTTTTTAGAAATGCTCTATGCTAATGCTCTTAGCTGTCAGCAATGCACCAACTTAGATAGTCAAACCGATGTACAGCAGACAATATGTGGCTTCTTGGGGGTTTCCCTACAACTGTCAGGTTTATTCGAGCTCCCAAACGTAGCAGCTATCCAAACATCTGTTGTGCCGCCGAGAGCCTGGAGGTTGTATAATGGATGTGGCTACGATGGCGGGGCTCTTGATAAAGGACATCATCCTGTCGGCTGGTTGCACCCACACATGGGATAAGATAAATCAGCGGCCGCCCGCCGCTAGAGGTCCAAGGCAGAAAATCCTGCTTTGATCCCGCTTCCCTTTCCACTAGTATCTCAAAGATCAAACGGTGATCGAAAAGGCTGCATCCTGGCTTGCAAATGATCGTGAGCCGTCTTTGGATATTTTCTTTGTCGAGTGAATTCTGTGCCGACACTGCCAATATTAGCACAATGATCGAAGAGAAAAGGAATTCAATCACCGCAGACATCTCGCGATCAGAAATCTCGCGAATACGCGAGGGTATATCAGAGCCGTGTCTTTAGTCAAGCTAGTTGAGACTTGGAGCTCACAACGATAGCAGCTGTTCGTTATGCTACTCCCGTGACCTCCTGCTGGCATGCTTCAATCCACTCGTAGCGGCGAGCAGCCGGTTCTCACCCAGCACGCCCCGAAGAGGGTATCCCACCGTAAACGGAGTTGCCTTCACCGGTGCGGCCCATGCCAAAGAGTCATACGTTCGAGGGGTTGAGGGCAAACGGCGGCTTGGTGAAGCGAAACCGGAAGTTTGGGGCATACCAGAGAAAGCTGGGAAGACCGGCCCTCACCGCAGGTGAAGAATTTTCCCACTTGTAACGCAATCTCCGATGCTTGGTCCTGAGGCGACATTGAACGGTCTTTTTTTGATTACAACAAAGAAATCTGGTTCGACGGGGACACTAGTGAAATTTTTGTATGTCGCAAATTACAGAGCAGCCCCGCCAATCAATTAATCCTGAAGGACGAATTTTCCAAAATACGAGCAACCAATCATAAATTTTGAAAGTCGATTGATAGATATATTCCTGTTTCCATCGGGCCTAGACCTTTTTCGAAGTAGGCCTTCTGCGCAACATGACCCGACCAAACTTCCACCAGTAGGTCGTCCGGGTCACCGTACCGACCCGCACTGAGCCATAGGCCCGACTTAGGATCAGCCGAGGGCGTACCAAGGCGGAATAAGTACATTTCTAAATGGGAATATTCAAAGCCAGATATGGCACCCCGTCACGATACCCAAACAGGCTCACCTGTACTGAGGAGCTGATCAACCCAGGTATTTGTCATCATCGCCTCACGATGTGGGCAAGTACCCGCGCTTCGAGGTTGCAACCGTCTACCTCGTGATGTTTTCGTGACAAATTCCATGAGCAGGGTAACCGAGGCGAGAAAGGTGATGGTCCGGAGCAGGCCGGGAGCCAGACAGCCTGTTCTGTTGATGCAAAGATAGTTGGAGGACCCAAAGGTGCTCTATTTACCCACCTTTCATATCACGACGACCTTTCTGCCCGCTGAGAGACCGGTGAGGAATCAACGCGCAAGGAGCCCAGGATGTTTCCAAGCCCCCTATTTAACTGGTCAAGTGGTGAGTAACCACCCCTCACATTACCACCACTGAATCGTAAATGTGGAATCTCGTTCCCTTTGCATCTCTGGTGGAAACCGTTGGCCCCGTTGGTCCCATCGCTGGTCGGTGCGGCGGGCTACTCGATCCGCTAAACTCAATCTTGGCGTGGACATAAAACGCCGGCGCGCGATGGGATTAACGTGTGTTGAACATGGACATGCGCTACTGTTTTTCGACGATCTTTGGTCACTATAAAACTCCGAAGTGACCACCAGATTTCGTTTTTCCTCTTGATTCTCTCCAGTCCCCTGTAGGTGAGCTCCGTTGAAGCTACTACCAGATCGGCGGCCTTTTCCAACATGGCCAAAGCCCCACCGTCCTCTCGCAGTCCAATGACCAAGGAGTCCACGAAGCTTCTCTCGAAGTCTGATACAGGCGGTGTTTCTCGCCATGCAACGCGTCCTACCACTGCTGGACCTGGTACCGGATCTCAGACCACCAGCCGCGTCGTGAAATCGCGTTCAACTCAGGTATATTGTCCTTCGGTCCGTTCCCAGGCATGCGAGAGACCAGAAGCGGTTGGGCTGACAAGGTCCAGACTTCCTCGTCGCCAGTCGCAACAATGTCTTCAAAAGCCCAAGAGAAAAAGGATATTCGACAAGCATGCGATGAGATCCTAAAGACAGCGGAAGAAGATATTGAGCGACTGAACAAAGAAATTAAACGGCTTAACGAGGAGAAGGACAAACAGACACGCTACTATACCCGGGTAGTACATCGGCTCAATGCCGACAAAGCCCGTGAGGCTGACCAACTCCGCGAATCTACTGCAAAGCTGGAGCGTGCCATTTCTACGAGCCAGAAACTCGAGAACGAGGTTTCTCAGCTTAGGCGGGAGCTTCGCGACGCCCAGATCAACACCCCGGAGGTTGTTGCTTGGGTCGAGGTCCAGCCGATCCTGGATCAAATACGAGGCTTTATATCGACCGGTAACACCACATGGAATGAGATCCAAGCTTTGGAGAACAGACATATGAGAAAACAATTACCGGGAGATGCAGTGATTCAGGAGCCGTGGTCGAACACCAATGTACAGTTCGGGATGTTAGACCCGACTTCTCTGTCAAGCTTTCCAGTTCAAAACAACTTTGCGCTGAACGCTCACCAAGTCCCACCGCTCCCCGGCCAGTATGCGTCTTTGTCCTGAGCAGGAGCCCGATTGTCTACCGAAGGAGCTGCGCAGCGGCGGGATTGGCGCCCAATGTCGTTGGATATGACTATCTGGTAGTATCTAAAAATCAATCTGAGAGGAGATGCCCCGATTCAAGTTCCTTTGAGACTGTTCGACTCGATCTCGAGTTTGTAGACAGAGGGTGTAGATACACGAATGCAAGATGTCGTCCGGGTGTAGGACTCAAACTGGATCAGATAAATCTACCGATTCAAGGCTCTGTCCGCAGCACAGGCCCCAGGGGCACGTTGGAGATCACTGCGGACTTTGTCGATCGCCGTGGTTGCGGCCTAGAGGGCCTCGCCTTTCCCGCACCCCTCAACTTCAATCTCCTTTCCCCTGGCCCGCTCCTGACCCGCTCATTCCTTGCCCTGAGTGGATCAGGATCACCCTTGGCGTGGAGGGACGCTGCGGCCGCGACATTCGATATCTAATATATGACACGGGCCGGCCTCATCGTCAGAGTAGACTCCCTGTTGTCGAGTTCAAATCAAAGAGTAAAGCGGTGCGCCACCGGGCGAAGGCACATTGCACACGGGGTGACTGGCCGCATATTGGCTTCTGGACCAGGAGATCAGATCACAGGACGCCAAGACACCGTAATACCACTTGCATCGAACTCGCAAACTCTATTATCGGGTACCGCTCCAAACATGGCCCCGGCTTTGCAGATCCCGGGCCGACGCAACGCTCATCTGGCGTATCCAGAGTATGACTAGCAACGGGCTACACCGACGGCCGCGACCGCGTCTCGTCTTTGGACGCAATTTCCGCTGATCCTTTCTACAAGCTGAGGCGACTATTAGACCATGTAGGATGAGATGTGAATAAATGCCTCTGTGGGCACAGCTTGCCCTGGCAGAGCATCGAAGACTGCGTCGCCAGATTCGGAAAGCCTGATAGAACAGGGACTAGAGCTGGCTGGAAGCATGCGGCCTACGGTCCGGCTGTACGGCCCGTATTTCATACATTGATCTGCGATTTGGGTGGCCCCACTTGGGGGCTGGTGCCCAGAGCGAGGACATGCCTGTTTTCTGTCACAACGGAGCCCTCCGTCTCGTAAAGAAAATCCTTCCCGAAGTCTCTGCGGTCGTTCCCGACATGTATTACAGACCCTGCGAGGAACTTTCTGAATATATCCTAGCCCTAGTGATAGCGCGAGGCGCTTACGGTTCGGGACCTCGTATACCCCTGTCAAGAGGAGGAGCTTGGTGGGCGTCTTAAACTTTCGTCGATCTCGATGCTCACGCTGAATGGTCCGGAAGGAACGGGAGCCTGGTGATCGACGGCATTTGACTAGAATAAGTAGGAGTCTCTTCAAGGCACGAGAACACCGGAGCAAACCAGAAGCTCGGCTTGCTTCTTCCAAGGATCTGCGCCCCACCGGCATCATGTTTAGATCCGCGAGATCCCCCCACCACGTCGGCCAACTAATAAACGATCTTAACTTGACTTACCGAGGCCGAGTTTGCAGTCATAATAATGAGCATGGTAATGAATTGAAATTCTCCAGGGGTTCTAGATCCTAGGTGGGAACGGGATACACGAGAAAATTACACCGGCGCATCTTACTGAACGCCTGGTGGAGTGAGGCTCATCGAACGGGTCTGGCCCTCGGAGCCAATCAAACGAGAGCGGGAAGGCAGTCCAAGCGAACGTGATCTACCGGGCATGCGGCACTGTCCGGCCAGAAATACCGTTTCGGAAACGGAGCACGTGCACAAAAGTCCGATCGGACAGAGCGACGATCCCTGCGACCGAGTGGCATCGATACCTCGGCACTGGAAGGCATAATCTACTATCCGCGAGGAAGGCAAAGGAGGTCACTATATACTTTCACGATCTTTTGGCGGCTTTCGAGTTTGTGTGCTCCACGTAATAACCGGCCGTGATAATTGGCTGATTTGATCAAATCTACCTCTTCACCTCCTCGAAACTGAGAACTAGTCTACACTTCAAGGCATCTGACGCTTGAGAGACGATTGCTTGCGACCCCTCTTCGGGTTGACTTTGCCCGTGCCCTCTCCGGACTCGTCTGTCTTTCCTTCCAGAACCGCCACTCTGCTCATCAAGTCTGCCAGAGCGGTCTCAGCTTCTGTAAGCTTCTTCTCAACCTCAGCCAGTCGAAACCGTTGACTGTCCACGCTGGACTGCATCTCAGCGTTCCAGCTTTTCTGGCCGCTGCAGCGTTCTTCCGTAATTCTGTCCGAGGACCACTGTTAGAAATGTTCGTCCTTGCAAACCAATCCAGAGGGAGCAGCTCATCATACTTCACTCGAATATTCAAGCTAGATGGATGTCAGCAGACAGGTAAAAAAAGGAACGGCGATAAGTCACTTACTCGTGACACGCACTAAGAGCTAGCGCGCTTGGATCTTCTGCAGGTCCAGAGACGGATTGGACATTCACTTGCTGATCCTCTTCGATAACATTTTCCGTGTCCATCATTTGCGCCGCCCAATCTTCATCAGCTTCAACATCGCTCTCATTTGCCAGCGGCGCCTCGCCTTCGGCTGGGTCATTCTCAAAAGGAACCAGATCGTCACCATGTATAGAATCTACAACCGACCCGGGCGGGCTTGATGCACAATCGGACTCAGGGGTACCTGACTTCAGCATCTGCTCCAGCTGGAGCCGAAGGCTTAGCCGTTCGTTGCCAAGAGGCGACCAAATATCAGACATTTTGTTTTGCAGCCCAAGTCAAAGGACAAAACTGGAATCAAAGGATGACGAATGACGACAGAAGACGGAAGAGGCCTTGTGGAAGGGGCATTTTCTTTTCTTTTATACAGCCATGGTGGTAGGGATTTTCTAATAATGCGGAAAATTGGCCATCGAATGTATTGTTCTACTGTACAGCCCTGCCGCGTATTGTTCTAGCCAAGAGTCGACCGCGGAGGCGGAAAGAGGAAATTAAATGAATCAATAAGAAATCAAAAAGAGACTAGGGGATACTGTACTGCGTCTAACCTGGAAGCTCAATGCTTTCCCTACTAGTGTGATCCACCCAGGAAACGAAAAAAGCGAAGGGTTCCGTTGAGGGGCGTAATGCCCCAAGCGGAGCCGTTGGAGAAAGAGGTGGGAGTGTTTCCTAGACAGTGATATACCTCAAGAAAAACAACAAAAGACGTGACATGACCGGATCATTTGCCTTGGATGCTATGCCGGTCCGATTCTTCACGAAGAACCTGTAGGGCTAGGAGTGTAGATTTATGCCTCTCCTCGAGAATATGGCGGGGTCTTGGCTTTCTTAAACATTTTTGCCCCTGCGGCATGTAAATGCGCTAAAGTGGTGGGTGGGCCCGAGCATGGAAGTGAAAACCGTGTCGAGCGCCTCCGAAGTATCAACGTTTAAACGTTACGTTGCGGAAAGCCATCACTGGCTTAAGTCTGCGTGGGGTCGCTGGGTTTGCTTGCTCACGCCCATGGAATATGTGGGGAGATTTCAGCTAGTTCCTTTTCCGGTCGTATTTTAGTAACCGTTTAGAAATAATAATGGTGATGCGACGGATCGGACTTGTGCCCATTTACATATCCGGTATCCCTCGAAGTCCAACCGTTGCACCTCTACATAATTACTGTCTTTTTCCTCCTGGTGTTGCTTCTCTGTTTATCGCCCTGCTTCTACCTTCACCACTTTGCCCCTCTCGCGCGTTCTGTTCTCTCGATATAATGCCTCGTGGTAACGCAATCGGCTGGTCCCAGTCGGAAGCGGATAATCTCTTGCCATGGTTATCCCGGCATCGGGGATTGTCATGGGAGGCCAGATCAAGAGCATACTTTCGACAATATCGCGTGTTCCGAACAGTCGAATCTCTGCGAGGCAAAAAGTACCAGATTCTGCGCAAGCAGCTCGAGCGACAAAGACCGCCTGTCCTGTACGGTACCAAGAGATATCGGAGACAGTATCGGCTTCGGAGAGAGCCTCACGAGCTATCTGAGTCTCCCCCGATTCTCAGGCTAGGGGATTCCGATCCGGAGCTGTGGAAGAGAGTCCAGAGGTTACGGATCTCGCTTGGGGCCTGTTCTGTCGGCTCATCACGGTCTACGGACTCGCATCATGGTAAGGCAGTGGAGTTCTTCCCTCAAAGCCCGTGCCTTGAGCTCACAGTTTCACCAGCATCCCCTATGCAAGCTCTACTTACCTTTTACTCCGAACGAGCAGCACCGGTCCCGTCCGTCTGGGAGTATGTACACCGCCGTGTCTCGGTCGCGGGAGAAAAATAGACGTTGGCTTGACGAGTTGGATCAAATGGTGATTGTTGTTGTGTACTATCTTTGCCCTTCTGTACAATAGAATTCGCCTCTGAGAGTCGCCATTGACCTTGCTCTGTGATCGAGATTTATCCGTACCAATCTAGTCCGCGATCAAGCCTTCCGGCGCTGCGTCTCGTTTTCCTTGCTCGGACCTGTTCTGCACATCAACAATTAGATACGTTTCTCTTGTCAATCTTGTCACGAACCTGGTGACAGCTGCCTCGCCTGAGAACGTTTGGGTGCTCTCGCTTCTTTGAGAAGGCCGTGAAACGTGGGTAAGACACTGGTAAGACGGCGGACATTTTGCAACCGGAAAAAAGGATACTGCTGCCGTGACGGCAGACCTTCGGCTCGAGAGCGGCTGTTGCTGACGGCGTTGGTCTTCCATTGGGGATTTCGAGCTTGCGGATGAGTTGCTGCAGAGATTGAGGAAGGAATGAACGGAGCGTGAACGCTTAGGCCGTCGAGAAAGCTTGAGCCCGGTGCCGAGCTGAGCTCTCCGGGGGTGATTCAAACCGTTCCGACTATGCCTTCGGCCCGTTAGGTGACGACTTCCTTAACCTCTTCAATACATTACAATCTGGAATTCCGTGGTAGATGCTCCACAGAAATTGGGGGCCAAAAGCAACGATAGCCTCTCTAAATCATTTCTCGTGAACATAGCCCTTTTTGCTCTCTGCCATGGCACATGAATGGCCCACAGGGCAATTATATGGTGGCTTAACACTAATTTAGTCGTAAAATATTCATTCTGAGTTTCTGAAATGCGAGTTCAAGTAGCAATGTTTTAGATACGCAGACCGCGATTCCGACCCATGGTTCAAGCAAGCGTGCCGCCCCCCGCTAGTGACTAGCGCGCGCTCAACTGCCTCTTTGGCCATGATCACCCCCCGAGTGGATCTCTCGACTGGCTTACTGAATGCCCAGGCCTTGGAAACGTTGAAAACCACCCATTACACCCATTTTGGTACGCGTGACTCGTGGAAAGGGGGTAGGGACAGAACGAGGTGGTATCCATCCTGAGTAGCTCTCATCATTTGCCGTTCTATCTGCACGTGCTCCGACCCTCGGAGCCTCCAAGCCTCCAAGCCGCGACGCATTGCTTTTTCTAGCCAGAGCCGAAACAATAGCGGGTCGGGGTTGCCCGCCAATGGAGGCGTTGATACCCGGTGGTATACTGCATACTGTGCGGAGGGAACTGACGCGCTTTCACTTGAATCGGGCAACTTCATTTTCTTGGTCAAGGTAAGGGGGAATCTAGCTTTCCTCCGGTAGAAGCCTTTTTCTCCTGTCGCTTTTCTCCGATCGAGGTCTTCTTCTCTGCTTGCGCGCTGGGTGACGTTGAGTCGTGGATTCACCCTTTGCCTTGCACATCTGGTCTAACCGAGCGTTCATCGCCGCCAGCATCTCCTTAACCTCCTTGATCGCTTCCTTGAGCTCTGAGACAGTGGTCCGATCGTCCGTGCGCTCTTGTCCGAGGGTTATCACATTATTTTCAATCGTCCTGAAAATACCATCAGCTTTACAGATCCCGCGGAACCATAACGTCGTGCAATGCAGAGACACTCTGCGAAAACATTTCTGCAACTTCCGAACATGTATCAGAGAGTCTCACCTCACTCGCGTGCATAGTCTGACAGAGAGTCATTAAAATAATAGTCATAAAATCAATTGCATGTGCGACGAAGTCTTACTGTTGCAATGATTCCGACATTGAGGATCGGTAGCCTGTGGATGAAATGCCAGATGCTGTCTCCCATCTCATGTCAGTTGACTTTCTTCCGGCCGAATGCTTGGATGTCCATTACCTCTTCTCCTGGTTGATCGGCTGCCAGATTCTGAGCCAACCGAGTCGGTTGAAAGCGGTTGCCCCGGGCACTCCTGCCGATGGGATGCAGTGTCGGCCGGCTCTTCGCGCTCTCCCAATAGCCTCGATAATTCGGCTCTATATCTGCCCGGTTGGTGCAAGGGGCTTGTGGTCATAATTTAAAATAGAAGTTTAGAGAGGTGTTGCGGACTCTTCCGATGTTTTCCCATTTATACGGTTATGGGGCGTGTGATTACGTTACACCAGATCCCGCAGTGGTCGGTGAACACCGGCCACCCGTTTTATGATTCTCTTCTGACCAACGTCGACCCAACGCCAGATAAGGTAACCTTTGTTTGGTATGCTTATGGTCTGTTGCAAGATACACTGCATCCTCACAGGACTAATTCGGTGGTGTCCGGCCTGGTTACTAAGTATTGTGCCGCTTAGAGTAGCGTTATAAACGGTTAACAGTGGAGTGGAAACCGAATTGCCTTATGAAAAAGGTACAAACGTAATGGCTCGCGGTTTTCGGACGAGCTATGACGTTGTCATCGGCTTGAGAGGCTGGTACTGCGCACATGGGTTTTACGAGGCGCCGTAGTTGTGGGTGATAAATAGCAGAGGCGTACCCGTTATTTCTCTCTTCATGCACTCGGATGCTACCATCTCAATGCTCCCCTCGCTGCGATGGGCCCTGCGAGTTGTATCCTGTGCCTTTACCCCCGTAGCGCTGAGCTCCTACGGGGCGTATTCTGCTCGCCACTCGCTGCGATGGGCCCCGCGAGTTGTATCCTGTGCCTTTACCCCCGTAGCGCTGAGCTCCTACGGGGCGTATTCTGCTCGCCACTCGCTGCGATGGGCCCCGCGAGTTGTATCCTGTGCCTTTACCCCCGTAGCGCTGAGCTCCTACGGGGCGTATTCTGCTCGCCACTCGCTGCGATGGGCCCCGCGAGTTGTATCCTGTGCCTTTACCCCCGTAGCGTTGAGCTCCTACGGGGCGTATTCTGCTCGCCACTCGCTGCGATGGGCCCCGCGAGTTGTATCCTGTGCCTTTACCCCCGTAGCGTTGAGCTCCTACGGGGAGTATCCTGCTCCTCCCTCTTAGCGTTGAGCTGCTACGAGGCGTATTCTGCTCGCCACTCGCTGCGATGGGCCCCGCGAGTTGTATCCTGTGCCTCTACCCCCGTAGCGCTGAGCTCCTACGGGGCGTATCCTGCTCCTTCCCTCGTAGCGTTGAGCTGCTACGAGGCGTATCTTGCTCACCACTCGCTGCGATGGGCCCCGCGAGCTGTATCCTGTGCCTTTACCCCCGTAGCGCTGAGCTCCTACGGGGCGTATCCTGCTCCTCCCCCGTAGCGCTGAGCTCCTACGAGGCGTATCCTGCTCACCACTCGCTGCGATGGGCCCCGCGAGCTGTATCCTGTGCCTTTACCCCCGTAGCGCTGAGCTCCTACGGGGCGTATCCTGCTCCTCCCCCGTAGCGCTGAGCTCCTACGAGGCGTATCCTGCTCCTCCCTCGCTGCCTTGAGCCCAGCGCGGTGTATTTTGTGCTCCCTCTGGCGATGTGCAGGTACCTCTCCGTGGTGCTAGGGACCAGTACTCAACAATTCTATCCGAATATTTGAGGAAGCCAAGACCTGCATCGAATATTGTCTTCTTTGTTTACCACAAGTCTTTTCTCCAAGCTTGTCAATTCCGCACAGCGAGGCTAGACGCTTGATGATCTGTAGTTTCCCGAATTCTCTCTGTCTCATCCATGTAGTGTAGCTACAATGCCTCAACACCTGCGCTGTACATTACCGGCGGCTGCGTCAATGTCTACTTAAGCAATTCTCAAGAGGAACCCTCGCCAGGAGCGACTTGTAGATGCCTATGGAACGTACTACCAAGCTATGTAAGAAAACTATTAAGTTTCGGATAGAGATGATTGGAAGCTCTATTTTGTGTGATTTGAGCAAGAAGTAGCCATTTCTTTTCATTGAAAGAGCAAAGCAGCCTACAACCGCCTACAACCGCCTACAACTGCGAAAAAAGCGTTGTATGATAAACGTTTAAGAGTAAAAAAAAATTGAGAAGACAATTTGAGAAGAGTGGTTAAGAAGAGTGGTTAAGAAGAGTGGTTAAGAAGAGTGGTTAAGAAGAGTGGTTAAGAAGAGTGGTTAAGAAGAGTGGTTAAGAAGAGTGGTTAAGAAGAGTGGTTAAGAAGAGTGGTTAAGAAGAGTGGTTAAGAAGAGTGGTTAAGAAGAGTGGTTAAGAAGAGTGGTTAAGAAGAGTGGTTAAGAAGAGTGGTTAAGAAGAGTGGTTAAGAAGAGTGGTTAAGAAGAGTGGTTAAGAAGAGTGGTTAAGAAGAGTGGTTAAGAAGAGTGGTTAAGAAGAGTGGTTAAGAAGAGTGGTTAAGAAGAGTGGTTAAGAAGAGTGGTTAAGAAGAGTGGTTAAGAAGAGTGGTTAAGAAGAGTGGTTAAGAAGAGTGGTTAAGAAGAGTGGTTAAGAAGAGTGGTTAAGAAGAGTGGTTAAGAAGAGTGGTTAAGAAGAGTGGTTAAGAAGAGTGGTTAAGAAGAGTGGTTAAGAAGAGTGGCTAAGAAGAGTGGTTAAGAAGAGTAATTGAAGAAAGCGGTTAGGGAGAGTCGTGATCTTCTATTCACTAACGTTCTCCACATAATATTCCTAGTCACTATTGTTATCCCTCCACGAGAGTTATTGAGAAAAAGAGCCCGCTTTTTTATAACCGGTTCTCGCTATTTCCATTCGAGTCTTGAATCTTCACTGATTTCACAAACATGCGAGCTTTGGAAGGCAAAGAGCGCAGACCTTGACTTGAATTAGATCGTAAATACGCCACTACCATTTGGTTAAAGCTAAACCTACGTACGCGAGTCTGCCTGCTCAAGTTCCCTACTTTTAATCGTCCCTTCAATCTCTGGTAAGCAAGAATTGATTTTAATAGAGGAACGGCGACGTGGTCTAAAGTTAACATTAAGACTTAGAAATGGATGTCGAGGATTTCTGCGATCTAAGATAATAATGACTGTTGAAAAATCTGTTTATTGATCGTAATTAAGGGGGCGTCTCCAAATCCGAGTCCCAGACGTAATTGACGGTATATATTTGACGGCCGCATAAATGGACATGCTTCTGACAGCATGAAAATTTATGTACCCTCTCTAAACTGGTACAAGAAACTCAATTTCAAAATGAACCGTCGCTTTCTGGTTTCCTTTTTCCTTCGATCTTTTCGTGGATACCAATGCCTCGCAGAGGGTTACCGCACGTCCCCTTACAACGCGAACGCTGTTTCAGCAAAGAATGCGACTGTGAGTCAAAATATTGAGGACACATGAAATACACCGTCGTTCTAATAACAAAAAACAGCTTCAATCATTCTTGCAGGGGCCTTCGAGCGAAACGATGCGATCCTTGTTCCAAGGCTATCGTCCTACCTTCAAAGTACACCCCCTGGGGTGGGAAGTAGAGTCTCTTCTGCTGTTGAGCCCTTCACAGCAGATGTGCTATTATGATGGAAAGTTGTTTGGTGGATATCTGGCTTTCCTGATGGACCGCATCCTCGCAGATTGCTGTCGACCAGCATTCACGGCCAATCTCAACACATCATTTGTACGCCCTGTTCCGCCTACGGCGCCGATACGTCTCCGTGCGTGGCCCGATAAGGTTGAAGGCCGTAAGATTTATCTGAAAGGGTCTGTGCAGATTCAGGGAGAGAACTCTGATGAATGGCTTGATGCCATCCAGGCGGATGCTTTATTCATCAAGCCCAAGGTTTGATACAAATCGTGGCCTTTATGTGGTGGGGCTTTTCGAGTTTCTTCCAATAAAACGTTATGAATTTTTGAGAATTCAATATTGTTCCGTCCAGAGACCATTACCATATGTGCAATACATTAGAACGTGGGTACTATTTTTCTATGCCTCGGTGCAAACCTATTTTGGGAAGAGAGCCTTTAAATATGTTGTTTCTTCCAGTATCCTCTTTCAATCAAACGCTTCAGGAAGCCAGGCTTATAATGGACGAATGTAGTACTATTAACTATATAAGAAGGTTATAGAGCTGTACATGAGGCATTATAAACTTATCACTGTATTGCGGAAATATCAGAAATGAGGGGTGATCAAGCTAATTTACTATGTACCAGCTTCCGAATAGCCAATGAAAGATCGTGAGCTTTATGAAGAAGATATTAATGACTTAAGAGACTTAACAAAAGCGAGAAACCAAGTTGTGCTGTTCGATAGGACTACTGGTTTTTGGGCGGGCTGGCTCGCCATTGAACGATTTCGAGCGTAGAACCAAAATGCTGCAACAGAATAGATCTCTGAGACAAATCAACCAATTTGGACCATGCTTTTGAGGCCTATATTAGGTCTCTCTAGACCGCCTTTGCGCTCGAACCGGGACAAAAGCTCAATTTCTTTCGAGGTTGACGAAGGTGTGTCCTTGAATAACCGACTCAGAGGCAGGTCCTTTTTGACGTCAGAATATTCCAGAGAAGTCGCGAGTCTGGTTGCAGCTTACTGAGTTTTTGATAAGGGTTGAGTAGCTGAACCCGTCTTATGAAAACAATCCACGTCAGCATGGCTCTATCCTCCATGCTTAGTTGTATTGTCGTCAAAGCACTATGTAGCCTTCCTAAAGGGATTGGAATCCCGTGGCCTCCGCAGAATAGAAAGAACAAAACAAATTTGATTTCTAAAATATATTAGTACGTAGACAAATATTATCAGAGCAACTTACCATGGCTTTTTAGATTCCTTGGCTCTTGGTAGTTCACCGTTTTTGGCCACCAGCTCGGCTTATTAGTATATCTTTGCATTTTGCGCTTTCCCATCACATCTGCCCATTTAACTAGCATATAGCGGCAATTTATGGCTCTCAGAAGTCCAAAAACACCTTGATAGAGAGTCTCTAAAGTGTTTGCGTTGAAGCACATGGTTCGTGAGCGTACTTCCGACAGTACGGCAGATGTAGCGTGCTTTGCCACAATGTTGAGAACAGTGTGTTTGACTAGTGATTCCACACATAGGTCTGAGGCTGTAGGCTCCATAGTGTCAAAGTGTGAGAGCATGGGCTGTACTGGCATGATGTGCTCATCATCCTGGACCCATAGGTTACCAGAGTGTTGAGAAAATCGCAAGTAGTTGGCGTTCTTTGTAGATATTGGGATAGCGGCTGTTTTTGTCTTTAACAATGCATGAAAGCCAATGGTGAAAGGGTTTTTTGCTTCCAATGGCAACCCATAGTGAGAACCTGGCATTTCGCGCCAAGAGCAGAGTTGCATTTCTTCTTCATTCTGATTACACTTGAACTGTGTGTTTTGATAGAGCTCATGCGCCAATTGTGCTCCAGATACAGTCAGTTAAAAGTAAGAAAGGAGATGAGGGGTTTGGCCATACATGTTTCGATTTTTCTCCGCTTCGCCCAGTGAGAAGCCGGGGTTGATAGTTTACCGTTGGAGAAGCAACACATGCTCCACGTAAGATTAGGGTAGCATGATGCCGAATCTTGACTGACGACGTTCCGGTAATAAGGCATCTTGAAAAAGGTGGAAGCAAGTACCGTGTGCAAATGAAACGTTGTCAAATATCATGAGACGACGAAGAGTTGACCCGGACTATGAAGGTTAGGATAAAAGTCCGTAAAGCGATGTTGCTCGTCTGTACAGTCTTCGAAAGAACGAGCTGATCGCGACGATGAAAAAAGAGATTGGAGAATAAATCGTCCTTTAAAGGGGCTATCGGCTTTTTTAGAGCACAGCCGGAGCTATTTTTCTAGCCCGGTATGACGCTAGTAAGAGAGATGATCAGACGGTTTTAGAGACGAAACTGCAAGAAAGCGGGGCGAAAGGTCAAGGTGTCGTCCTTTCCTGAAAGGCTTAGTCTCAGAAAGCCAGGCTTTGCCAGAGGAGCTCTCATTCGCATGAACCATTGTGCTAAGGGCAGTCCAGACAAAAGCAGTACACGCGAGGTCACAACCTCGCATCACAATCTTTCAGGTTTTCTTCTTTGTGATACCGCAGCACATGTCATAAAACTAGCCAGTGAGAAGCAAAACCTGAGGCGACAGACTCCAGAATTTTCCTTAGTCCAAGCGAATGAGGCCCGCAACCAACCCTTAAGGATGTGTGCTGATTCCGTCCGCTATCGAAAGCCTGGAAGATGACCAAGTATAACTGCTTATATACACAATAGTCGCAAGCGATTCTGTTTCTCATTCCATTACCAGCTAATCGGGAAGAAATGATACGTTTGATTTCAGGTCGTCTTCGATAGCTTCCTTCTGTGATCAGTAATATTAATAAACAAGTATCATGGAAACATGTAGAGCGCCAGATAGACGTATGTCAAGTCATTTTTTACACAGAATCCTTATCACAAACGGCGAATGCGACGCCCGTTCCGATGTCTATTTTAGCTACAGGGGTTATGCAGGTAACTTTTTCCACTGTGTCATCCACCGCGGGGAATAGTATCAACGCCGTAGATCTTTTTTTGGCAGCCTATTGGCTTGGAAGGTTATGGTCGGGCTTGGAATATGAGCCATTGGTGCTCAAGAGGGATAGAAAGGCCACAGTCAATCCGGCTGGTGACCGTACTCGGGGAAAGTTGGAGGATGACATATAACCGAAATTGTATTTTAAAAGCCACTGTATGCCTGTCTATGCCGCTCGCTGATAATAAAAGCAGATTCGTATCAAGGTTTCCCTTTTATGTGCTCATCACGTCATCGAAAAGTGCGCCAAGTGGCAATCAAGCGCGAAGAAGACTGGAAATCAAATGGGAGATGGAAGCGGTCCGAAAAGGAGGAGAGATCAATTCGGCTCAATGGCTTTTGAATATCCTGTTCGTATTCCGGTGATTAGTATGGACTTAGCGTACGCATTTGAGCTTACCAAAATTGACCCCATATATCCTTGCTCAGTTCCTCAGACTGCTTGTAGTTTCGCGTTTTAAGGAAAAAAAAACATCAGCTCCTGAGACGAGGCGGCCTCACACGCTTCCATTGCAAGTAATTCTCCCCTCTAGCACCAAGACCCATATGCCATGTCGTGAGAACCTCGGCGATGAGCGATTATATGGACGTAGTTGATGATTGAACTGGCGTGAACCCGTTCAGGGGTATTTAGGGATAATTTTTAAACCAGAAAAGTGTTTCTGAGAACAGTAATCTGCCAATTATAAAGAGATAGAGTCAAAGTATGCGACATGTCAATCAGACAAGTCCTTACCCGCAAAGAATCTCGCGTAAGAGCCATCTTTCACTGCGGTCGCAGGGCTTCTGATCTGACACCGGAGCAACCCTTAGAGAACCCCACCAGCAGACTGGTTATGATAAACACACCTTTATCCAAATAATATCACATCCAAACCATTTGTTGTCACCGAAATCATACGACGTTTTGGTTGGAAAGCTCGAGGAGTCGTGCATGATGAAAATGCGACGAGGAGGCAGATGGGAGAGGCCACGACAATCTTGCTACTCGCATTGGTACCAGTACCATGTGAGACAAGCCTGTATTTCTAATTAATTTAAGGAGTTCGTTCGGTGGAAGGTCTTGGTGAATCGGTCTTTTCAGGCTCAAGTCTGAACAGCGCTTTGGAGAGTATGGTGAGCTTGAATCTGGCAAAAAGGATTCAAGGAAAAGGAAGTCATTCAAGGAAGTCGTGAGCTGCTCTTGTAGAGAAACCTGGCGTTTTAGTGATGGGTTATTTCTCAGCGCACGGTCGAACAACGTTTACCTTGGATGGTGCTTTGCGGACGTGCCACCCTCTACCGCGAGGTAGAGTAGAAGCTTTTTGGTGTTCATACCGAGAATAAAACGATACGCGGCTTTATAGAAAACTGATGGTGATATGAGACGGGGAAGCCGGGTGGAGTAATCGGATGTGCGAGGGTTTAGGAGGAGAGCAGTGCAGACGACAAATATGCCTTACCTAAAACAGCCAGTCAGCGGTACGCTTCTCCCTTCCCAAAGCTTTCTGGCTCGCATTCCCAAGCTCCAATAACAACCTATACTGAAATCACTTAGGCAATCTGAGCTCACGAAGGCGATAAGGGGGCTTCTTGTTCTGAGGAGCCTCGTGGATAGCAGATAGCACTGTTGGTCTTCTCAGGGACGACCGTCCACAAACCGCATCCCAGGCAAGTGGAAGGCTGCTAGGATCCCATGAAGCTAACTTGTCTACCCAGCCAGGGGTGGGAACAAATCATGAAACGCAGGCAGTGAAAGAGTTAAGAAGACCAAGAGTAGCCTTTCTGAATCGAAGATGTTTCCAGGTTCTCAAGTGACATCTGCTTCCTCTTCTTCTCCGACCCTCACACCTCCATCACCCTCTTCTATCTTTCAATTTCGTCACTCACCTAGTTGCCATAGGCTCACTCCATGTCTCTAGCGCTAGCCGACTCCCTTCTCAGGAGATGAAGAGATGAATCGTCTTCGATTGTCGAGTAACCTCAAACAAGTTTGAGAAACCCCATCCAACAAGCGCTAGGTTGTATCGCACGCTGTCCAAGAGAAAGAAAACCAAGTCAGTCTGGTAAGTCCCACGATGCTTACATACTGTGAAACGCTCGAACTAACGATTTGGAAAGACTCGCAGGCTTCCTCCGTGAACGAGTCGGTTTAACTGGTCTTACCATCCATCGAAAAGAGAAAATACGATCGAAAGGATAAAATAATGCAAGAAGGTTGCAACTGCTACGACATCGGCAAAGGGAGACGCATGGTCTATATGAGGCGTTTGAAAGTGCACTTTGCGTCCCATCAACT